CTATTTAAAGTTGGAACATTAAATGCATGATGTTTTGACGATGATCAATAATTATAATATTAATTTAAAACGTAAAATAATACATAATTTTAATATGCTTTACATGTGCTTAAATACACAAGTATTCAGATAATAATTCACATGAGGAATGGTTAAATAGATTTTTTGTACAATGATGTTGAATTTATTTATTTATTTACTTTATATTTTCTTATGGAATTATTATTTTATATATTATTATGAAAATTATCAATATTTACAAAAACTACCATAATAAGAAAGGGTGTGATTAAAACACTCACATCAATGAGATTTTTAAAGTAAAATATATGTATAAAAGCCCACTAATTTCTTATATACTTATAACATTAAGTTTCCACCTTAATTTTTTTTTCATATTGAATTAATCAATTGAATTAAAACATTTTTTATGCTACATAGGATTTTCTGAATATACTTGTCAAATATTTTTAAATATTGTGAATCTCTAAAATGAAGACTATAAATATTGAGATCATGATTCAAGCCTGATGCTAGAGTTTTTTTGAGTCAATTCGAATAGGTTTTGATTATTGAATCATTTTCTTATATAAATATATATTATCAACTCTATTTTAACATTATTAAATTATTTATTAGATGACTTAAATGACACATTTTGGATATATACATAGCTTTAATAGAATCATGTATTGATTTCTCTTAAGGATATCCAAACTGCTAAGGGACATATCATATTAGAATTTCCATCATTCAATTTTCTGTATTTTTTGGTAAAATGAACATTAAAATATGGGGAAAAAATTAAAAGACTTTTGTTAATATTTTGTTTTTATATAGTAAGTAAGATAAAATAAAATTAAATGTCAGATAAATATTTTATTTACAATAATCATTATCAAGGTTAAAATGTATTTATACTAGTTTGGAAATTATTTAGTGAATTTATGTTTACTTTTACATTTTTAATAACTTATGCAACATGAATATGTTGTTTATTTTTAATCCAAGTACTAAAATGAGTATCCAGGATTCATAGCCTTAAATATTATTTTAAAATTGATAGAAAATTAATCAAGATGTTAGAATTTGGAAAAAAGAGTTTTCTTAGATTTTTTGAGGATTTTATGAAGTGACTTTTCAATAGTTTTTTCGAAAGGATGAGACAACATAAACTTAAAATGAATCCCCTATTCCTTCAGGGTGTCGGCTGGAAACTTCTTAGAAATTGTAATAATAATTGACAAAATATAGTGATTCATAGTCACATCAATACAAGAATGCTTCAAGGAATTTATGGACCATGCATAAATCAATGAAGGAAGATGTCACTATTTTAAGCCATGTCACCCATATTTGCATCAACAATCATACTTTATTTTGGACAGAGATGAAATAGTGGAGAATTCCTCATTTTGTAGTCATTGCTGAGATCTTATTAGACAATGATTCAAACAAAACTTTGAGAAAGGTAGAGGGAGGTGTTGAGATATAGGACAGATGGTGAGTCAATTAATTTTGAATCTTCTCCAATTGAGTTCTCTCTAGGAGATAGAGACAAGCAGAGCAGTGGAGGTGCTTGCACATTTAATTTTTTATTCAATTATATTGTATTTTCTTTTGGCTTATTTCTTCATCTAGGTGACAGGTAGACAATATGATTGTCTTTCAATCCATTCTTTTACTATTTTTTTAGTCAATTTTGTGTCTAATTTCCATTCTGCATTCATACATTGTTCCCAAGTGACAAGCATGGATAATTCATGTTTTGACTTCATAATTTTTAGTTGTTCTTACTGAAATTTTAATATTTCTAGTGAAATTTAAGTGCATTAAAATCATCTTAATTCATTTACTTCGAAAGATTACTCAACTTTTATTAGGATTCAATGCAAATCGTTTTCACATTTCATTGCCAACAAGCAACTCTATAGGTAGAAAATTGATGTTTTAATTTAATTTATGGTAGTTATTTTTGTGTTTTAATTTTTTCTGGTGAAGGTTAACTTCATTATGATCGGCTTATTTTATTTAAAAGATTATTGAACTTTTATAAAATTTGATTTAAGTCATTTTCATGTTTCACTACGAAGAAAGCAACTCTATCAATGGTTTATTTTCTCTCTCCTTCCCTCTTTTGTTTTTCTGATTTTTGCCTTTTTGTCCTCTATTTTTCCTTTAATTTTGTGACCCCTTGAATCATTTTTTTCTGGAAAAAATTTCACATATCAAAGCTCTAAAACTTAGTGGCCATATTATAAGGTATTTAAGGACATTAAAGCACAGAAAAAAAAATTCTTATTTTTGTTCTTTTATGTTTATATTAGTAAAATATTTGGGATAAAAAATTGATATGCAGACTCAAGGAGCTAGTCTCAAGTATCTAAAGTTTCTCCTCATTCCAATTCAAGCTGCAACATCGTCTACATCTTACCAACTTCATTACAAGATGATGACAATGAAAATATTTCAAGGTGAAATATATTCTTTTTATTTGTGAGATAAACTTGTGGTTAATATTATTTAATCAGTCAAGGAAGATGAACCCATTAATCAAATGTTGGTCACTTAGACTTTTGAATCTAAAAGAAAATTGAATTTTAAAAAGAGAGTTGAACCTAGCAATCAATGGTTATAATCAAAACATTTGAACATAGTGGAATGCAAAAATAAAGATTGTTCTTGAAGAATATATGTAGGAAGAGAACTAAACATCTTTTAAAATCCTGAGTCATATACCAATTGATCTAAGAAGATTATAGGACTTAGTGCATGAAAAAGAGCTCTGATGATCTTGGCATCATAAGGTCCCTTTGAGATAACCTTCAATTAACTGTTGTTGTTAGTATAAAAAAAATCATCACTTTATACACTATTTAACCTACTAAAAATGACAGGTGTTAAGTATGACCTTCAACATAAAGATATTCAAATCAAGCTTGCCACATGGATATATTCAAAGAACATGAAGTTAGGTCTAGAGGAAAGCTAGTACTACTTGGCCTGATGATGGTTGAAAGGAATCAATAAGAGAAATGAATTTATTTTTCAAAGAAGCTATAGGGGTATTTTCTATGTTTAAACATGTACACACTATGTGAACTGATTCATCAAGATAGTCATATACAAAAAGAATCTGGACATAAGGGTTACTATAGTTTTTGTCTCTCTACCTCCACTTTTATAAAGCACTACCAGGTTCTACCACTCTTCTTGAGTATAAACGTGTAAGTTGCTTTGATTACAAGATTTATGACTAATAAGTCTTCATTATCACGAGTTAATAATTAATAAATAATATAGTTTTAGTCTTAACTCATGATAAATAAACTTATATTTGTGTTAAATTATGAAAAATTGTTTTTAGTTGATTAACATGATTTTTTGGCTAATTATGTGATTTTTTACAAATTTATATGATTTTTATAGTCTTATTTTTGAGATAAATGAAGAAAAAGAATTTAAAATCAAAATATAGCAAAAAAGGAGGACCCGCTGGCTAGCCGATCCCGCAAACAGGTCAAAAGCGTAGTCAAGAGGAGCCGCGAGCAAAGGCTCGAGAAGCTAGGACCGATGGGGGCATGCATGCACCACTCCCCTTCCACGTTGATAAGTCTTCATTATCATGAGTTAATAATTAGTAAATAATATAGTTTTAGCCTTAACTCATGATAAATAGACTTATATTTGTGTTAAAGTGTGAAAAGTGGTTTTCAGTTGATTAACGTGATTTTTGGGTAATTATGTGATTTTATACGAATTTATATGAATTTTACAATCTTACTTTTGAGATAAATGAAGAAAAAGAAATTAAAATAAAAATAAGACAAAATGGGGGAGACCCACCAGCCAGCCGGGCCCACAACAGGTCGGAAGCGCGATCGGGGAGTAGCCGCAAGCAATGGCTCGAGCGGCTTGGACCGATAGGGGCACGTGTGCGCAACCTCCCTCCCACGTCACCGGTGGCCAGCCAGTTGTGGGGCAAGGAGTGGTCGTACATGCATGAGAAAGAGACTTGATCAAAAATATAATGATAGTATATATTCACCAGAAACTTCAACGCACAACCGATGTGGGACTAAACCCGCATCACCTTCCCTAGAAAGGGCAAGCAATCGGTGCGGGTTTGAATCCTCTCAGACCCAAAACTCTTTTTTTTTATCTGATTATTACGACTTTCTTGTAGATCGCCGGTGAAGGATTAACCAACCAGAATTATTAGATCATCGGCAAAAATCTCGTCAATGCGATTCGTAGAGCATTGTTACTAAAATTGGTGAACGATTCGTGATAAAAGGATTGTGAATCCATCGAGTAAAGCATCTCTGATTGATCGATGAACAAGCCGTCATCGAGAAGAGGACTGGCGTAACTTAGTCGTTGTATATTAAATCATGCAAATCTAAAATTTATAAAATTAGAAAATACTAATTTTTAGACATTTAGAAATATTTCTAAACAAATATATCAATTATAATTCAATAAATTTTCCAAAAATAGCGATTATTTTCCAAGTCGATCACAAGGATGTAATATAATATTTGGTAATTATTCAGATTTTTCTGCAAAGAATACTTTTTTCTATGATTTTTATACTAGTAAATGAAAAGGAAATATATTTAAAATTTACCGAAAAAGGAAATAAGGGTGCGGACGTCAGGATGACGTCAGCACCCGACGAATGCGAATTACAGAAACAGAGTTCTACCTAGAGATTCTTACATAAGCAATTACAAATGATTTAATTGATCAAATTAAGATCTATAAAAGCCGGAAGAATCGTAATGAAATGAAGTATATCTTGGTAAATTAAAATCACATAAATTATCACTAAATGAAGCGTAAAGTAAGTTGAAAGTAGGAAAACAGAGTTCCGGTGTCACAGCGGCGATGTACTGGAATCTTGAGCGTTTGGAAGAATCGTCGTGCAGTGTCCACAACCTCAAAGGCTCTCCTTAGATAAGGACGACGTGGGTAATCTCTAGATCTTCTTGTGAAGTCTAGAGATCAATGAAGTGGGTCGTCGAATCATCTTCGATGGCTGTCACCCGGTGGAGCAGAAAAATGGCGACTTTGCGGCTCTCCGGCGACTGTCACCCGACGAAGAGGAGCTGGATGGAGGTGGGGTGCATGTTAGGGAGCTTCATCCTCAAGTTCACGCACCAAGAGGAGGTTTTTCATCGCATCTGGTACGCTCTCAAGAGGTGGCGACTCGTCTCCTAACAGATCGTCCTCTTCCCGATTACGGCTTGTTTGTCGATCAATCGGAGATGCTTTACTCAATGGATTCATGATCCTTTTATCGCAAATCTTTCAACAATTTTAGTAACAATGCTCTGCGAATCGCGTTGACGAGATTTTCGCCGATGATCCAACAATTCTGGTTGCTTAATCTTTCACCGGCGATCTACAGGAAAGTCACGATAATCAACAAAAAAAATATGAATTTTGGCTCTAGGAGGATTCAAACTCGCGCCAGTTGCCCGCCCCTTCTAGGGAAGGTGTGACAAGGGTTTAGTCCCACATCGGTTGTGTAGAATTTTCGGACGAATATATAGTAATGTTACATTTCAAAGCAAGTCCCTTTCTCGCGCATACGACTACTCCTTACCCCACAATTGGCTGGCCACCGGTGACGTGGGAGGGGGGTGGCACACACGTGCCCCTATCGGTCCAAGCCGCTCGAGCCCTTGCTCGTGGCTACTCCCCGACTGTGCTTCCAACCTGTTTGCGAGCCCGGCTGGCCGGCGGGCCCCCCTATTCTATTATATTTTTATTTTTATTTCTTTTCCTTCATTTATCTCAAAAGTAAGACTGTAAAAATCATATAAAATCACATAATTACCCAAAAATTCACGTTAATTAACTGAAAACCACTTTTCACACTTTAACACAAATATAAGTCTATTTATCATGAGTTAAGGCTAAAACTATATTATTTACTAATTATTAACTCATGATAATGAAGACTTATCAAGGACGATCCGTCGGGAGACAAGTCGCCACCTCCTAAGAACGTACCAGATGAGATGAAGAGCCTCATCTTGCTGCGCGGACCTGAGGATGAAGCTCCCTAACATGTGCCCCACCTCCATCCAGCTCCTCTCTGTCAGGTGACAGCCGCCAGACAGCCACAAAATCACTGTTTTTCTGCTCTGCTGGGTGATAGCCGTCAGAGATGATTCGACGACCCACTTCATTGATCTCTAGACTTCACAAGAAGATCTAGAGATTGCCCACATCGTCCTTATCTAAGGAGAGCTTTTGAGGCTATGGACACTGCATGATGATCCTCCCGAACGCTCAGGATTCTAGTGCATCACCGCTGCATCGCCACCGTGACGCCGGAACTCTGTTTTCCTACTTTCAACTTAATTTCCGTTTCATTTAGTGATAATTTGTTGATTTTAAATTTACCAAGATATACTTCATTCTATTATAATTCTTTCGACTTTTATAGATCTTAATTTGATCAATTAAATTGTATGTAATCGCTTACGTAAGAATTACCGGGCGGAACTCTATTTTCACCCGATTCGCATTCGCCAAGCACTGACGTCATCCTGACGTCCACACCCTTATTTCCCTTTTTCGTAAATTTTAAATATATTTCCTTTTCATTTCTTAGTATAAAATTCATAGAAAATATTATTCTTTGAAAAAAATTCTGAATAATTATCAGATATTATATTACATCCCTGTGATTGACCTGAAAAATTATCGCTATTTTTGAAAGTTTTATTACATTATACTTGATATATTTTTTCAGAAATAGTTCTAAATATCAAAAAATTCGTATTTTCTAGTTTTATAAATTTTAAATTTACGTGATTTACTATACAACGATTGAGTCACGTCACACGTCACCAGTGGTCAGTCGACTATGAGGCAAGGAGTGGTCATACACACGGGAAAAAGATACTCATTGTTTGTAAATATGATATTACTATATATTCGCTCAAAACTTCGATGCACAAGCAATATGAGACTAAACCTGCGTCACACCTTCCCTTGAAAGGCTTCAAAAGTGAGCAATCGGCGTGGATTTGAATCCTCCCAAAGTCAAAACTCGTATTTTTATCTGATTATCGTAACTTTTATGTAGATTGTTTGTGAAGGATTAAGCTGCTAGAATCACTAGATCATCGGTAAAAATCTCATCAAAGCGATTTGTTAAGCATTGTTACTAAAATTACTGAACGATTTATGATAAAAGGATCGCAAATCTATTGAGTAAATCATCTTTGATTGATCGACAAACAAGCCGTCATCGAGAAGAGAATGATCTGTCGAGAGACGAGTTGTCACCTCTTGAAAGTGTACTAGATGTGATAAAGAGCCTCCTCTTGCTGCGCAGAGTTGAAGATGAAGCTCCTTAACACGTGTCTCACCTCCATCTAGTTCCTCTCTATCATGTGACAGTCTTTGGAGAGTCGCACAATCGTCATTTTTCCGCTCTACCAGGTGATAACTACCAGAGACGATTCGACGAATCATCTCATTGATCTCTAGACTTCACAAAGAGATTTAAAAATTGCCCACGCCGTCCTTATACAAGGAAAGCCTTCGAGGCTGTGGACATTGCACAACGATCATCCTAAACGCTCAAGATTCTAGTGTATCGCTAACACATTACTGCCATGATGTCAAAATTCTATTTTCCTGCTTTCAACTTAATTTTCACTTTATTTAGTGATAATTTGTGTGATTTAAATCTACCAAGTTATACTTCATTCAACTACGATTCTTTCGGCTTTTACATATCTTAATTTGATCAATTAAATCGTCTATAATCACCTATGTAAGAATCACCAAGTGGAACTCTATTTTCACTCGATTCACGTTCATCGGATGCTAACATCATCTTGATGTCTGCACCCTTATTTTCCTTTTTTGTAAATTTTAAATATATTTTATTTTTATTTCTTAGTATAAAATTTATAAAAACTCGTATTCTTTGATAATAATTCTAAAACAATTATCTAATATTATATTACATTTATATGATCGACTTAGGAAATTATCACTATTTTTAGAAGTTTTATTAAATTATAATTGATATATTTATTCAGAAATATGTTTAAATATCTAAAAATTAGTATTTTCTAGTTTTATAAATTTTAAATTTATATGATTTACTATACAACGACTAACTCACGTCAATGACATTACATGATTTCTTGGAATCACATATCTACTTAGCCAAAATTGTGAAAAACTTGACGGTAACTTATCAACTTTGGCTCATACTAATGATAAAGCTTACGTACACCTATCATGCACTTATAATAAAAACCCTTTGTTAATAAGAAAAAATAAAATAGAAGAAACTGTAAACCTCATAAATTACTAGAAAATCCTCCTTAATATGGGAAGGGATGGAGCTGTACTATATAGGGACATAGTGACTCAACTACTTGAAGCTTATTTGTCTTGATTCAATACAAACTTTTTTTACTTGAGAGTTTTTTTACCTTCAACAAAGAGTTATTCCTTTTATAGTATGACATTTAAAGTAAACTTTGAAAGCTTACTAGCTACAAAATTGAGGGAATGGAATCCTATAGATAGATGGATCTTTTTTTTGGCCAAAATTGAGGAAGAGGGAGTAGAATCCAGCAGATACCAAATTGGTTTTAAAATCAATTCATAAGATCCAAACCATGAATATAGGGCCATATTTCATTATTTTGATAATAGTCATTCTTAGTACTTCAGCTCACATAAAGTATAAGTATAGCATAAACATAAGCATTATTTAAGTTTAGGTGGCTATAAATTGTCTCATTATGAATACATTTTCTTTCATTGGGTTCTATTAGGATTTGATTCTTCTCATATGAAACTTTATGGGGGAGACAACTAGATCTTAGTTCGAGTTAAAAAAAAACATTAATTCTATTTAAAAATTCCCAAAAGCACTTATATCAATAATATATCATCTGTCTCTCTTGAGAAAACTCTTGCCTATGTTTTAATTTTTGTGCTTAGATAAAAAAGAAATTCTAAGATAGAATAAGGTCATGTAGGAGGAGAATTATAAGTGAAGATTGGAATGAAACTAGAAAAAAAAGGAATACATTAATTTAAAAATGTAGAGCATTTTGATATAATAAGAAGGCAAGTAATGGACCAGTTCATCAATATATTTATTAATGCACATCTTGTACTAGGCAAGGAGATTTTAGGTAAACCGACTAGATTCTCATTAATTTTCCCTTATCTTAGGATCATATCATTACGATAATTTTATAAAAGCTCTCCCATTTAGATGAGTCGTGGGAATGATTTAAGGGAAATAGAGTGATTAGTTTGAGATGAGCTGAAAGCAGCTAAACATGTATTAACATTGAAAGTCCTCTATTATTTATTGGTTATAAATGAAATTTAGTTTGGGCTTAATTTATTGAAACATGATTATTGTGGATAATTTATTAGAGGATTTTTTATGCAAAAATAGACTAATTTTTTCATTTAATCAAAATCAAGGTTACTCTCAATTTACATATGGTCTTTCATGGTGGGCTTGCCAACAATATAATTTGGCAATCACTTTTTGTGTACTATAATAACAAAATGACAGAAAATGAAGCCCATTTCTTAGCTAAATAATTAAATTAATTTTAAATATAATATAAGTTTCAATTTTCGGTATACTATGCTGCAATGTCTATCTCTATCAAGTGATTATGCCATAATAGTTTTATCAACTAATTTAAACTAGTTTTCATGGTACACAATGTTAAATGAGGAGTGAATCTTGGGAAATTCAACATCGTAAGGAAGATGAAGCAGATTTGGTTCAACAAGTATCCCGTTACATATCTATGTTTCTTGAAAGCAACATTCTAATAAAGGGAGAGAACTAAAAGTCTAAATCATTAAGAAATAAAGAAGTTAGTGATTGATTATAAATGACTATTTCTATTGACTGACTAATTAGAGGAACAAATCCTGACCATTATGAAGGTCCACTGAGCTAAAAGTTGTAAAAAGTTATGAAAATTTGGATCAAGATCTGTGAGGCCTTCATTCCTTGAAGAGGTAAGCTACTTGATTAGGCAGCTAACCACATGTGGATCTAGGATTGGGAGGAACAAGGGTAATTAGTCCCATGTACCTGTGGACTTTGAATTCTCTTTCTTCTGCCAAATATAGGGGGTGCCCAGGGACTGAGCTGATCCCAAGCCAAAAAAATTCCTGAAATAGGCTCTTCTACATTGGAAATGTTTGATATCATGCTTTCATATTTGACTACCATATGCAAATAGATGTTACAATGTGGGCTTATTATTATAATTTGACTATCGTGTTAAGTGAAAACTGTCCCCACATATGCATGTAGACACAGAGAGAGAGAGAGAGAGAGAGAGAGAGAGACTAACACATTAATTGATCACGAGAAAGAGACTCAGATAAAAAGTTGGTCCTAAGCTATGAAGTGGGACCATGAACAGATCACATATGGACTGTTCTAGGCTATTTTATTTCTCAACTTAATTTTTAGATTCAAATCTAAAAATGCTAATCTGCGACAGGGGAGTACTTTCATGCATCTTTGTCCATAGACTCTCTAAATATGGTTTGTACGTATGTTTATATCGCTAGTTGTCAAGTTAATGTTACCATTTTGAATAGAAAGTAACCCCTGCTTTTGAACACGCCACATCACTGCCTGGATCAAGATTATGATCAATCATCTGATTCACGACGCCCAAATTTTGGGCCAACATGACCCTATCTGCCTGAGTTCTTGCTAACTTTCACTGGGTCTGATCATTTGATTAAGCTGGTTCAATCCGACGTTGGGTTCATATAACTCAGTCTGATTTAGCTCTTTTTAGTTATCATCGTGGTAAAAGTTTGTGAGCATTGAAGGCTCTCCATAGTCGTAGGAGCGGAAGTTGAATAAAAAAGTCCTCAGTTCATCCACAACACTTGGACCCTCTCTCTCTCTCTCGCTCGTTCGATCGCATTGAAGGCCACCGCATAAATACCCGTCAGCACATCACATCCAAGAAAAGACAGGCCATCATAAATGAGACTGTTCTGCCGTGGGCTTTGAAGCCAGCTAGCAATTGCGTTAATGCTTACAAGGTGATTGAATATATTCCTGAGAGAGAAGGGACGGGAGCTCAGACTTCGAAAAACTCCTAGTTTTCTGTGTCTTATGTGCTACTGTTTACGCCTCGTGTGATTGACTTAGACAGGGAGAGAAAATAATGGTGGACGTCATTTTTCTTTCTAGACGATTGTTCTGTGATCACTCTCATGACTCTCTCTCTCTCTCTCTCTCTCTCTCTCTCTCTCTCTCTATCAATCAGTATCTATGTATCTATCTATCTCTCTATCATATATTTAGACATGCAGAGTATGCTTCATAAGCCTATTCCAAGTCCTCCTTGGATCTGAATTGTGGCAAGGCACGAGCTTGGCGTGACCTAGTGGGATGCATGTCTTTCGAAAGTATTTCTAGTAATGCACCATCCTTTTCTCTGAATATGACGAAAAGACTTTGACAAGGGAGTTTTTAGGCACTGGGTCTTATCCCAATAAAAATAAATTTATTTAAAAAAATCTACATGGGAAAGAGGGATGATGCATTGGTGTCTGTCGGAAACATTGGTGGCAGAGAGAAAAAAACTTTTATTTTACATGCTAAGTTTTTAGTGGTTGATGAAGGTAATGCCATTAATATTCGATACATTGTTGCAATGTTAATGCTTAGTAGGCAGCATTTGCAGAGAAATAAGAAATAAAGGATTGCATGCATCAATGTGACTGTAAAATATACTCAGGTCCACTTTTTCAACACGAGGTTATAATGTTCCCCTTCTTGAATAGACCATACATACATACAGACTTGATGCTTAGAAGGAACACTCTCCTCTCTTATGTACTATTGGTCCCCAGTGGGATACAGAGAAATTGAAGACGGGAGGAGAGGTGAGCCAATTCTTTTTTTGTCTCCATCTAATGTAACTTTGAGTGGACTATGGGGCGCACAAAATCCTTGCAGTAAAAAACATCACAGGACGCATGATTCATGCAATGCAATAGTCCAGTCATGCCCACATATCATCTTCCAAGAGTCTTTCCTGGGTACTAGTAATATTTTCCATTGATTAGCCCCATTAACTTTACAGATAGAGGTGTCTTAGCTCTGATTCTTTGGGGCCTGACTTCAAGAACTTGTTGTGCACATAACAAAATACTAGTACGATATTCACAAAAACATGGGTGATAAAATTTTAAATTTTTAATATATTTTTTCAAAATTAGTTGCATCGTCAATATTCCAATAAATGACACATATCCACAATATTCATACTCTTGGAAACCAATGTCCTTCACTTAAAACGATAATAAGAGTATAATATCCAATGAATTAGGTAAGCCATCATAATTACACTTTTTTTTGGGGGGGAGAGGGACAGGGGGTTGTAAAATTAGGATTCCATCTCCACACTCATCGTAATTGGAGTTACATGTTGGATAAACTATGTATACCCCCTAAATTACATGTCAAATTATTAGGCAAACCCATCATTGATTAGTCAAGTAGGCTTGGGCCTCGCCAACCCCTGGACAAGCCCATGCTTCTCCTCAAGAACGTGGGCTGTTTTTTGGGCCCCATGAAAAACCTTGAAGATTAGTTGTATGTTGAAACCCTTCTAAGCCTGAGCCTAGCGTGGGTAGGTCTGTTCTGGTGTGGCCCTCCATTGTACTTGGACCTAGATAGAAAATGTGCATTGATCTTCTAGGCTGAACCTCATCAAAAACCAGGGTGGGCCCAGAACTCAATTTCAGCCGGGCCGGGGTTACCTAACCTATAAATTCCTGCAGCGGGTGGGCCCTATCACTGAGAGATCCTTGGAGCTTTGGATAGGTCCAATCTGGCCCTCCATTGCGGCTAACCAAGGTGGAAAACGGGCTTCGGGCTTCTAGGTGGGAGTTCGGACCTGGCCCGGGCTCCAAGCTAATTAGGCCCATGGAAACTTTAGTGGCTGAGCCTAGTCACCGATTCGCAGGGCTCTGATTCTGCTGGCCCATTTACTTGGATTAATCAACGGATGGTGTCAATTCTTCCCATGGAATTGAGAGCTGTGGGCCGTCTGATGGATGCATCCCAAAACTTTCCTTAATTCCCCCGGCACCCATCACATCATCTTCCCAAACTGACGTCCCCCTGGCGGCGGGCCCGGAATTGAAGATGGGTGGAGCCTCCCCAAAGTTGGGGGTGAGATCCAGGGGCAATGGGCGTAAATTGGTGAAAAATGGAGGGTAATGAGAATGTTAATACTTGACCCTTAAACGCCAGGCTTGAAGGTATTAATGAAGGGGGTGGGCGGCTACATGCAAGCGCCAGCGCTCTCTCAGGAATTTAATGTGGCATGGTCACGGTCCGCTGGAAACTCCGCTCAAAGCTTACTCTCTCCTCCTCCCTCCCCCTCTTTCTCGCTCCTTTCCTGTTACACCTCACTCTTCCCCCGCCCCTTTCTACTCTTTCCTCTCTCTCTCTCTCTCTCTCTATCTCTATCTACCTATCTGCCCTCTCCAACCCCTCTCGCATGTGTCTTTTCTGTGTCACATCCAACACTCGAATTGTCCAAAAGGCGTATGACTTGTTTCTCAGTAAATGAGATGGGTGTTGACTTTTGTTTCCTTGGTGTTCATTATCGGGCATATTAAGCAAATCCTCTCAAAAAAAACTTTTAAGTCCCATTTCAAAGGAAATTTAAGGAATAAATTTCATAAAAGTTAAATCTGAGTTATTTATGTGTTAAAGAAATGGTCATGTCCAGTAGAATCGTTTTTTACTAAAATATTAGGCTTTTCTCTTTCTTAAATTTTAGTTCTACCTAAAAACCTTTCAGGAAATAAGCCAACCTTATGATCAATTGAAAATTTGTCACCTCTTCTCACTTTATTCATCTTAAGGAATTTTCAGCACCACATTAAAAATCCATTTTTTAACGCTTTGCTATAAATGGCAATCGTAGATGGTACAATGAAACTCCTTGTTGCACGCTAGCAACAGCAGGTGCTTATCAGAGACAGGCTGGGTGGGCTCCATCTCATCCTATATGGAGGGGAGGGTGGCAAGTGCGCTGTTGAAAGACAATTCTCTTCTCTCTTCTCTCTTCTCTCTCTCTCTCTCTCTCTCTCTCTCTCTCTCTCTCTCTCTTGTTGTCCCTCTTGGTGTCTCTCTTGGCGTCTGTCTCGCTAGTTTTCACTGGTAGTGTAATAAGGCTCTTTCTCTCCGTCTCTAACACTCTGAAGTGCTTGATTCTCATCTTTCTCTGATTTTTCTAACTTGTTCAGTCTCTTCAACGACAGCTTCGAGAATTAAGATGTTCGTCATTACTCCTGTAGCGATCCAATGAATTACAACTGATAAAGTTCTCGCTCTCTCTCGCGCACGCGCTCTCTGTATCTCTTGTAGTTTTCGACTTCTCTACCTCGTGGATCTATCTTGGTCATTAGATATCTTCTATGGCAGCCTCAGATATGTAAACGTTTGAAATCACCCACGAGGCGACCTTGTAAGAAACTGATAGTGAGCCTCTCTCTCTCTCTCTCTCTCTCTCTCTCCAGTCCAGTGAGCATTGGGTGGTCCTTTTTCAGGAACAGAGAGCCACTGAAATCTCGTTCAAGAACAAAGTCGAAATTTATGTGGAATTTCCATGAAGTTTCTCTCCACATTCTTCTAATGCATGCTATCTTCGGATAGTGATTCGATTTTTTAATTTTCGGTATATATACAAAATTAAATGCGTGATATTTACAGAGCAAGCATCTTAATCCTTCAGATGTCATACTTTTACGAGCTCACCTTTCTATTTTAGGTCTATTTTTCTTATTTTATACATCAAGGGGATGGTGAAACACAGCTACCAGGTTTGGCAGTCGTCGTTCTTTTCACAGAGGGAGCGAATTAAAAGCTTCGAGATGCGTTTCTCTGTCCCTCTCTGTCTCTCTCTCCTCCCTCCTGAGTGAGTCATAACAACTCCATGGCAATAAATGCTGTTGCACCATCTCTATACGCTGTGCAATTACTCCATCCTGGCAGCCTCTTCTCCACCTGTTCCCCTCCCCCCTCTCTCTCTTCTTCGGTCCTTCCGTCCTCTTCTCCCCTCCCCCCTCCTTCGCCACCGCCCTCCCGGATGCCTCTCATCTCTCGCCCGCTGCTCGAAGGTTCGCCGACGTGAACCCGTCCCACGTCGACGGAGCCGAAAGAAGTTCGCCGCTGGAGGGAGGTTGCCTGCTGGTGGCCGGATCGAAAGGAAGTCGTGGGGCTCTCTGGTGCTCTTCCATACCTTTCTCTTTCCTTCTCTCTCTCTCTCTCTCTCTCTCTCTCTCTCTTTATAACTCTTCATCTCCGTAAGTAGACGCTGAAGAGACCGCCATGGCCGCCACTTCTTGATACACTCCTTATGTTTTGGAGATTATTCCGTATCTGCTGAGAGCAAGAAGAAAAGGAAGAGGGAGGGAGGGAGTGGGGAAGAGGGGGGGAGAGAGGTAGAGGAGGAGAGGGGGGGAGGGATAGAGATAGAGAGTGAGTGAGTGAAAGAGAGAGAGAGAGAGAGAGAGAGAGAGAGAGAGAGTCAATAAAGATGGTTCGTGAGTGTTTAGCTTGACAGGCTGGTATAAACTTTCCACCCGAGGGACACATCTTCTCCCTGCTCTCTCAAATACCACGGAGATGTCCATTACTTCTCCTCCGGGGGACACATTATTGACGGTCTCTCCCTTAATCCTCGTATGCGACCGTTAGTTCTCCTCCGTGGGCACCGGGGTAACCCAGTAACGCCTGTCCTCGCTTAATTCGCTAGAGCTGTTACACCCCGCCGCTCCCTTGCAGGCGTTCAAGGCATGCCCGCCGGCGTCATGGTTCCGGCGAGGCACACTGGAGCCCGGAGCTCCGGTGCCGCCGTATATGGCTCCACCTCCGCCCTCAGCCTCAGCCAGGTATAAAGCCATTCTTAACGCTAGACCGTCACCATATGATCTGAGTATATATTTTTTTCCTTAACTGAATTTTCCCAGATAATGGAGGAGAGAGTGCCCTTCGTTGGTTATACTGTTTCTGCAGTTCCAGCAGCAGATGGATCTCCCCCCACTGATCTCCGCCAGCGAGATCCCCAGGGTCCGCGAGGACGAGCTGGAGAGCAAGTCGGGGAGCGAGAACGCCGAGTGCAACTCCGGCGACGAGGAGGAGGCCGGCCGGCACCCCAAGAAGAAGAGATACCACCGCCACACTCAGCACCAGATTCAAGTTATGGAATCGTAAGGACACCAGCTCGACATCCCCCAGAAATGTCCCACATTAATAGCACTACGCTACTAGCACATTATTCTTTCTTCACTTTTGCTTCTCCTGTTGGGTTGTCCGATCTGTTGTTTAGGATCTCTCATCATTTCCATCCTCCGCAGCATCTTGGGAGTGAGAGAACTGACCGTCGTAAACTACTTTTAAGATGTTACCACCCATCATGAGAAAAAATGATTCTGCAAGTTCAGTCAGTTGACTTTGGACTTGCCAAATATCTATTTTCGGACTTTGGTCGTGTGGGATAATGTCGCAGACTCTGTTGAGGTTCTTCTGTTGATTGTTTATGACATGTCTCCATGCCATGGCTATCTTGGACAGAAGGCTCAAGTCCGAGAAAAACACGAATGCAAACTAGTTCGATTCTCAAAAGCCCTTCGGAAGTTTGTTGTGAACCAAGATACTCCATTTTAGGGTTTACCTCTCATATTGTGAGATAAAGTTGATTATCTAACCTCCCTCGCTTGACGTTCAAAGTGTAGAGAATTTGGAAGTGAACCCATTATCGCTAATTTGCACACTTTAATTTTAAAAATGGATCATGTTATATTACGTATACCCTTTTTAGGGTTTCTTGATCTCTGAATGCTACTCCGGCTTTTCTTGCACAGCTTTTTCAAGGAGTGTCCCCATCCAGATGACAAGCAGAGGAAGGAACTTAGCAGGGAGTTGGGGTTGGAACCCCTCCAAATCAAGTTCTGGTTCCAGAACAAGCGAACCCAGATGAAGGTTAGAAATTAAAAATGCGGCATTCACGCCTAGATGACAAAAAAAAGGGGATTTCCGAGGTCTGGAATTTTGAACTCGTATGAATGCATGCATTAACAATTATTTTATAGAATAAGAAATATTGACTTGCATAGTTTCCCTTATATTTAGAATGGTAGTTTTTTTTCCCCTAAAATGAGATATGAGCAAACTTTACGGCTCAATAATGACACATCTTACCAAGAATAACGTCCTGCGAGTCTCAGTTATCTCTTTCTAGCTCTAGTTCATTGGTCCATCCATATGCCCTTGCCTCTCTTATTCACCTTCATTTGCCGTATATCTCTACAGACACAGCACGAGCGCCACGAGAACCAGCAACTGAGGAACGAGAACGACAAGCTCCGAGCTGAGAACATCAGATACAGAGAGGCCTTGAGCAACACCTCCTGTCCCAACTGCGGCGGCCAGACCACCCCTGGCGAGATGTCCTTCGACGAGCAGCAGCTGAGGATCGAGAATGTCCGCCTAAGGGAAGAGGTAACTTTCTTTCTACCTCTATCGTCCCCTCCGACAGCTAGAAAAATCTAACGTTAAATGAGAGAAAAATAAAGAATAATCTTCTGCTTCACTCATTTCAAATTTACTTTGAAGGAGATTGGTGGATTCTTTCACATTCGATGCCATCCTTCGGCTTATCATGCCTGATTTCTGCTTACTTATAGGTTAAAGTCTGCAATACCTTGTTAATCCGAGAGGATTACAATAATTGTCCCACATTACGAGATAACATAGTATTTAATTAACATAGGCGATTAATTTCACTCTTTGCCTCTTAATTTTTAATGTAAGCCCCGTGCATGATGATCCATTCTCTCTCTCTCTCTATCTATATCTTTACTCTCTCTCTCTCTCTCTCTCTCTCTCTACAGATCGATAGGATGTCCTCCATAGCGGCGAAGTACATAGGCAGGCCACCAGGTTCCAACCCGTTCCTCCCTTCTCCGCTCACACCTGAGACCTTCGACATGTACGGTCCTGGAGATATCCTTCGAGGCCCCGCGGGGCTCTCCTCCGGCGAGGTCAACTTGGACAAACCGATGGTGATCCAACTTGCTGTTAGTGCAATGGAGGAGCTCATGAGGGTGGCTAGGGTAGGCCAGCCGCTGTGGATTCCCTCCCTCGACGGCAATACAGAGGTGATGAATGAGGAGGAGTACCTCAGAGGCTTCTCCAGGGGTGTCGCGTCCACCAACTTCGGCTTGAAAGCAGAAGCTTCTCGTGAGACTGCCATTGTCATCATGAATAACGCCAACCTTGTTGAGATGCTCATGGACGTGGTAAGTGGCTCCTCTTCCTCATCTCTAGCTGCGCTTTCCTCAGGAACATTGATCTCTCTCTAACTGCCACTCTCTATCTATATCCGTCTGTCTTGGTTAGAATAAATGGTCAATGATCTTCTCAAGCATCGTGTCAAGGGCTGCAACTTTAGAAGTATTGTCAACAGGTGTGGCTGGGAGCTACAACGGTGCCTTACAAGTGGTATGCATTCAAATCTTTCTGCTCCCTCTTTCAAGAAGGAAATCAAGTATATAATAACAACATTTTCGGTAATCAAACAATATTAAATTAAGTGACCTATCCTTTTTATGGTTGTTTCTTTCATTCCCCCGGATGATATACACTGTACAAATAAAATCGTCCTGAAGTCACTTCCCGTTATTTTAAGGTTAGATTGTGCGTTCCTGGCATACTCCATATATTTTACGTCAAGTCATTAACATACAGCAGCTTTATAATTTAATGAGTCATTGTGTCTCCGCAGTAGAGCATACTCAAAGCTTCATTTGTTATTAATTATTTTCAAATTAGATAAGTTAACTTTATGAAATGAGCGTCACAGAGTGATAAAATGCATCAGCTTTCTTCGAAACTTGCCCGGGTACGTTTATGTGGCAGAGCCGTCTAGGAGTTGACCAAAATGTGAAAACATGTGAAATCAATCCCATATCGACTAAAAGCAAACATCTTATTGATTTCTTTTCCAGTTCCATAATTATTTGACATAGAGCATCATACAGTCATGAAAATGGGACAGTTTTTTTCTTTCATTGACTCAATTTGCCGACTGACTTGATTGATAATTTCATCTGCATGATAGATCACCCAATTCGGCATCCAAATGATAGCTCATCCTTAAAAGTGCTACAATTTGAAATGTAAAATTGAAATAGCTTGGTAAAATATACAGGGCTGATCGCCTCATCGCCAATAATCATTAAGAAAATGATCCTCATTTTATTGGTCAGTCTGCAATGGTTACACATTGAATTTATAGGTCTTTTGCACTATTAAAATTACGGCAATACACCCAATTTCCATTTATTGATGTAATTTGACGTACTCTTTCCCCATCTTTATTTTCCAAGTGCCATTGTCATTGATAACTTAAACTTTGACGTGCTAGTCAGTGTCAGAACAATCACACCATGAATGGGAGATTTTAAAACTGCGGTAAAAAATATAAGAAGGGTTGTACTCTATCCGTTGTTAATTAGATTCGTATACCCTTGGAAACACCCCTACTTTCGTCGTATTTCAAATCAATGAGACTATGGACTATACAATCATGTCTGGCTACTTTTCGAGGAGAGAATGTTCTGACTCATGATGTTGCGCTCTCAGATGACGGCAGAATTCCAAGTGCCCACTCCACTCGTCCCTACAAGGGACAGCCAGTTCGTGAGGTACTGCAAACAGCATGAAGATGGAACATGGGCTGTGGTCGACGTCTCCGTGGATAACCTGCAACCGGGCCCTCTGTTAAGATGCCGTAGAAGGCCATCAGGATGCCTTATACAGGAAATGCCAAATGGCTACTCTAAGGTGAAAATCTACCTTTGCTGGGTACATTTTTTCAAACAGACAATCTTCTAATCGGTTTTTTCCACAGGTGACTTGGGTTGAGCACGTTGAAGCGGATGATAGAGCTGTTCATAGGATATACAAGTCGCTGGTTAACTCTGGGCTTGCCTTCGGAGCCAAGCGTTGGGTCTCTGTTTTGGATCGGCAATGTGAGAGACTAGCAAGCGTCATGGCCAGTAGTTTTCCCTCCGGGGAAGTCAGCGGTAAGTATCAATCCATCGTTTCTCGAAGATCGGCCTTTATATTCTCAAGAAATCATAGGTTTTATGATTTCACTGAAGTGTTGGTGGCAGACCCTCAAATTCCCAACAAACGCAATACTCTCAGAAATTCGGGCCTTGGTATCTCATAAACTTTTTCAGCCATTTTTTATCAGATTCTCGATGATCCTTTCTTCTTTTGAGGATTCGTCGAACTCCCATTCTGTTCATGAAGCCTTGAATCAAGAAGATTCACCTTCATAAAATCCCGAATTTAAATTCTCACCAATTATATCAACCAGGTTTCAAAGGAATAAAGATCTTCCACTGTTTCAGAAACCCGGCTCAAAATTCTCATGAATTCATCAGTTATTTTACTAATTGGATTTACCTCCAGACCCTGCTTTTCATTCAAAAACATCCTATTCTGTTCGTGAAAAAACCCATTTTAAATTTCCATATGATTCTCACCTATCACCGATAAGAAGATCTCTGGTTCATAAAGATCGCAGTTTTTATAAACCAGACCCATGAGTTTTGTAGTAGATTCTTCGCAGTTATCGTAATTGGCCTTTCCTCCGCGTGCTGCTTTGTCTCGACCGTGCAGTCATAACAACTCAGGACGGGAGGAGGAGCATGTTGAAGTTGGCGGAAAGGATGGTAATAAGCTTCTGCTCCGGCGTCGGAGCTTCCATAGCCCACCAGTGGACTACTCTGTCAGGAACCTGCGGGGACGACGTCAGAGTCATGACCAGGAAGAGTGTCGACGACCCTGGGAGACCCCTGGGCATCGTTCTCAGTGCCGCCACTTCTTTCTGGCTTCCAGTCCCCCCCCAGAAGGTCTTCGATTTTCTCCGGGATGAGAACACCCGCAGCGAGGTATTTAATCTGATTTGTGGAATCATGCTTTCGGCTTTGTTCTCACGCAAAAAGAAGCATTCGCTGGGTTTTTTTCAACATATATATTTTTTCCGAAGTTGTGCTCTTAAAATGGAATCAGAAATTTAAGATCTTCTAATTATTTGGGATTCCTCAAGGGCAGTAGACGCGCCGTTGATTTCCTCTCTTCCAGCAGTTGTCATCTTAGCCAGCGACTGCTTCACAGTGTTGGGCAGTGGCTTCTTTTTCTGTTAAATGGATTCCGTAGTGGCGTTCATGACCAAACCAGCTCTGTAACACATTCCTTCACTTTGTTAGAAAAATATGTTGCATACTACATAAACGTACAAAACCATCTTCTGGTCATGACCATTCGCATTATCTGGTAATTCAGATTATAATCCATTAACTATGTTAGGTTCCACTTTATGTTCTACGTCTGCATCTTCATGTTACTTCTCAATCTCCTCAACGGCATCTCCAACACGCATTGGGTCTGGATCATTACCATGAACAAACACCATATAATTCAGTAAAAAGAATTGCATTGTCTTTGCTATTGATAAATCACTAATTAGGGTTTTTTCCCTCACTAAATTTTTCCTGTCTGGATGCCGCTCCACTATATTATTTTGTATCAATTCTTGATTTTCATTTCAACTCAAATCCAAGGAAAAAGTTAACTTTCTTCTCACCTCATTCACTGATTTTATCGTACATCTGAATAAGCTCAACTAACCCCGAAGTTCTTCATCTAAAGAATACGCATATTCCCTTGTTCCTAAAAACCTGAGGAATTACATAAGTATAAACAGCTAGGTCCCGAGAATAACTTGCTGCTTCAGATACCAGCTTCATCTTTTGGTCTTAAGTGATCAAAAAGATGTTGGTTTGGTATTATCATCATATGCATAATGTGTGATACGTCATTGTAAAAATCTCATGATAGAAATAATATCCAACAAACATCTGGCCCAAAGATTATCAGCATTTGTTGAGTAAAGACTGATAATATTAATAATACTACCAATAAATATTACCCACATTATAAAAATTGAATTTTGTTTATTTTTTCAATAGTTGCCATTTTTGTCTATTTTTTATGGAGTCGTGATCATTATAAATTCTAGATTTTAACTTCAGCTTCCTCTAGGAGAGCAACAGTTCTGATTCGGGGAGTCAAGTCTTAGTATTCATTTTAAGAAAAAAAAAATATTTCTCTAGTATTGTCAAAAAATATATGAAACGAAACAAATAACATTCAATCGATTTATTGAAATAGTGTAATAAAAACTATTCAAGGAATCTAACATCATTAGATTGTGATCGTTGTTCTATCATCCTTCTTTCTTGTTGGCATGATAAAAATCACCATGGAGGTTTGAAAGTTTGTTGAGGACATATCAAGTTAAATGATATTGAAAGTTTTCCCCATCAAATTCGTCACAAGACATTGAAATTTTGAGTGCCCTAAATGAAATTTAAGACATTTTCAGGAAGCTTCCGACGAGTCAGTCAATACCCTGGCTTTCATAATCAGACCAAACCATTGATATTCTCATTTGTAGATTGTTTTTTAACACATTTTGGATGATTGAACAATTCTAGAACTATGGTTTGCCCATGCACATACAGTATAACATTATCACACATTAACTATGTTTATGAGATAACCAGCACTTTCAAGCTCAATCTTCATGTTACTTACCATAGTTATAAATAACGCTTCCTACATTCATTGGTGCATGCTTGTCTTTGTCATGGGCATGCTAGAAGTGAAAGAAGCACTATGCAATTTTTTGCATAGATTATGATTTTATCTATGAACTAATAATGAACAATGTTGGATATATAGAGACAACCCCAAACCAAATGTTCTTCCAAATGTATCTGATGTTTTTTTTAACTCTTGTTATCATACAGAACCTGTGATTCTTCCAGGCTCATGATTTGATCTATTCAATGGCAGTGGGACATACTCTCTAATGGCGGTGAAGTACAGGAGATGGCTCACATTGCCAATGGTCGTGATGAAGGCAACTCTGTCTCACTTCTCCGAGTCAACGTATAAAGAAGCCCGTCTTCTTCTACCTCAAGAAAGCCCTAAATTCTTGATCGATTTTTTTTTCTTACAAATTTGAATTTTTTCCATTCATGGGTGGGTTTGCAGAGTGTGAATTCGAACCAGAGCAACATGCTGATCCTCCAAGAGAGTTGCACTGACCCCAGCGGCTCTTACGTCATCTACGCCCCCGTTGACCTTGTTTCCATGAACGTTGTGCTGAATGGCGGAGATCCGGACTACGTGGCGCTGCTTCCGTCGGGGTTCGCCATACTACCAGAAGGCCCACAGGGTATAGAGAATGGTGGTGCAGGTTCGCTGCTGACGGTGGCGTTCCAGATTCTGGTGGACTCGCAGCCTAACGCAAAGCTGTCGCTGGGCTCCGTTGCAACTGTCGACAGCCTCATCGCCTGCACAATTGAGAGGATTAAAGGCAGTGTTCTGGGCGACCTCGCCCAGTAAACCCTGAGAACATCCGAAGGGGTAGGCGTTCGCCCTCTCTCTCAGCATCTCTCTCTCTCTCTCTCTCTCTCTCTCTCTCTCTCTCTATCAATATTTCATAGGCATATATTTAATTTCACATTGCCCCACTAAAGGTCTATAAATAGTAGCGCAAACTCTAGCTGCATAAAAATAAAACCCTAATGCGCTTCTGCTGTTGTTAGCAGCAGGAGGGAAGCCCATGGGACTCTAGCAGTTATGGAAGTCAAGAACGCACCAACTCCTCTCGCTCACTACTGCGGCGCCACCGTCTCACATGGACACCGGTTCGGGTATTGACTTCTTCTCCGCACACATGAGGAGCCTTGGAACTGGACTTATCCTCCCCTGCACCTCTTCTATGAGACTCCAAATGATGAGAATGGCCTCTTGGAGACTTCCCTCTCACTTCCCCGTTGATCTCTTCATGAAGTTTCCTCTTTAGTGTTGTCTGCCAGAACATGAACTGAGACCTCGACCTGAACTGAGGTCGGTGAGTTCGCTGATGGGATGATTTATCCAGTTAAAACTTAGTAGATGGTTTCTGTCTGAGTTAATTCCTTTATAGATGCATCGATGGGATTGGACTGTGATGGTGATGATTTCATGGACTGCTGTGGACTTTATGCATCTATATCGGGGTCCAAATGGGCAGAGAAATCAATGGAGCTGTTGCCGGCAAGCAGCTGATGGGTTTCTCCCCGAAGGGCTAAGGATCTCTCTCTCTCTCTCTCTCTCTCTCTCTCTCTCTCTCTCTCTCTCTCTATTTTTCTCGAGAGATATAAGAGAAGATCACATCACTGGATTACTGCTCTGACAATTAACATTGCGCACTTCACCTGTTATCTAATATTTGGAACTACTTCTGTGATTTTAACAACACGAGATTAAGAGCTAAATGTGCTCAAAGAAGTCAAAATGTGTCTCCCGTTTGAGTCCAGGGAAATGGTGTGTGATCAATTTGCCAATGGAATCGAATCCCTAATTTCTTTTTTTATCAGAATCACGAATGATCGCGTTTAAGTATACGAATGTGATCCATGTTCAGAATCATTTCAGCAGACTTATGCTCTCTCTTAAATAAAATGCAAAGAAAACAAAGGAGAACGAGATGAGTCTCGGAGAAATGTTTTAGCTACTCTAGTAGTCTATGAAAACATCGGAAAATCACGTCTTTATAGGTTTTTTCAATCCTTTGAATGCAAGCGAAGCTGAGTACATAAAAGTGAGACTAAAATAGTGAAAAACTTAATACCATTTCTAAATATAAGTAAGCAAAACCCTGCTGAAATGTGGTGGTTCTTTGCTCCGGATACTATCTTATATTGACTTTTGTTGGACTAGGACATCTAGAAAAAAAAATTGAAAACTGAAGAATATTTAAATATTGACCAGTCAACTTACATTTATCCATGCCTTGGGCAATGATGTCAAACTCTAATAATTGACAATCTGAAGCACTATGAGAAAACCCTTACAAGGAAAAGGGTTGACATTTAAAGTCAAAACATGAGGACGACATGATAGCGGTTATCATTTAAGGGATAGGGTCAACTCCTAAATGACCAAGGAAAAGTAAAATAGAAAATCTAATCTTCAATGCTGACATCTAAAAGCAAAGGGACTCTTGGGCATAAAATATAAGATAAGAATTACAAATAATGACACCATCTCATCAGGCATCAACAACTACATCAAGAGTGAGAAAATCTGCAATAGAATTGTCAACACCAAATTCGGGAGGTTAAGGCCTATGATAGACATAATACTAAGTATTAACAAATCAAATCCATATATTTTCAAACCACAGTATTTTTAATTAATATTAAAAAATAGGTTGAAAGACTATGTATTAAATACCTAGAAAATCCTAACAACTAAAGAAGCAAAATTGCAAAATAATGGAGGAAGGCACCTAACCAAGGTGACCATTAACCAGATTCTAAAACTTCAACTATTCAAGTTCCATTTTCCAAAGATTTTCCTTATGGATTTCCAATCCCCATTAAATATTTAATGCCATGAGCATTCACTATGCCATGTTTATCAACACTTCACCTTTTCCTCTTCTCACTTTGACCATCAGCCTCTTGTTGATGCTCATTTATCTTGGCTCACACCAATGAAACCAAGAAACAACAAAAAACGATTCACTAGCTAAAGGGAAATGCTAATGAGGTTGTCCAAGAGGCTCGCAATTTCTCCTTCCACACCTCATATTACTTCTCTTTAGGCTAAGATCGAATTTTTAATATCACAATCAGAGAGGTTATGATTTTATTGGCTTTAAGAGCCTTATGTCCTTTGATGATGAGAAAGTATAATATGGTAATATTAGTATCACAGGGTTATTAAATAAAAATAAAATTGAAAGATGAACATAATAAAACAAACAGTGCATCAAAATTTCAAGATTGATATTTTTATGAATTTTAAAAGATGAATGAACATTTTATAAAGGTTAAATTTTAGGTGCTGAAGTGACACCAGACAGACCAATTTCCAACTAGTGCAGACAACTGCTAGGCATTCCAATATTCAGCATATAAAAATTTATTTTGGCCCATAATATAGACCAGTGAAAAAGTGAAAGAGAAAAAATAGGAGAGAGAGCCACAGCATATACATATGCCCTTTGAAGATTTCACATCAAAAGTCTATACACTAAGCACTATAGAGAAGGAGAATTCAACTCAACCCATCAAAGACTACACCACACATTATATGCTTCCATATATTCAAGAAAAGAAAATACATCTGTGTATCTACTTATTTTTAACATTTTCTTTGATCTCCTAGAACTGATAAAACTAGTATAGGCTTCTTGAGACTGTAATGTTCAGTTGATATGCTTGCTAAGGCCGTAATGTTTGGTAGAAACACTTGTCAATGCATGTGTTTACTAGAGACTTGTTGAGGTCAGAGTGTTTTGTGGATAAACCTGCTGAGGACTTTCTATTTAGTGAAAGCTTCTTGATGCCCAACTATTCAAAGGGTAAGCTTCTTGAGGCCTTTTTGTTCAGTGTATAAGCTAGCTAAAGCCTAATCTTCAATAGAGACTTTCTCAAGCCTTAACATTTAGTGTTCATAATGATTTAGTGGAACATAAGGGTCGTCTTCTAAGAGTAGAGTTGGCAAGGTTGGCCAAACCATTATAAACTTGTGGTTGATTAAATCTTACGAAAAAGCAAAATGAGAAACTAAAAAGACCAATTCACCCCCCTCTTGATTCTTAATACAGCCTCTTTAAACCAATAGATTTTATTAATTTTCATCTAGTGGAATGTCTCTATACCTACTTGGGCAAAACTTGATGCATTTCATATTGTGATTGCATGTCAATTATCTTTTTTCATGGCGACCTAACTTATAAGATTGTATATCATGATGTTAAACCTTCAAATGGTTAGTAATAATTGATATTAACATTTTTAAGTAGACATTGCCTCGTTATCAATGATTTTATTGACATTGATGCACTAGTTCAAAATGCTCCTTGAATCCATATAGTTTTTGGTGAATCTCACCCATGATGTGTTGATCACCACCATTCTAAGACATCTTTTATTCAAACTTCATGAAGGCAACATTTTTTTATCAAAATTATTTACAATTTAGGAGAGAGTACTTTTCATCATATGTAGTACATATCTGTAGAGAATGAAACTTTTAGGGGTACTCTTGGCTCTACACATACCATGTAATCATCTAATATCATGAATGATCCACCTCCCTCAAAGTGCCAACTTAAGTTGTAACTACATCGAATATCAATTGCAAACATTTTGCTTGCTTTTCTGAATCAATTCTTTTTTCTTCTGCCAATAAAGACAATTTTTTCAAATTAAGACTGGGGGGGTATTCCAAGGGGACTTCACCGATTGAGGTTAAGGAATGACCACTATTTGTCGATAAAAATTCTCCATCAAAGAGATTCTTTTGATATTCAAATTCTTTTTTGGGGGAATCATTAGGAAGGGGAACTCACTACCTCGTAGCCTCCATCTCCACCAAATATTGATCTTGTGTTTCATTATATGCAAATTTTCTTGGTTTGATCTGTAAACGATCTAAGGGAATTCATTATGGAGAAGACCATCTCCAAACTCCAAGCTTAAGTTGCAGGGAACATAAGTCTCCTTCCTCATTGCAAACATGTGATTTTCTTATAACCTAGTTTTTAAAACCATTGGGGGTAACTCAGATCAAGTGGATATTGCTTGAGGCGCCATTCCATCTGGACATGTTTTGAACTAGGTGAAGAAATTCAGCTTGTACTAGAACTTTTCTATGAGTTACAATTTCATTTCAATAAGTTTTATGTCATGGAGGCTCTATATAGGTACATATATATTATTCTCCTTTTACTTCGTGATTGGTGTTCATGAATGATTTTGTCTTGAACAGCCTACTTTTATTATTTTTCAAGAATATTACTTTGTCAAATATTTTCAGTTTTTTTCTTTTTTGCTATGTTTACCATCTTGTTCACCAAAAGGGCAAAAAAAGGCACATAAGATTCATCAATTGTCGCTCATAAGAAAGAGAGGTTGTTTTGGTTATTTAACTTCTCATGTCAAAGAGGAAAATTTATATGAGACCAAACACTCTTAAGCTCATCATCAAGTCCTAACTAAAAAAATGGATACTATGGGATAAGGTCTTTTTCTATCAGCCCTCATGTTAAAGAGTAATGAATTCTTCAAGCACTAAGATGAAACTCTTGACTTAGTATGAGAAAACAAGAAAGACCAATGATTAGATAGATGTAAAGATATTCAAGAGCATTGTATACAACTTATGTGTTCTTTTGAAATGAACAATCTTCATCATGGTTTCTTGGGTAGTGCCATGATTCTAGGTTTAAATTGTATGAATACTAAATGAATAGCTCCAAATTTAGACTATATGCAACCTAATGAATTAGTCATAGTTTCTTGATTAGTTCCATGAATTAGAGAGGTCTGAGTAAACTACTAGATATCTTGTGTGATCATATAAATAAAATTTTATTTTAGACTCATCACATTGCAAAAAAAAATCACCCTACCTCTCATGTATATCTAATTTCCATATGTCACTAGTCAAGTGTTATTGAGGTTACTGATGTTCTGCCCCCATTTTATTTTCTTCCATACATAATTTATAAGAAAAAAATATATATTTCCATTTTTCATATAACCACCATTTTTCTTTTTAAAGTTGTATTTTTATGATATATTAAAAGTGAACAATAGGGAGAAGAATTATTTTAATTTTTTTAAGTAGAAGTGAGAACTATACTTGATTTGACTAAGATTGATTTTATTAATAAACTCTTGATTCCTCCATAAATATTTGAAACCTTTGGAAAGACCTTCACTAGTTTTCAGAAAGATGGAAGTGTTGAAATAAATGGAGAGAGAACGAGATTTACCATTTAAAATTACATTTTATACTATGCATGGAGGTGTACTTTACCAAGTAGGTGCTCTACTAGGCGTAGGGTGCACCATAAAAATACTATTCACAACTTTTTATCACTTTAGGGTTTTCAATTTTGTATTTACTTCTTTTAATCATATATCATTAAACATGACAGAAAAGTTTTCTTGGCAACATATTAAAAAATTTAAATCCAATAAAAAAATTGATGATTCAAAGGAAGTTCATTAATTTGTGGGAATCTGGTATGTGAGTTTCAGCAAGAAAAAATGAAGATTCTACCAACCAAGATGACAGAAATTGAAGGCAGTTGTGGAACATCTGATCTGTGACAACATGGAAAAAATTAAAGAGCTCCCTCACATGGTTTATGAGCCAGCTTCCATGAAACTTTAAGTTCAAGAACTAGAAGCTCATCCTCTCACCAAAGTTCACACAAGCCCAACTAATATTCACAACCTTCAAGCTACCAGTCAATGTCCATTCATCCTCTATCATTCTTGAAGATCTTATAGGTTATTAAAAAATTATTTACTATTTATTTGACCATACTTGTTGTCAATCTAGGCATCGATTTTTGTTTGTAAAGGTTTGGCCATCACCTTTTAGATGCTAACTTATATAATCGCATAAGGTAACCTAGCAAACACTAAATTTGTGGCCTGAGAATGGTATATATTTCTCAGATTTAATATCCCTAATATTTTCAGCTTTTGCCTCATCCCAAGGGGCAGATCTTTTCTATGGATAAATTTAATGAAAAAAAAATAAAATGTAAAACTATTAAGTTTGTGGTAGTTTAATATAATCCTAAACCTGGTCCACTCTCAAGCCTCCCATTTGGTTATCTTAGACCATTAGAAGGTAGGCACCATGGGAGTTATCCCATTAAATTGTTATAGAACTTCCACTTATTATTATTTGGAACATTATTAACCAAGAAAAATAGGTCCAGCCCAACCCAAGTCCCTATTGGGTCTAGATTCTGATAGTTCTTTCTTTTTTTCAATGTTGGGGATCGAAATAGGAAATATTATCATGTGCCCAATACTAGATTCGGTGGGGATTAGCTCATAAGTGGGGGGCACAAAAACCTGGGCGTCTCTCTACACAGTGGTGCCCTTATATTTATCTAAAAATAGAATAATAAGATTTTGAATAGTTAATAAAATGGGTCCCGGGGTAACATGAACAATTCACAAGTAAACAAAGCTGAAGAATAAAGTAAGAGCTATGTTAATATGACAGCCAAATTATTTTGTTCATAGCTAAACGATTTCATGAAACCTTTCAAAAAGCTAAAATCAAATGTAAATGGGGGGAGAGAGAGAGAGAGAGAGAGAGAGAGAGAAATGGAAACAAAGATGGAGATAGAGATAGAGAGAGAAGAGTGAGAATGAGACTTAGAAGACGACGGTAAGAGAATCAAAGGGAATGAAAAAACAAGTGTAGAAGAGTTTTATGATATTTTCTTACATTGCTTTCATATACGGCTGGACCCAGGTTGAGGCCAAACAAGTATGAGCACAATGCTGTTCTCTACCACTCTGGGACGACGTTTGCTAGCTCTTTGGCATGATGTCTGAGAATGAGAAGTCATAGAAAGGAGGACCTGCAAACAGAGGATCGAACAGAAGGCAGGTCAACCCTTAACCAAAGCAAAATATACAAGACCCATTGTAGGGGAACGGAGCTGGGATTTCTTGATAAGGGATGGTGAAATATCGGCTAAAGATAGAAAAAAAAAGCAAAAGGGGCCCCTTATTCCCTTTTATGGATCCTGATGGGCTCCTGTGACCTCCAGTACCAGGTGGGCTAGAGAGAGAAAGTCCAACATGTTTTCTGTTCTTCCTGCATCGCCCACATCCGATCTCAAATAAAATATTCATAAATATGATTTCACCCGACATATAGATTCCTTGGATCCCTGATAGATTCACTACCATGAGCAAGAATTACCTTCATGTTCACTGAGAATGTAAAATGGGACGTGGGCGATCATCTTTGAACCTCCTTCGCCCCACCTGACCGTGCCAGGGCCATTTCCCTGAACACTTGGGGGTCCAAGAACAGACTGGCAGATCGCCGGCTCATCCATCAAGCTCAGGTAGTCACACGCCCGCCTCCACACCATTCTGTCCAAGTTTTGAGATCGAGCAACCTAGAAGAAATTTATTTCAGATGTAAACTATCTTTGGGCGATAATACACATAGAAATTATGTTTTAATCTGAAGGATTATCTCATAGTTTGGAAGCAGACGCACCTTGGCTAGGGACACTCGAGCCCTTGGAAGCAACTCATGGTGGGATGTAGCCAGCTTCGCAATGGCAGTGACTACAAAGCAAAGCAGCCTAGATTGGGAAGACTTCCAGGCGGCTGCGCCGTTCGGGTTGAGAACTGATTCCTGACTACTGAGACCCAACCGACTTCCAGAAAAGAAAGAAAAAAAAAAAAAAAGGAAGCAGGAGTTGAGATAGATGATTTTTTCTTCTTTACTTAGAATACCCAAAAGCGACGTGCAATTCAGTTCACTGAGATCAAAGACCAACCTGGATGAAATGTTTTCATATAGCAGCAGTTCTAGGCTCTCGAAAAGCTCACGAGCAGTATCTTTGTGTGAGATCCCTCCACCTCCATGCTCCCCAATGGCCCAACAAAGGTGCAGAGCCAACTCAGTCTGTACAGATGACATCTCAGGGGTATTCCTTTACGAATTCCACAAGTAACATGGGAGTTTAGATCATCATCTGCTATTTCATGTCTATAGGCGGATTATTAGTGCACTAATTCAAATTCATATGAGAGAATTCATACTTCAATTTTCTACTGGCAGATCAGTAGAGCCTCAGTTCGAATCTACATGATTAGCAGACGGACGCATTTGTGTCATTTTCTTCAGCACTATTTGTGGTACAATAGTTTGAAGATGTTATTTCCACTAGACTCGATTACCACCCAAATATTTTTCTTCTTCAGGATCATGTCTATTCTCCACTCTAAGTACAGGAAGCTTGTCTCGCATACGATCATAACCTGGAGCATCACTATTGATAAGCCTAATGCAAACTTTGTAAGGCTTTTGCATATTTAGCACAGCATGGATTTCATGAACCCTTTCTTTTATTTATGGTAGTGGTGCCATGTATAGAGAGCCATCCATCTCTAGATCTCTGTGCACTCCATGATTTGAAGATAGCCCATTCACAGTGACACCGTTTGGACGGTCAGATGATGATGATGATGATGATGATGATGACACCGTTCGTAGGCGGATTATTGAATATAGCCTCCTTACCACAGGAAGAAAGGCTAGATTGAAGACTTAAGTTGAACGCCAGAAGGTTTAAACCATTCTATGCAGCATCGCCAAGGGCAACACAAATATGCTACCCACCCCTCCTCACTACCGATAATGGGATGAAGGTAAAACTCTATGTACCTCTCAAATTCGAAAAAAAAAAAAGCCGACGATCATGTTCAGACCAACTATTTAAACCATATAATTTATTTTATTATTATTATTCTATTTCTTCACTTCATGGTGTCTATGTCAGCATTGCATCATTGCGAATTGGAAAAAGATAAGAGCTATTCGAAGAAACATGAAGCAGCAGATCCCTACACAAAAATAACAGAAACAAGAAAAAGAGCAGGATGCATCTGGAGGATGGAAAGGATATCATTGATTGAATAAGCCACTGACACACACTGCAAGCACAAATAGCAAACCTAAAATTCAACTTGGAACCACAAAAAATAGATCCATGAACTCCAAATCGCAAGCTTTCAGATTCCTTACAAAGTAGAGCAAAGACCACGTCTCAAATAATAATTACCTTTTCAGGGGTACCATATGCCTCAGCAAGTCTATCAACAACAGGCTTCTGCAAGATCATTGTAAAAGTTCCATATCAATAAAACAATCAAATGTAAACAAATAGCAATATCTCCTCTCTCAGGATGAAACCATATAGGAAATATTTACACACCAATAACGGATCACAGAATCATGAATACTTCTGGTTTTTAACTTCTCCTAAAATAGACGTCTTTTTCATGTAGTATCTGGACAATGAATGATACTCACAGGGAAACGATATCTTTATCCTGTTCTAATACAGAAAACGGTTGGACAGACATTGAACACAAAAAAATAATAATAATAAGATTTTGCTACTCTAGTCCTCTGTTTAACAACCAGGAAGACAGAAAATGCCTTATCACAGGATATAGTGTATTTTCAAGACCAATTCTGTACACAATATCCTGACAGAGAGACATCAAATACAGAAGCTAATGAAGCATTTGGGTGTTACCTTCAGAATTGCAATAAATTCAGGCCAACGTTGAAATGCATCGAGCATAAATGCTAAAAACCTCCTCCGTACCTACAAAAATATGGCACTTAGGCACAGGACTGTGATTGCCATTTGAAAAGTACTAATAACAGCTTAAGAGATAGGAGAAGCAGTGGTAGAAGATGATGATGAAGAAGAAGAACTTCCGCTGTTGTTTCTGATCTACTGTTCTGCTGTTGCTGAAAAAGTGTTGGAAGTTCTAGGTCATGAGGAATAATGTAAAAGATTGAGGGTATTTTTGGGACACCTGTCTAAGGTTCCTCCCTATATAAGGGGAGTAAGAGGTGAATGGAAATTGAGGCGATTTCCGTCATTCTCCCCTCTGTCCTCTGTGACAGAGGTTATTCTCCGATTTCTACAAAAAGTACTATTAATGTATATGTTTCCACTCACGTTCAAATAGCTCCGTTTCTCTTTTCCTTGTTTTCACATTTTTTTTGTCAGATCAATATATTATTGATAATTCCCAACAGTGTATTTACGGATTGAAACAGAAATATATTATATCTGTAGTCTTTTGATCTTTCGCAAATATTTCAGTATGACATCTGAATGCCTATCTGGCAGCCGTAGTATATGCAGTCATAAGATTCTACTTCAGCTTAACAAAGTTGATACCAATATTTGCAGATTGTAAGGCCTGAAATTTGATATGAAAAATAATAACGATAAGATACTCTAACTATGGTCGATTTTAAGTTTTGCATCCAATAATAAAGAACTGGAGCCTCAGAATCTTCAAATGGTTTAGATATGGAGAGAAACCATCAAGAGACAATTTACATGCAGAAGTTGAGCAGGGAACTTCCTAAATATGAATTCATACTGTAAATAAGACCTGTGATGGACTATTTTCATTCATTCCCGTATCAACACTAGAACAAGGATAAACTAAAACGCTAAAAAGGGGAACATGATGTCATGTTCCTGTCAACGTTGCCAAAAGTTCACAAAAAAACCTATGCCTTCATTTGAGTTTCCCATGCAAAGAAGCTTTTTACATGCAAAATCGAGGAACAGACTCTAATTTCACACAACTTTTTGAACATTAATCAACATTCATAATTTAAACCATCATTATCAATCAAATTTCGTTGTAAATCTAATAAACATAATGGTCAACAAACAAACCAAATATTCAAATTAATTAAAATCTATAACAGAAAATGAAACCAACAAGGCTATGTCACCACATCTTACAAAATAAAATATAATAAATAAAATATTAATACATTGTCACCATAGAACCAAATTCTTGATTCAAATTCAGGAGGGCTTCCCATGGGAATGACTAAAGCAGATGAATCAATTGATTGAGTTAGTTCATTATTCTTATCCACCACTTGTTTGGCTGAGTCTGCAGTGGATCATGAAAGACTACACCATATACACTCAACTTACTGGTCGATGAATCCCAAAAGAGTATTGTTCAGTATTCCTAGAGGTTCCAAGAAAAGCTGATGAATATAAGTTTGAATTCTGCATGGAAAGAAAAGCAGATGACATATACATTGCAAAAAGAACCAATTCACAAACCTCAAAAGAAAAAATCTTATCAGGAAATATTGTAGCATTCCTGGACATCAGAAGTGGGATTAAAGCACAAACCAGTGCTGCAGAAACAACAATTTATTAAATTTTAAATTAGAAATGTCATGAGAAAAAATTAAAGGTGAACAAGACGAAAATATATTACAAGAAGAAATAAAATGTAAGACCTTGAAATGCAAAAAAAACATACAGTCACTGGCATCACGTAGTGCAATCCCAAAATACACATCAAGAAAATGTGGAGTCATCCGGAGTGCCTGTCTTAACCTATCAGAAAGGGGGGCGTTAACAGATGCCTGTAGAGCCGCTTCCATATCAGGAGATGTCCAATGTCGTGCCTGAAATCATGTAATAACGCTGTTGACCATTGTATCTTATAACTTTTTGTCTCAGAAAGGTCAAAGACGATTATGAGTGAAACATCCGGAAATGTAATTTAATATGTTGAAAAGAATAACAGGAAAGAACAGGAAACTTACAAGAAAGAACGAATTTAATATTCACATGGTTAAAACACTACGAAACCTGACCATCATACGAGAAACATAATATGGAGCATTATTCTCTTTTATCACTGCCTGAGTTTTATAACCTTGGATTATACCAACAGTCAATGACAGGAGACTGATTGCAGGTGAAAGATAGCATTATATAAAAGGGAAGCAAATACTGGGACAAACAATTATTTCGGAAGGAATGCAGCAAGTGATAGATATGTGATTAAAGCACAAATGACAAAAATATGAAATAAAACAGAGGAAAAATTACACTCACGAGAGATCATGTGCACCTTAGGTATATGTTTGCTAGCTTATCATCTTGGGTACCATTGTATTTCACCAATGGGATTCCATTCAAGCAAACAAGTATTATGGAAAATGCCTACCTCAAACTTGTTAAGAGCTAAAGTTAAAAACCGAGCTCAGAGATGAATCAATTCTAAATTTCGGAATTCCCACTACCGTAGTCTCCAGGGACCAAATTTTTCACTCGCAATAGCAGTAGCATAAATTGCGCCATTCAGGCTAGCCACACAATGCTCAAAAACCTGCTCACAGAGATATGTCCTAATGTCACTTTAGGAGATTCAGGTTTCCTTGATTATTGGTTCCAAAATTGTTTTGATCCAATAACCCTAGTTAGGTGCCAGAATTCTTGTTTTTGGTTATTTTTCTTTGGTTTATTTTTTCCCCTACTTTAATGAATGTAGCAGATTGATAACTCTGTCCTTTATCTAGCTATAGTTTCCATACCTACAAATCCTACAAAGCACAGTGTGCACAAATCAGGAAAGCTATTCTTCTGCTTGTTCAACGAATTAGTGTGCAGTCCACTATCCTTCATCCATATCTTCCCCCAGAAAAAAACATCATCAACTATGAACCATTAGTTTCTTCATCTTCTTTATATTTCGTTATATGTTACTGCAGGAGGTTGAGAACGGAAGTGAGAACTAAAACACAGTGTGTTAAAGTTGTCCTCTGACGTATGCAGAAAGAACTACATATTCTTGGATTTCTTTCTCCAGACGCCCTTGTGTTAATTCATTACACTTGGACCTAATTTCTGTTTGAAGGTCTTCTAACAGTTGTAGTCTCCCACTTCAACCTTTATTCAATCACTACATTTCTGTTCAATATCCCTTTAGTAATAGGCATATGTGCCACAGACCACACACTACAATGGTACTATCTTGCTCTCTAGGTTGTGAACAAGATAAAGTAACCCTGGTAGTAGCTTAGAAGCCACAGTTGTTCAAAAGGGCACAACATTACCAAAGTAGACTATCACTACACTATAACAAACTACTGTCATTTGCCTTGCAAGTCCTACTTTTATCAATAAAGTGTTAATTAGTAACCATACAAAGAGTCAAAAATGTTCAGTAACATTATTCTCTAATATTCTTTCCTGAATTTGCAGATAACAATTAGAAAAGGTCATGACATAGAGGTTACCCATTGCCTAGCACCAGAACAAGTACAGTTCTTCGTACTATGACCAATTGAAATTTGAACCCATAAATTAAGAAGATATCCCAGCAGCATTCACATCAAGCGCATTTACTTTCCATATCCTTAGAGAGTTAATTTCCTTTATTGTTTGGTCAAATAAGTTTAGACTTTTCATGAGGTTATTTCAGTTTCTAGGGTCTAAAATTTAATCAGTAAAAGATAAAAACGTTCAGTAACAATTTGATAAAGAGCATTAATAGTACCTGAAGTCTATGGCCCTAATTGTAAAGGAAATATAATCAAAGTTCTGGACAATCAAAAATAAGCACCATGGAGACTTCCAAAATATATTATGTTTTAAAGAAAATAACATACGGCTAAGCCATCATTCTCATCCTTGAGAAGGTCAAGAAAAAGTGAATCAGCAACATCAATGGCGTCACTATCATCGGATCCTGAGCCAACCCCTCTATCTTTTATGGTCGTGCCAGTATAAGCTTCATCCATGAGCGCAAGGAGCATCTGTGAGAAGAAGAATGTATCAAAACATAGTGCTTACAAAACTTATTTTACAGAAAATTATGGATGCTTTACCTCTGGGGCCGTACTCTTCTGGATAGTTGCAATGCTACTACCCACGAGTGTCCCTGAGTTCCTTTCTACCTTTTCCAGTGCCACAACTAGTACTGTTTATAGATGATGACGATGAATGTATGGCACACATGAATAGATTAGAAGGAAACCAAATTTTCATTCATGAATATTAAACGTGCAAGCCTAACAAGAATAAATATGTAAATATATACAGCCTTTCTATACGTTTATGTTTCAAGCTATCGAGCAATATTTCTCATCGAACTCCAACATCATTGACAAGACTAGTGTGCACGAATCTTCAAACAAGTTAACTATGCTCGAAAACCGAGAATGTTACAACAAAAACTAACAATCAGCACTTGACTCTCAATTTCAGCAGTGTCTGTCAAGTCGTGTGTGATGACACTTTTCATTGCAATAGAAGAGGAGCATCTTGTTCTTCTCTTGTATAGAACGTTTGTTATTCAGTGTCGTAGATAGTTTAGTACTGAGGTAATGATGCCTAATGGTAATGATGATGAAATTCTGACCAATCACCTTCACGCTAACTTCAGCGTTCTAATAATGTAGCCTAAGCTGTAACTAATAGGAATACATCTGGAGAAAAACGTGCTCGGTGGAGACTGTTGACTTATAAATCTGCTCAGAAAATTAAAAAATGCAGGATGAGATGCTCCAAATCTTCAATAAGGTTCTAGAAGAACCCATTGTCCCAAATCCACTGAAGTATCAATAGCCCCCCACTGGCATATGTCTAATAGAATCCCCAAAGGACAACAAGCAAATAAATCATGCTAGTTAAGACTCGCCAGCACACCCAAAGGTTGTCTTAATGATTGTGGATCTATTAAAACAAGAAGGGAACGCCACAAAAGGTAGGCCGATGGAAACGTCAGAAAGGTTGCTGCAATGAAAATAGAACATCAAACGCCTAACAGTTGCCCATCAGAAGTGTCTCTAAATGCCCAGATCCCATCGAACTGTAGGGGTCTCCACTTTAAGCTTTCAAATAAATCAATTGAATTCAGTCATGTTATCAGATTTCTTGTACTTGTTATCCTTCCAAATCGCAAATCTAAATCAAAAAGTATGTAACTTTGACAATCAACCTATGATGTAGCACATCACTAAGAAAAAAGAGTAGAAATTTTTTTGACCTAAGTGGCTTGAAAACGTAAAAACGTGGACTAAAAACGTTTGAAGGCCCAAAATAAGATTAAGCCCAAATAAATCGCGTGAATAACACGTCAGTTTTCAGTTTTAGTGACTATTTTGATCTTAGGCCGTTTCAAATTTGTTTTCGTAACTGATCCAATTTTCTAGGAAACTTACAGCAGATTTTTGGCCTATTTAAAGGCTAGCATGCTATGACTCCAAGGAGGATGAATAATACAAATTTTTGTTCTCTTTTAGAGATTTCCTTTTTTCTTGTGGATTCAAATAACACTTCTGGATTCAAGGGGGCCTTATTTTCATCCTTGTGGATTCAAGGATCGATTTTAATTATCTTTGTGAGATTTCTGAGTGCTTGTGGTTCAAGCAAAGCTTGCGAATTCAAGGGGCGTTTCCTAACCCTTGTGGATTCAAGGATAGTTCAAAATCAAACTCAAGAAATAGAAAAATAAATAAAGTTCAACTAAAACGTGAAAAAGTGTACTGACGACAGAAATTGCAAATAATTAAATAGTTTTTGTAAAAACAAGGGCAAACAAAATATGACTCTCAAGCAAAACAAGAGCATAACGACATTGAGCTTCAATTAAAAACTAGGTAACCCTAAAACAGGAATAGCTAAGGGAGTCAACGTTGAAAACTCAAATACTATTAGTTAGAAGTCGAAACTTGATGACCATTCATTCTGATGAAGTGTGAGAAATTCAAACATACAAAAACGTCCTATTAGTTAGAAGTTGAAAATTGACTGACCAACAGCTAGTTTGGTTGGCAAGCTGCATTTTGTTCTCTGATGGTAATTGTACTTTAGTCCTTTCTATAACACATTAGGCGTTACAGTGTAGGAATCAATGGAGTTTGCACATTTTCCAGATCCTTCCCTAAATGCGATGTCAAATTCACTCTATGTCAAATTCAATAAAGTTAGTTCAGAAAGTTGATGTACTTTGAAGAATATGACGATTAAGCCACGTTCTGATACACTGTGTCCTAGGGACAGTTTTGAATGTTACATTATGATAACACCATCTAGCAAATGTGCCATAAAGGTAAGGTTTCTTTTCTAAAAAAAACCGATAATGCCACAGTTCATAATGTATATCCTTGGGAATGAGAGGGATGCGTGTGTGTGGTAGACAACCTGTATCTTAAATCATATAGCATCAAACAAAAAGGGCGACTCCCCATTTCTTGTTTGTAACGGCATCATCTCGTATAATACATAAAGGCAGTTGCATATTTTCCAGATGAGTAAATACTTGTTTGATTAATTATGCTCACCCATGTCGGTGGTTACATGGTACATGCACTGGCTTTGACACTGCCATAGAAAATTCCCAACACACATAAAACTTGATTGTGGGGTATTAGATCTACAAAAATTTGCATATGGAAATTCTGAAAAGTTGGCATTCATGCAAAGTTAAATTTGATCTGAAAAAAAAGTCATGACAAGTGATTGAAGAAATTAGCCAAATAGGTTGAAATATACATCACATTGTTTCCACATGAGCATAAACACATGGAATGACCCTAAATCTAAAATTCAACACCTCAAGCAGTCACCTCTTCTCATAAAACTTTATTGACCCCAACTAATTAGAAAAAAAGGTCCTAATTGACTTCTAGCATATCCAAGTACTAATGCCCTAATGAAAGCAGACCACTGAAAAAATAAGAAACAGGATTTCACCAGGCACTTCTAGCATTCTTTATATTATGAGACAAAAGGCCGACAGTACCAGCCATAAATGATTACGGCTAAGGAATCAAATTAACAATTAACAACACAATGTAATATCCAAAATCCAAAAAGGCTTACTTGGCAAATCTACAAGTGATGGAAGAAGTGGAAGAATTGATCCAGGAGACATCATTCCTGGAAGAACTTTTGAAAACAAAGACTCCAATCTGCAGAGAGTAAGAGGGAACCGTAAGGGACCACTAATTACAGAAAAGAAACTCATACTACTTAAGATTTGAAGTACAAGAGGAAAAGTATGAATTGACAATAAGAAGAATGAATCTACATCGCGTACAGATATTGTAATATATAGCTAAGTCACTAGTCATAAATATCAACGAAAATCAAGCAGAACACAACCCATACCTTTCACCATTCCAGGCAATTAACTTGAGCAGCAATGGGAAGAACTGCAATACAGTAATTAAAATAAATAAAAATGGTTTGGAAGAGACCTAATATCTACACAATGCGAAGACACTTCACTATTTGATTTCCTAAAATAGACATTAAAACGTACATTTTCACATTTATATAGTATTCCCTAACTCTACTTTCGTTTTACAATAAGAACAGCTTATCTCTTTGGAAAGGAAGGGGAAAGAAAAAGGCAAAAGCTCAAGCATATAAAAAATTGTGAATATGCTTACAATAAAAGTGGACGGAAAAAACAACTTGTACAATGCATATGTTGAAGGTAATCCCAAATAATACAACATTTAGCATTCAAGTCCTCTCGCAGTCAATTAAATATCTCCCCCCAAAAAAAGGAATGTCAACAACATAACACTAATGTTCAACCATATATTGTGTCAGTGGATGAAAGTCGAACTATCACCTAAAAAATTTCGGAAGATATTCAGTGCATGATCATGCATATTTTTAATTGCATATCATCAGAGGTGTGAGTCAAATTTTCTTCCGCTAATTTTCGCGCATACCAATGCAGCTATAGTGAACCTTCGAAACATCCCATAATTATGGTAAATATCAGAGGAATTCGTCAGAAACAGAACTACATCTTTCATATAAAGACGCATTCCTTTATCTCTACTCACTGAAATGGTCTGGGAATGCTTCAATGTCATGTTGAAAAATCTTACTTGTAACATCTATCTTCCCCAACGAGCTATAGATGCAGCCTAGAATGTACTGTTGCCATCTATCTTGCCAATCAGTCTCCCACTTTGAGCGATTTAGGTCTTCTCTGTTAGGCCAATGATACAGCATCGGAATTCGCAGCCTTTTTGGTATCTCCCTCAGTGCACCACTCATTTCTCTCAATTTACTTTCATTCGTATCCAGGTAATTCGTGTTTTTATTTTACCCTAACTCCAACACTCCTTTCTTTTGCAAGCACTGTATTTTCATCTCCAAAATCAATTCTTTAACTTTCACAAGTAGAAGATTAATAATTGTGATTCGCCAAAGGTTTCATTATTCTATAATTTCACCTTGCTCCCACCCCACCAAATTCCACCGCACGGGGAGAGATGAATACTTCCTATTCCAATGCATCTTGCTTGTGCTGACCAACAAGGGTGAAGGGTCCTTTTTCAAACTCACACTACAGACAGTACAAAAAAGTACATTGAGGTTGCACCAAATTGGTAGGTCTCCCAACCCCAATATCTCAAGCTCTCTTCCTCTATGATACTTTAACTTATAACCTATAAGAGTCTCAAGAATTTCCCCAGATTGGCCCTCAACTGACTTTGCTTTTAACCCAGAATCAGTCATGTAACCGACCCTCAAGCCTCATACGGAGTCATAGAACAGGCTTATTTCTTGGATGTGAGTTCAAATGCTTAATAGAGGGTTTTTACAATCAAAACCATTGATTAAAGGATTGATTTACTCAACCTTACAGAATCAATAGGCAAGGAATTGATGCGTAGATATGTAACTATCTTTTGCATTATTCAGTTGCAAAAATGAATTCATCGCTTTAAATCACCACATCATAAAGAGAGGCATACCTGAGTAAGTAAGGCAGGAAAAGATCTAACGATTTTTGTTTTGTTGAGGTTGAGAAAATTTAGAGTGGCTTCAGCCACAATAGGGTCTGCAAATTCTCTGTACGCCACGAAGGATATATTGGTTAAGACATCAAATTCAAATGACAAGAAGTAAAGTACTTATTGTGTAAAACGCGAAATGGAAACATATAAATATCATAAAGTTGTCTGCCAGTCAAAAAAGATCGTTAAGCACACATCAGAATCATTTATAAAGAAATAAACAGAAACGAGTTTAACATATGCCGAATTAGGTCAACAGAACTACTGTTTATTGTAGAAGGCAGAAGGTACGATTTGTTTTCCGAAAGTGTCTAGTGTGGACATCACCATACTAAGAAGCATCGTCTCAATAGTCAGGAACTGTCTAAGATCCACAAAAGATCAAAGACTTTGACCAAGTTTGAACATAGGGACATTAACAAGCAGTCCCATAAACTAAAATCTGGGTATAACTATCTTCATTACTATGTGACTTAACCTCATACAAGCTAGCAGCAACTCCCCAGAGTCAACCTAAGAGTAAGAAAGTGAATAGAAAATAAGATAAAAAAACGTTTTTGTGACCCTGTCACGACAAAATATGACCAAAAGGGTAATAACAGCACAATTCCAATCATAAATGGATGATAAATGTATAAATTTTTAGCGTGAAAAAAAAAAAGAAATGTGAGAAAAATGTATCTTCCATTTTTCATTTTAGCAAAATGAATATCATATAGTCCGAATAATGAAAAACATTTCAAGTACAGAGCAGGAAGATGAAAATAATATTTTCTGTCACGCTTCATGCAAGAGGAAATTAACCATGAGTTTCACTTAAATAAATCCTTAAAAATTGCTTAAATCTACAAATGATGGAGGGAACATATACCGGCTCAAACAAGAACGCAAAAATGTCCTTAGGCTAGGATCAGCATCATGCAGAACTGCTTCCCCAAAATCAAGAAAAAATTGAAGAATTGCCTGTATTGAGAAATATCAGACATAATCAATCCATTTGTTAGGATACTAAAAATTTAAACATAGAATCCAGATGATGAGCAAGATTCCTGCTGAATGTTTTCCCTTTCCTTTTTTTCCATTCTATCTACAACGTCATAAATAGCTTTAATTTCACACCAACTTTGTAGTTAAAAATAGACATCACCATGAGACAAGACAAACTATCTGAGATGGCAAGTTCCAAACCACTCACAGTGAAGCTACACAGCAGACATCCTTGTTCGACTGCCATCCATTGAGAAACCCAATGCTGTAGTTATCAAGTCTCCATTACACCAGGCCAAACCACGTATTAGTCTATGCATTTTGCGAGGACTTCGTTCACCATCTGTCTTCTGATCAATACCTCGGCTCTCTGTACGAGTCCTCGTGACCTTGCCTAGATAAAATTCGAGTTAAAAATTTTACTCTATTTCAAGCTTTTGACCTCAAACCACTGTGCGATAACACAGCCTAGCCTTCTCTTTAATAAGCCACCACACACACACTGGAACACTATCAGAAAATATGAGAACGTCGCCATCCAAAAGAGAAAAAATGAAGACTCCTTTCTGCAAGCAGCCAGCCTTTCTGTGGTTGAAATTCCCCAAAAAAACGGTGACTATTCATAAGGACAATTACAGACATTTGATGAGATACCAAATGTGGAGAAGAAGCCATTAATGGTTAACTCGTCAAACCTATACTCCATCGTGCACCTACTCTCCAAAACACTATATTAAACAAACCCATTTAACACCTGATTCCCATTAGTAACTATAAACCGATACGCCAGAGTGATTTCCCATTTCAAACCGCCCACTGTCCAAATGCACTGATGCTAATTCACCTTTCAAACCATGGCGACAAAGCAATTTTCCGGGAACATAAATGGTAATTCACAGTACCAGCAGGAGTGGGCCGTAGGTGGTGCGCGACTGGGGCAAAGCCGCCACGCAGCGTTGGAAGAGCTTGTTGACGCTCGGGTACACCTTGGCCACGAGGTCCTCCGACTTATCCTCCCTGCAGATCTCGCAGAGGCTCCTCACCTTGAATCCACCCAAACAATCGCACAAAGGTCAGAATCGGAGCACGAAAAGGCGGACGACAGGCGAGTGTTGACGGCGTACCGATCGGACAACGGCGGGGTCTGCGGCAGGGTCGGCCCCGAAGTCCCTTGCGTTCGTGGAGAGCGATCGGAGGTGGATCTCCCAGTCTCTCTGCCTCCCCTCGTCCATGGCGAGGTTCTGCCAGCACCTTTCGCTCCTCCCCGCCCGCCACCTCCGGTGCTCGGGCGAGAAACCTCCAGGTCCAACGGCAGCTCACTGGATGTAGTGGTCCTGCGGAACAGTCCAAGTTAGGATGCTTCCCCCCCGGTCCATAATACGATCGGACCCACCTCTGGCTGGAGGGAGAACGAATTTTTGGAAATGCATTCCATATATGTCAATTAAATATAAATATTAGATAAATTTTAAAATAGAAGAAATAGCTTTAAATTAAAAAATTGGGTCTTTTATATGAACTTCTAAAAGGAGAATTGGCATTATGAAAATAATTCTAAGTTTTTAAAACTGATTTACACCTGATTTACATTTTCTATGTAGGTTTTATAAAAAAATATATAAATAAAAAATTAATTAAAAAAATGATTTTATTGACCAATGGGGTGGTCCCTTGGGGTGGCACTCCTACAAATGAAGTCAACCATAGCATATGAAGTCAACTCATTGGTGAGTGGCATACCTCTAGAGTGAATTGATGGATTAGGGAACATGTAGACTATTGTGGGAGGGAAAACTATTTGATGCACATTCCCTCATTACAAAGTGGAGAGAATAGGGCCATGGCAGAATTTTAGGCAACCCATATCAAGGGTCCATTATAACAATAAAGGGAAAACCATGCAAGAGTTTTCCTTTTCTTGATCGTTAGATTGCAGTGTTCCAGTCATGAGAGTGTACAAAAGTTGGTATCTTCCTATCTCAATTAGAGAGTCTTTGTATTGACCATCTATATTTCCACATCATCTCGAAGAATAGAGGTTGTCTCGTGCCAGTGAGGATGATGAAGACTACTAGTCTAAGACGAGAATCAAGGTGAGTTTAATACTTGACCTATGACACAGTGTGTGGAGAATCTAAGACAACCAAGTGTTTTACACAATGAGTGCATACCTAGTGGATGTTATATACACATGCATGTTATGTCAAAGGATATTAGTCAACTCCAATGATCTTTGTTCTAGAGTAAGTCTAAGAAAGGAGATTGGACTAACATGTGATAGCATGAATCACTCATGCCTTCATTATTAAGGCATGGCATGGTGGTTGTGAGGGCTATTTTTTTAAGTTCTCAAGTTAGTCCTATAGTTGAAATATATGTATAAGGGAATGGTCAACTATACAAGAACATGTTGATTAACCAAAATAGAATATTTTATTGGTATGTAAGATGGTGAGGGTAGGAATAGAGAGAGGGGGGTCGTAAATCTTTTCATTCAACAACATTTAGTAGCTCTTTTTATTCAATTCAATCCTAAAAACTTAGAAAAAAAAATCTAATACAATCTGAAGTTATGAGTTATGAACCTCGAATATAATTTCTTTTGAATTTGATTGAATAGACAAACATTAGATTTTGAACATAGGCACAAAATTTTTATAGTGGTTCAACCATCCTAGGCATATGTCTAATTCCCAAAGATTTCTTCATTAAGTTTGAATATTAACTCCTTATAAATGCAATTGATCTATATGAGATCAACAACCCCCCATATAATATAGAGTAAAGGAATCTATATCAATTAACTATAATCCAAGGTTATAGCAATCTTTTTCAACCCCATTGCATGCATATCATAAGTGCCTTGATGTGATAAAAATAACGATTAATACAAATCAATGATATTAAGGAATTTTATTAATGCTTTTAAGAGATGGTAATGAGTTCAACTCTGTTGAAGGTGTTTGATGTTGGGGCTTTGGTGAGAGAGAAAATTGCTTGATATTTCTCTTGAATGTAGGAGCACTTAGAAGTATTGACTTCTAATTGATTCTCTGTATATGGAAGGAGGGCCCAGAGGAGGAGAAGCTCATCGAATGTCACTCACCCATGATTTCACAATCTAATTCCTAATCTAATTTATGACAAAACACCCAATTTCTTATAATTGGGCCAAGTTGCAATTTGAGCCTTAATGACTCTTTCTTACCAAGCTAGGCCTTTTGGAAGTTAAAACAATCAAATGTTACTAGACCAAATCCCTGGGCTTGATCAAGCTTGTGAGATATGAAGGGTTGTGCCTTTAGTGGGCCAGACCTTTAAACTCTAATGGGTCATGCCTGAAAATACATGTGAAAAATATATGTACAAGTCTTGTAAAATCCATATTAAATCAAAACCTTGATATTCTTAGAATCTATTTGTTTAGTTGATTTCCTCCCTATTTTAACTTTCCAATGAGTATCTACGACTAGTGTTCACAATTTAAATCTCACCACAAAGAGGTTATTTTTGTTATATGAAATTATGGCAAGTTAATAATATATCTTAATTATATCCTACCTAACATGCAATTCATAATAAAGAAAATTGATTAATGTAGTGAGAAATTTGTTGCAAAATTCATAAATAACTCTTTAGTGAATGATTTATTTTTTTCAAGTTAATGTCATCAAATTCATTATTTTGTGTTTTGTGAATTTATTGAAATAACATTTCAGATCATCAAAATAAATAAATATTTTAAACCCAATATATTCTTTCTCAGTGATATATAATGTTCCATAGATATGTAAATTTACCCAAAGATAATACTTTTCATGTCTTCTCCAACTCATACATTTGTATTTATATGGTTTTTTAAATATCCCAAAAAAATTGTGTCAAAATCACGATAGAACACATACATTTCACATCAATATATATATATTTTTATGTTTACCACCAATAAGATCAAATTATGTCAACCATAATTGCAAGTATAATTCACTACATCAAACAACACACTATTATAAAGTATATACTTACATTCATATGTTCATCTTTGTTCTTTCAGAATAGTAAATGTTGATCTTCATCTAGATTATTCAATTTTTGGAAATTATTAGAAACCATTATTAAGTTGAAAATAGAGTCGTTCATAGCTCCTTACTACTACAACTAAATGAAGGTCTTAAAACCCTTTTATTGTCCTCACATGAAAGATTATATGAGTTAGTTCTTAAATCTTTTCTACTTTGTTAAATTCTTGAAAAATATCTTTGATTTTGGGTTTGTGATAAATGTGTCCACTCATTGAGTCAACTCACTTGGGTTGGGTTGGGTTGGGTTGAGTCAATTTTTTTCTCTCTAAAATATTTCCTTTTATTTCAATTCAAATTTCTTATTTCATATCTCTTCCTATATTATTATTTTTGCTGATTTATATGCATGAATAAATAATTAAAAGACAAGTGGAATAAAATTTAACAATTTATATCTTCGTCGAATCATTCACGTAATAATGACATCAAAACATATAAATCAACACATTGTCTAGTGAATCAAGCCTTTAGATTATCAAAAGAGGTAGTAAATTACCCATTTTCTGATGCCTACATAATTAACATGATCTTATCTACTATACTAAATCTGATCTGATCTAATGATGAGTTCACTAAAGGGTCTAATCTTGAGCTCAATTCATCAGCTTTTCTTTGTAAGCTCCCAACTATCTACCGACCTGGCTACCTACCTACCTACCTACCTACTTATCTCTCTATCTATCTACCCAGGTAAAACCTCCTCAATGTAGTAAGGGTTTCCTACCTAACCATATTAGGTCAAACCCCCTCTTAATGAAAATGGTTGCCTATATACTACGTACGACTTCTGGCCTGTGCACCGCACAATCAGATCCAGGCTGACACGTGGCGGGCCGGGCTACATTGACACCGTTTAATATTAATATTATAAGCCCCGTTTTATTTTATTTTTTTCTCATGGACGGCCGAGGTTTAAGCTCTCCGATCAGTGAAGGGACAAGTCAAGGAACTCCCTTCGCACGTGCGTAGACCCCCCCGCCGGCGCCGGCACGAACGGTACGAGAATCGACACGCATCGATTCGCAGCAGTAGCTTCCTGCGAAAACCAGATTCGGCCCCGCTCTCACGTGGACATCCACTAATAGGATATCGCCACGTCATCGAGGGGAATCATGCTCCGAATCTACCCCTCTCCACGACAACCGTCAACTCGCAGAAGGCTGGGCCTGCCTTCTGACTCAAAGTGTGGGAACCCTCCAGTTCGATTTGCCTTGTTCAGAGATCATACGCTGGCGGCTAGAAGAAGTCGATTTACTCCTCACGTGGACACATTGGGCCTAAGTGGCGGTATTTCTGGTTGAGAATCCTGAATCGCAGGGATCCGTGCCAATCTATTCGTACGAACTATTTATTAAAAAATAGAACAACTGTATTTATTTATTTATTTTATTACAGAGGGAGAGAGAGGGGGGGTTGCATTAAATCCGGCTCCTCCGGCGACCGGGGGACCCCGGGGCATGAGGGACACGGAATGGACGGTAGTGATTCGTCGAACCCAACAGACTCAAATATCTTCTAGAGAGAGGACAACAGGTCTCCTTCATTCCTCAAAAGTCGGTAAGTTACAGTTTTGGACAGCTAGCTCTGGATATTTTATATGTGCCCACCGCGCTCATGCTGCCGTCACTTTCCTTTCACGGGAATCATCGAAATCCCGACCCCCGCAAGAGGACAATTACAGAAAAATCCCCGGCCGCGTGGGGAGAATCCGACTGGACGGTCCAGATGGGCGTTACTGGGGCCCACCTGGCGATCGGATCCTGCGCCACGTCATTTTCTCGGCGGCCTACGTGCACCGAAGGTATTTCCTAAAATGCCCCTACCCCACGAGGGCGGCGGCATTTGGGGAAGAAACGCTCCCGATTTGCCCTCTCTGGCCGCTGGCTATAAATACTGCGCATCTCCTACCGTCTTCTCCGGCTATCTCCGGCTCTGCTTCTTCTTCGTCGTCATCGTCGTCTTCTTCTTCTTCTTCCACCGTTGACACGGAGATGTGGGCTGTGAAGCATCCGCCTGCATCAGCCCTCGCCGCGGCGGCAGCCGCCGACGTTGTAAGGTCCAGGGCTGCGCCGCCGCAGCGGGCGAGGATCTCCACGGCGATCGCCGGCGCCGGGAAGTCGGTTTCCTCGCAGAAGCCGCTTCATCTGCCGTCGCTCGATGGGGTCGGCTTCTTCCGCGCGGCGGCGGAGGGCGCGAGGTGGCGGAGAGACGACGTCGCTGCGGGAGCCTTGGAGGCCGATGGAGTCAGCCTGCCTTCCGAAGGGGGGGATGCGGTAGCGAAATCGGCGGCCGCGAAGAAGGTGAAGATCGGGATCTACTTCGCGACGTGGTGGGCGCTGAACGTGGTTTTCAACATCTATAACAAGAAGGTCCTCAATGCCTACCCCTACCCGTGGCTGACCTCCACTCTCTCCCTCGCCACCGGCTCGCTGATGATGTTAATCTCCTGGGCTACTCGGATCGCCGAGGCACCCAAGGTGGATGCCGACTTCTGGAAGGTCCTCTTCCCGGTAAGCACGAACTGCCTCTCCCCTGCCGAGATTGAGATTTTCTGTTCGTTACCGGATCTCTCTCCGTGATCCCCGGAGTTCTAAGTGAGTTCTTGTGTACAGGTGGCCGTAGCGCACACGATCGGCCACGTGGCGGCGACGGTCAGCATGTCGAAGGTGGCAGTGTCTTTCACCCATATCATCAAGAGCGGGGAACCGGCGTTCAGCGTGCTGGTTTCGAGGTTCCTCCTTGGTGAAGCGTTTCCCCCTGGAGTTTACCTCTCCTTGCTCCCCATCATTGGGGGCTGTGCACTGGCTGCGCTGACGGAGCTGAACTTCAACATGATCGGTGAGTAGTTTTGCAGTTTGCTCCAAGATGACTGTAGGCGTTCAACGTGCTGCCATTTCAGTGGGTTCTTGGTATTTGTTTCCTCTGATCGCCCCCTTCTCTCTGTGGCTGTGGAACTTCCTGTCTCATTTCATTTGGGATCTCCCTCTTTTGCTGATAGCTCTGTTTTCTGCAATATGGTTTTAAAGAGCCTAGATTCTTCAATAATTTTCCTTAGGGTTCTCCTGATTTTCTCTTTTTTTAAAATTCACGGATCTCTTGAAGCTCCGGCTATTTCTTTAATGCATGTGATCTGATTGATCTGATTTTCTTTCGCCGATTCTTCCGGCAAGACAGAACGCTTTGCAGAATGCCGTGACAAGGGCGATTTCCTGCGTTCTCGTCTTTAATCGCGAACGCACCAGAACTAACTACCCCATTGAATGCTCAACTAATCGGCCCTGGTTTCCGCAGGTTTCATGGGGGCGATGATCTCCAACCTAGCATTCGTGTTCAGGAACATCTTCTCAAAGAAGGGGATGAAAGGGACCTCGGTCAGCGGGATGAACTATTATGCCTGCCTGTCGATGATGTCGCTCGTCATCCTCACACCTTTTGCGGTGGCCGTCGAGGGGCCGCAGCTGTGGGTCTCCGGCTGGGAGAAGGCCGTGGCCGAAATCGGGCCCCATTTTGTCTGGTATGATAGATATCATCTAGATCCAGTTTCTGCTTCCCATAAGATCCACTGATTCATATCATCTCGTAGATTATGTTATCGATCTGATGATGATGCTAATATTGCCCAGGTGGGTTGCCGCTCAGAGCGTGTTCTACCACCTGTACAACCAGGTCTCCTACATGTCGCTGGACGAGATCTCTCCGTTGACCTTCAGCATCGGCAACACGATGAAGCGGATATCCGTCATCGTCTCCTCCATCATCATCTTCCACACGCCCGTCCAACCCGTCAACGCTCTCGGCGCCGCCATCGCCATTCTCGGCACCTTCATCTACTCACAGGCAAGCCCATCCCATCTCCCTCCTCTAGACGCCCCCACGAGGCTCCATCTCCCTGACTGGCTCCTCCCCCATGGTTGTGCAGGCCAAGCAGTGAAGGAAGCACTATTCAGCAGTCTCGGCAGACAGAAGGGCTAGCCGCCATTGGGCCACTGGTAAGAACCCTTCCGTGGTGTAGATAAAACTCGTCATGGTGGGGGAAGATCGCTAGACGTAGGAATAAAGGATCTGCGCCTCACCGTCGAAGGGCATTCGTTAGCAGCCCCTGGATCGGAGGTGCCGGAGCTGGAAGATGGAAGAAGGCCTCCTCGTACCAGAGGCAGGATTAGAGTGCTGTACTGGGGTAATAAAATAAAAAAATCATATTTATCCCCCATATATTATTCTCAATTTTCATTGCACCTTCATGCCCATTCCCCTAGATTTATTTATTTTTGCTAAATTTTGTCTTCATTTTTTATGTTATGAACCCAATAAAATATATAATAAAAGTGTTTTTTTATTATCATGCTGAAGGTATCTATGCACCGAAGAAGCTTTCTTCAGCTGGTGGGATATTTTTCCCTTTCAGTCTCGCGTCCCACCAGCTAGATATTTTTTTTTTCTTCATTTTTTATGTTGTGAGCCCAATAAAATATATAATACAAGTATTTTTTTTATTATCATGTTGAAGGTATCTGTGCACCGAAAAATCTTTCTTCAGCTGGTGGGATATTTTCCCCTCTCGGTCTCTCGTCCCACCTGCTAGATTCTTTTTCTTTCCAAGCTTGACTTTTCTTTTCGATATTTATGCACAAAATTTCTAAATATATGCATTTTTTTTATTTATAAATATATACTTATTTATCTAGACATATAGACGGGTTCAAATGAGAGTTGACCTTTTGAGACAGTGCTGACCTAGATGGGAACTAGGTTGAACCACTTTTTCACTATGACTTGGATTTGATTCCCAAATATATAAAGTCAAATTCACTTGTAATAAATAATTCGAGCTTGATCCAATCGACTAAAGTTTTCTTTCTAGGCTTCCAACACGGCGTCTGGTCAACCCAAATAAAAATGTGTATGCGTTCAATGTCAACCCTTCTCCCACCGGAGAGAATAGATCATCTTGAACTCTTTTGAAAACGAAGGCAGGCATGAAAAGCCTTTCTTCGTGATTAACACAAACCCTGTTACTAAATTAAGAAATCAAGATGGAATCATCATTAAATTTGCGCCGTTGACTAGCACAAGTCCAAAGATAGAGAGAGCGAATCGTGCAAACGTTGACAGACTTGGAGTAGAGAGAGAAAGAGGCAGAGAGACAGAAACCACTGGTCAAAACTAAGCAAATCTTCTATTGGTTCTGTTCCAGTCTCCATCTTGAGTAGGGTTTTCTCCCCCACACATACAATGAAAATAATGAGAGGGAGATATCTACAGCTAGAGAGAGAGAGAGAGAGAGGTGGAATGGGGTACACTTTGTTTTCCGGTCGATAAAAAATTAGTTATAGCATTACTTAAAAATCATCAAGAAACTTTGGGGAAATAAACCCATTTCAGGAAAATCAATATTTCCCCAGAAAAATTTGGGCATGGAGGCCACAAGACCCAAAAATAGGAAAATATTGGGGTAAAAAAAAAACCCTAACAATAACCAGACTATAATTGGCGCTCAAACTGTTCTTTAACCCTGATTTGGCATCGAAATGGACATAACGTCCTGAACAGGAACCCAGGAGAGACCTAGAAAAGCGAAGTCCCCTTCCCCTTCTTGTCTCCTCCGATCTCGAAATGCTTGCACCTCTGTAGAAACCCCAAGTCCACACAGACAGACACCAAGAGGAGCTTCACATCAGAGATGGGCGGCAGAGAGGGGAAAGTAAAAATAGAATAGGAAGAACTCCAGTCAGACCACTCCCCCCTGAAAGAACTGACCTTGATTGCGTGCTGAGAGTAGTGCTTGCAGCCCTGACACTGCAGCTTCAGCACGATCTTCTTCGTGGTTTTCGCCTGCCCAACATGAAAAATATAAAGATCAGCAAAGAATCACCAATAGGGTTCTTCCGATCTTTTGTTTCTTTATTTTTTCAATTCAACAGGAGCGGGAGGAGGGGAGTCCACCTTCTTGTGGAAGACGGGCTTCGTCTGGCCTCCATACCCGGATTGCTTCCTGTCATATCGGCGCTTGCCCTGAACGGAAAGGCTGTCCTTGCCCTTCTTGTACTGGGTGACCTTGTGCAGGTTGTGCTTCTGGCAGGCCTTGCAATAGGTCCTCCTTGTCTTCGGAACGTTCACCTGGCCCAAAAATGTTCAGAGAATTATTCACAGAGATCTGGCCTGGATCAGCCCACTTTGATCACCTCCTCATTGTAGATAAGCTTCAAGTCACTTGATTCCAGAAAGATATGTAAGAACAGCATGAAGAAGTAAACCAGAGCTCATCACCATTCCTGATACATCCCATAAATATACTCTGTTCATATTTATCAAAGATTAAAGCGGGGATTTATCTGCTATGATTCAAGGAAGGCAAGTCCTCGTGCTTAACCTAATTTCCACGATTTTGTTTAGGGCTTGGACGATTGCATCATCCGCCATTGAATCATCTCAGCCCAGAAATGCAGATATCCTTCACGGAACCCTAACTCAGTCCATTTGGTTCATCTCCTTGTCGTAGATAATAAGGTTGGAGAGGTGATCCAGAAAAATAATACCATTCGGACGAGTTACCTGATTCCTGAAAGTTATTCTAAAATAACAGATGGAGAGGTGATCCAGAAAAATAATACCATTTCGGGATTATCCTACATCTCGCTACCTATCTTTACTTTGCATATAATCGGATCAGCTCATGTCTCAGCTCCGGGTTGACATCTGCTTGCTCTACATTTCGAAAGCCAGATCTTTGCATTATCCTAATTTCCACGATTTTAATTAGGAGTTGGATGATTGGCTCATCCAGAATGTTCCAGACGGGAAAATCAGATCGCATTAAGATCCTACATCTCGCTACCTATCTTCACTTTGCAATAAGCTTCAATATGCAGTTTGCATCAAGTCGGATCATCTCGTGTCTCGGCTCCAGTTTGTTCTACATTTCGAAAGCCAGATCTTCGTAATCTCCTAATTTCGACTGTTCTGATTGGGAGTTGGATGATTGTTCACATCGCATTGAGATCATATGCAAAGACGAATACATCAGGAACTACAGACGACCTTTCTAAAATCACGCACCTGAAGACCTACTCATCCAATCTCATAAGAAATCTTCGGGAAATCCCTCGCTCCCTTAGACATGGCTTCCCCCGCTTCCACATGCCCGATCGCCATCACTTCTCTATCAGAAACTCCAAGCGAGGCAAATCGCGGATTGTCTTCAGGCATTGTTGACGTAATAAAAACGCTAACTCGAGATAAAACATCCATCAGTCATCGAAACACAAGCATCCGTCAAAATGAGTCAACCTTCTAATGGAACCATATCCGAGGACACGCGCACAGAAGGAACTATTACACACGGAAAAGCAGAACACGAAGACAGAACATTGGCTATGGAGGTGACGAGGGGGCGGCCGCATACCATTGTTGCAGGGGCTGCGGTGTGGCGACTCTCCTCCGGCGGCAGCGAGCGGAGGGCGGCGGAGGGCCACAACGCGCTGACCGAGCTAGGGTTTCTTTTACTCCTGCGTCACCGCCACCTCCACCCCAACCCCAATCGTTTTAAGTAGGAGCCCTTATACCTCCTGTTGGCCGTCGGATGGAACCAACCTGGTCATCGACGGCCCAATGTGGACCTCACCTAATCAACCGCTGCGATTGGATCACAGCGGTTTACAATTAATTAAGGGTTGCTGAAATAATTCCTCAAATATTTTTATATAAATATCATGTTTAACATTTTTTTAATTTGGTAAAAAATAAATTCAAAAAATATTTATTGTGGTAAAATATTGGGTCCTAAATTGTTAGACAAATCAAGGGTTGAACTGATTAATAATTTATATTATAAATGAGTATAATACTTTTTCATTTTATATTAAAAATATATTTTGATAAATAAATAGACAAACATAAAATAATTTATTTTTTAAAAAATAAAATTTAATATAAAAAATAGTTTGGCCAAACTACTTTGACCTAGAAGTCACTTAATTTCTATCATTCTAGCACCATAATATACTTGATTTTCCTAAGATAAAGAAACCCTTACTATGTGAGCCAATGACACCTCATAAAATCATAAAAATTAGCAATCTTGAATCTCTCTCATTACATACACCACATGTACCTTGATATTTTGAGTGGTTACATTGTTAACACATCATATGTGCTTCAACAAATCCACATATTATCACAATAACAAAAATAATAAATCAATTTAAAACAAAACTATTGTCACCTTTAATTATATTTTGATTTCTTGTGAGTTTTCCAAATGATATAATAGGAATCACACTGATAGAGAGAGCACCTAAACTTTCCTCTTACATACACATCTTTCTTTATTTGCTCTTGGCCTAGTTTATGAGTCTATGAGACTTTCAGATGATGAGGTGGCAACAAGGGGAGATATCATGAAAATCGTGTAGTTGTTAGAAAATTTAAATTTTAATATATTATCCTAATTTCATTTTTACATGTGCTTCAATAAGTCCACAAATGATCACGAATCATAATGAAACAAGAAAATAATTTGAAATAAGGTTACCATTTCAAATTAATTTGTTGATTCATTGTGAGAATCAGACTGATAGAAGGTGCACTTGGCATTTTCCTTTGAAATATACACATTTCTCTCGATTCATTCTTGACTTTGTTTGTGAGTCATCAAGACTTTGAGATCATTTGATGAAGAGAAGAAATAACTTGAAGGAGGTGTTGTCATCAGAAAAATTTTGATTTTAATATAATTTGGGTGAATTGGCCCTACTCAATGATCACTTGATCACTTACAAACTAGATATGTTTGATTTTGGGTTTTAGTTACTCTTTTCTACCTTGATATGTGTTCAATTCGGACCTAGTTGACTTTACCTTCTTGGGTTGATGCCTTGTTCACACCAGTGGGTTGTGCTTTAGTGAGCTAAGTATTTAATCTTAACAAGTCAAGTTGGAAATTTAATTAATAGAAAACTATGTTATCTTGTAAAAAAATCATACAAAGTCAAAAAATTAATATTTTCTGAAATTTATGCAAGCCATAGCTTCATGCAAAAAATCATGTAACATAAATATTTGTTCTACTGATTTAAATAAGTCAATCGTTAATCACATGTTCTTCATAAATCATCAAAATTATTGTTAAATAATCTGTAACTCTAAGCTTTCTTCATATACCTCTCCAATCTAAGTACCCAGGTTACTTAAGTTGACTTACATGCACATATATGTTAGGCCCTAGTTGGACTTTTTTTCTCAAATTGTATAAGGTCAAGGATTTAGACCTCACAAGAGCCTCATCTTAGTTGGGCATCATGGTGACCATGTATCTTAGGTTACCTTGATTGGACTCATTGAAGCCTAGATTTGACTTTAATAGATGATGAACCAGATTTTGTCAAAGTTAGAACCTTTTTACAGCACTTTTAGTGGCATTGGGTCAAAGGCCTTATTGAAGGTCATACTTCACCTCATATAGATATTATGCTTATACCTTCAAAGCCTGTTGTCGTGTTGACTTCAATGTAGAACAAAGTCAAGGTCAACTTGGAGCTCATAGTTCCTTGATTAGATGATGAGCTAAACTATGTTGAAGCTCTGACTTGACTAAGATACTGATTGGGCTCTCACTCTGCTAAGCTGTGGACATGATCTCATAGAAATCATTAGATGGAGGGGTTTTTTCAAATCATTAATTTTTATTATATATTTTTTATATCTGCTTTGAAAGTGAAAAAATGGAAAAAAGACTTTACTAACTAATTATTCGAGGAATATGTGATGAAAATTCCGTTTCCTTTAATTCGGATCTTTACGGAGCTTTTGTGGTTTCCCCGTCAGGACGATTGGGCCAGATAGCGGATCTGTTTGGATCAGCTTTGAACTGGAATCCGGCCCATCTTAGGCGCTTACCTCCTTCCGCTCTCCCCCGTCGGGGCGGAGGGGATTGTCTGTCCATGCCGGTGGGGGCAGAAAGCAGAACGCAGAGGAAGGAAGAGGGTCGCCGCCCTTCTCTGCTCCGCCTTTCCTCTGCCACGGAAAGAAGAAGAAGAAGCTTCCTCTGTGAGCTTCCCTTTTGAGGGGTGATTCCCAGCTGGTACTTTCCTCGTCCTATTCCTCTAGGTCCGACCATTCTCCATGTCCGGCTGCGGTTTTTTTGTTCCTCGTTTTCTCGAGTTGATTTCGTTGTTTGAGGAAACCCTAGACGTTCTTCGCTGTCTTGTGAGGAGCGCGGAGGGAGATAGTGACTCGAGTTGCCTGGCTACTAGTGAAGTGGTTTGTGCGAAGATCTTCGGAGGCCTTGTTTGGCTTCTCTATAATACCTGTAACTTGAGAACCCTCATTTTTCGTCGTATTTTCCGTCTCAACTGCTATATGCGTCGCGTATTATTCTTTTCTCCCCTGTTTCAATCCATCAGGGTATCGATTTTGCGGATGATTTTTCAACATTTCTTGATGCTGTGCGGACGGCGATTTTGATTCATGAAATACTTGCATCATTGCTGATATTGACTTTGTCGACAATGTTGTTGAACAGTTAGGAGGAAGCTTGCGAACGCCGGGATTTGAAATGGGCCCGGCGATACACCGGAAGTCACCTGCACGGCGGAGGAGTAGTTCATCCGACCGGTCGAGGTCTCCCATCAGGAAGCAATCCCCTCCGAGGAGGAGTAGTCCCTCTCGAAGAGACCGCAGGAGCTCTCCAGGAAGGAAACCATCTGTCAGGAACAGCCACTCTCAGGGGACAAGATCGCCCGCGAGGGACAAGCCGCCACAGCATTACAACAGATCACCGAGACGAGAAAGGTCGAGATCACCCGCGAGGGGGAAGATTGAAACCGCGAGGACGATCAGAAAAGGGAGTCCAACGTCGCAAGATTCGCCACCGGAGGAGAAGCTACCATATCGCACCAGGTCCCCGAAGCGTGGCAGGTCTAGGTCACCAGTGAGAGAGAGGGCTCCATATTCGTCTAGGTCACCTCAACGTAGGCGCTCAAGGTCGCCCAAAACTAGGAGGCCTCCGGAGCATGTCAGGCCACCCACGAGACAGGTCCATTCGAGCTTACCCACCAGAGATGTTTCTTCTCGTTCGCCTTCTCCCCGCACCAAACGACTGAGGAGAGCCCAAGGGGACCGTGAGGTGGGTAAGTCTTCCCATATGGAAGAAGGAAGGGATGCTGCTAGAGAAGATAGGAGGAGAAACAAAGAAAGGGGAGAGGATAGAGACATTCCAAATGACAGAAGGTCAACTCGTGAGAGGAGTAGTGATGGGCCTTCCAGGTCACAGAGGCATCGCTCCATTTCTCCTGAAGAACCTGGCCAAAGGAGCAAATCCACGGCACGTGATGAGGTGTCTGCGTATATCTTTACCTTTAGCATCCTGTTCTTAACATTATTCTGATGCATTCTGTTTGTTGAAAGGAATCGCCTTTTCAGTACTGTTTATGCAGAACTCAGCTGGCAAAGCAATAGTTTGACAATATAGTGCATTATATTTAATGTCCCACTTACTGTCATCATGCGGGTTATTATCCTTTCATTTTATAAAGGAACGAAATGAGATCAATTCAACTATTTCAAAGTTAATAGGTACATCCAGGGATTTGTGTTTAATAAAAATCCACAAACCAGCCACTCCCTACGAGAGCACAGATGAGAACGAAACCCCTTCCAGTGCCTGCGGCACAAAAAAAATATACAAATGTTGGAGATGAGGATATAGGCAAAGCAGCAGTTCATTTACTTTCTGTGCCAAGGTTAATCCTCTATATCTCTTTCCATAATTGTCTTTTTGCAGCTCCGTAAATTCTCTTTGAAAGATTTTCCTCTGTATCTCTCTCCTGATAGCATGTAAATTGTAGCCAGAATGAGTGACCCCCATTCATCTTTCCCTTCTTTCAGTTCCTGCTCAGCCCATCACTTGATCAGGCTGTCAACTCCTTTAATGATATGGCATTGCGATTGTAAGGAGCTGATCACTCTTTTCCATGGTACAATTATGATCCTACAGTGTAACAAATAGATCCCAACACTTGAATATTTAAGGCAAAAAATAGACAACTAGTGGCTTCATACCTTTTCTTTTATTCTGTCACCTGTTGCCTTTTGCCCGTCATTTACCTGGAAACAGTCACGATTTTAGTCATTATATGCTTGAATATAGGCACCAGCTTCTTCCACAACAATCTTAGGCTCCTTCATGGTCTGCATAAATCTGAATCCCCATTTATGGCCTATCTTCGCTCTTTTGTTTTCTACATCAGGCTGAATGGATAAACTACTTCAGCCTTCCATTTCAGTAGCAATAAAAGCTCTTTCGGATTGAAGATGCTATCATGACCCTATCAGAGACTGCTTTTTTTGTGTCAACAAGTAGGTTCATTTTTCGCATGAATTAGCGGCGGAATTAATTTTGCTTGAGAGTAACATGTTTTTAGAACTTTTTCAATGTCAGTGGCTTGTTTGAGGGCATTGGTTTAAAGGGGTTTTGGTATTTTTCTGATATACAACCATATTGATCGCCATCATGTGACCCTCAAGCTGTTTTATTTCTTCTCTATTTACCTTTTTTTGTCGCTCTCTGATTGATTTGCTGTTTTTCCTGGGTTACAGGTGACCAGAGCGAGAGGAGCTGAAGAACATCGGTGAGTTTAGAATTTGGATTCTCTCTCCCTCCCTCCCTCCCTCTCTCTCTCTCTCTCTCTCTCTCTCTCTCTCTCTCTCTCTCTCTCGCACTCTTTCCCTTGACGTGCTCTCTTATTGCTGAAAACTAAGTTCCTGCTGTATGTTTTTGATGCACTCGTAAAGGACATCGCATCACCTGCAGGTTAGTGTTTTAGGATGGAATGTCTGATGGTTGGCAGTTACTCCGTGGAGTAGTACGGACAAGTGAGTGAGTGATAGGCTGTTCTGATCACATGATTTATGGTTGCACCAGGTTTAATCATGTTAAACAGTATACCACGAGAGTGAGGAGGAAGTCAAGTTTCTCATGGAGTCAAGAACACATTGCAATTAATTATGACGTTGTAGACGCCTTTTTTTTGTTCCCTTTATTTATAAGTAGTTCTCTCATATAAAGCACCCTTCTTTCTCAGAATGTAATCAACAGTTTAAACAATCTGTCAAATGGAGTAGATATGACTTAAGTTTAGCCTATTATTTTTTGGTTTGACTGTTGAGCTTGAGCATTGTACACTTAGTGGAAATTTTCTGTGACATAAAACGAGTGATTTCGAACATTGCCTCCATTTGACCTTGTGTGTGAGGGTGGGATAGTGGTCTCTGCAAGCAAATATGGATGGATTTTTTTGGCACGCTGCAATGTGTGGCTAATTGATGAAGCTGGATGAGAAAGGTCTGATGAATCATTTACCATAATGCTATTGGCCCGAAACCAAGCAATGAGGGGAGCAGAAGCTTTTCCACAATATTTAAACTATTCTTTTCAAACCTGTGGTTCACATGCATACTGAATTCTTGATGACTCTGCCATGTGGGCAACATAAGTCGGATACAAAATAATTTTTTATACGATGTTAGATAATCAAGACATCCAGTTCAAGTTCAATTCACACCGAGTGTAGTAAGCCCATATGTCTGACCGCACCATTTGCCTTCTCTTAGAATGAAAGCTGTTTTGAAGGTGATCATTGAGTTATTGAGTTAGTAGGATCTTTGCAATGAAATTAGTCTCTGGAAGACCACTGTCATAGTGAAGGGTACTTGGGTATTTTGAATGGGTTAAGATGGGCTACGATAAAAAGGTTTTGGTCGGTTTTTTATTTTTACGTAATGGAGCTATCCTATAAATGACGTCTCCTCCACTCTCACTTAAATTTAAGGTGCTGCCCTCGTTTCTCCTGACTGAAAAGAGTGATCTTATCTAGTTTGTAGTTCTCTTGTAGTTTCAGCCATCTTAGATTAACTAATGTCCTAGCAGATTTTGGTGGTCTCACTCGGATTTATAGCTATCCAGTCTGTGCTCAGCTGGATGTGTCATCTGTTTTATAATGAATGCCTCCGATTTGTAACCACCAAACGGCCATTACCGATTTTGAACAACCTTGATGGACAAGCTGTTGTCTTGAGCAGGGATGGCGACGAGGATTCTGTTGCTAGAATGAAGGCTGCTGAGGAGGCATTAGAAGAGAAACAAAAGGTATTATAGGGCTATGCTTCTGCTCTTTTGATGAACCTCACATCTCATATAATTGGGTTAACTGCATTTCGAAATTTGATATACAGGGTTTCAGACATCATAAAACTTTCTGTTAATTATGCTTGCTCATAAAACCATACGCTCGTTTTTGATTTCGCAGTCGCGTTATTTTTACTTAATATGAAATTTTTTCATCAGAATTTTGTTTTCAATCCTCTCTCAGTAAGTCTTCATTTAAGTTCTTTTGAGAGGTTCCTTTAGAATTTCATCTTCATTTATTCTTTAACGTGAGACCTGATATGCCAACGTCGTTCATGATATGCAGCAAAAGCCTTCATTTGAACTCTCTGGGAAGCTGGCTGAGGAGACCAACAGAGTTCGAGGTGATAGCTGGAACTATGCAATTTTCATTTGAAACATCGATTCACTAGTTCGTCTTGTTGATGTCATTCTCTTTAGTTTTTTTACGTGCTTTGTTACTGTAAACCTTACGACCTGGAAATCTAGACTTCTTATTTCTATGCTAATGTTCATCAACTTAGAAAGTAAGTGAAAGTACTGGGATAGTTTTATGGAATCTTATTACATGCTCGCATGGTTTCAGGAACTGTGATCACTCTCTAAATATTTGAAAAGGTCAAACAAACGGGCTAATTACGGGTTGAATGACCTGAAATTGGCGAATAATGGAGATTTTGGCTGATAAAAGAGTGAGTGAAAGGATAGAAGAACAGGGGCTTATCCCTGGCATATTCGGCGGCCACAAACTTCCATTATTGACTGTCATTGCGGTGGACTACCCCTAGAGCTCTTCTTTACGTGGGAAAAAAAGGATTGGGGGAAAGAGGATGCGTTGGGTGGCTGTTAAGTTTATTATATGCTTAAGAGCCCTAATGTAATCGTTTCTTTCATTTTTACCTTTCACGTGATGAAATGCCTGCGTTACGAAATTATATATACGCCATTGTTGAAACCCAAGTTGGGATCTTCTCTCACATCAACCAATTTGCGTGAGCCAGTCACCTAATCATAGACTCCATGGATGCCACAAGAGAACATGAAAACATCAGAACGATATTGTTGATCTTCTAGGTTGGGAGAGTCGTGAGCGCTGCTGATGAAATCCAAGGTAGGCCAAATCATTGTATTCGGAATCTACTGTGGCCGTTTATATTTTCTTTGGGAATATGACCCTCGTTGAAATTGGAAATGAAATTGGACTGCTGAAGAACAAGGGGGAGTCGCACTCTATTATATCTGCTAAGAGATGGTTGGGGAAGGATGAGAGAAGAAAATTCTGTTGATAGCTTCCTGTTGCTAGCTGCTAGTGGTCATCCACTGCGATCTGCTTGTTCAAGGTTAAGGATTCAGGAGATGTTGTGGGTATTTTTGTGAAAAAGCTCCCATCTAACCTGTTCTTTTAATCATGAGTTTTTGGCTACGCTTTTGATTATATATTATATTATGATTATGCCATTTTTAATTCCAAGTCAAGTGTTTCCCATTAATTAACCTGTTGAGGTTATCCGATTCTAATTCAACATTAAATGTGATCTGAATTAGATGATACTTGGCTGGTGCCTGTACAAACCAGGTGTTAGATTGGATGGTGTGGTGCAGCACAACCGCCATGATATGTCATGTGAAGGTGCCTGTAGGGTACCCAAAGTTCACGAATTACTAGCTCCAGATACAAACACCGCTTGTAAAGGCTCAGATTATTATTCGGAAAATGTGTGATATATAAGCTGTCTCATATCTTCATGTAAAACATTTCATGCCCAATTATGCAATTGTTTCATTTTTACCGAATATTATTTCTAAAAAAAATAATATCACACTTGCCCTCCCATGTTCCCTTGTTGCCCAGATGATGCCTACCAGGGAATTTTTTTCTTTTTTTTTTTCTATCCACAGGTATAACGCTGCTATTCACTGAGCCATCAGATGCTCGTAAACCAGACGTGAGGTGGCGGCTCTACGTCTTCAAGGGCGGTGAAGTCCTCAATGGTACTGGTCTCCTTGCTACCTTCTCATTCTCTCTTGGAGCTGCAGAAGCCTCACCTTTGGTTCTACCCCAAATGAGCAGAGCCGCTTTACGTTCACCGCCAGAGCTGCTATCTCTTCGGCCGTGAGAGGAGAATTGCAGACGTTCCCACCGATCACCCATCGTGCAGCAAGCAGCACGCCGTTCTCCAGTTCAGGTAAACTCCCACCAGTCTCTCTCCCTCTTCTGTTGGGTTCCCGAATGTGTCTGTTGCTATATGGAGCTCGTGTTCTTCTCCAGGCTTGTGGAGACGGAGCAAGATGACGGGTTACTGTCAAAGCACGTAAGGTAAAGTAGCAAGCATAGGTTTGACCATTTTTCCATGGGTTTGACCGTTGACGAGTGAGCTGAATTCCCCGGTTATCTCTTGTTTTGACTAGGCCGTACGTAATGGATCTTGGCAGCACAAACGGAACGTTTCTCAACGTAAGCCCCCCCCCTTGATCCGTTTTCTTTGGCACGGCTGCAGGGCCGTTTGTTTTGCCATTTTTGTCAGAAAATCTGAACCACACGAATTTTCCGGCGCAGGATGAGCGGATTGAGGCCCAGAGATACTACGAACTTCGTGAAAAGGATGTCCTCAAGTTTGGTAATAGCAGGTAAGGAAGGGGGGGGGGGGGAAATGCTCGTATGAAATGCTTCTGTTTTCTCATATACTTGCATGTTCCTCTGTCTCATATCCATTTTGAGCCTCTGATCCAAGAACTAATCATACTCTAATTAATTATCTTCATTTCTCCAAAGTTTCCTCATGAATGAAATTATCTAGCAGTGTGCTAGGATTGGCTTATTATTCTGTCTCATACATTTCCTGAGGTTTTGCGGTTATTTATTAGTAAACTGTTTGTTTCGAATTGTAGATAGAATGAACAGAGCCTGATCTATGAGATCACAGTTTGGACAACTTGGTTTCTCGGGTATACTTTTTTTAGCAAAATTATTGGAGGAAAAATCATCAATTCTGGATAATTCTGAATTATTGATTTTTTCTTTGTGATAATTCTGGATCCAGCTGCACGCGCAACTTAGTTTCTCGGGTACATTTTTTTTTTGTTTTTAGCAAAATCATTGAAGGAAAAATCAAGCTTTATTTGAATTAGCTCGTGAGTGACTCATGGGAATTAATGGAAATTATATTTTTTTTGTTCTTGGGTTCTGGTTATCTATCCATCCCTGCCATTGTTAGATCACCGTGAGAACTTATGTGGAATTTTATTGTTTATGTTCGTGATGTTGGTGGTGATAAACCCTTCTAGTGGATTGCTTTTTTTTGGCACGGTCAACGCTTTCCACACTAAAAGGTTTAGTTGCATCGATGGTGATTAATCCCCATTTAGATTACCATGAGAACTTATGGGGAAATTTTATTGTTTATGTTCATGATATTGATAACGATAAACCCTGGTTTAACATCGTTTAATGATAATGCTTTCTAGTGGATTATTTGTTTTCTTGCCATTGTCAACGCTTTCTTGACTAGATGATTAGGTGCATCGATGGTGATTAATCCTCATTGCTTAAAGCACAATGCTTTCTTCTTCATCATTCGGAAGAGATCAAGGTTTCTTCTCATAGAAAATTGATTCCAGAGTGTATGTGAATAAACTCTGATGAGAATCGTACGGAGAAATTGGGGTTGACTTTAGCTTAACTTTCCATAATTGGAAATGATTATTATCTTGCCTGGAGATGTTGAATCTGATACGATCAGCTGGTTTTCTTGTCGCAGCCGGGAATACGTCCTCCTGCATGAGAATTCTGTCAAGTGATCGGCGGCTTCATCATCCCGCTTGGTTGACTCTCAGGATGTTTTTGAGATAATCCCATTCGGACCCTGCGCAGGGCTCTACATCCCGTTGACGAAGGTCAACCCTTTGGCCCATCTGACGGATTCCCTGGTCAACGCTTGTGGTTCTTCCTTCTCCTCAGAAGCAGAACACGTTTTGTGTATAATTTAAATCAGGTGCCTTTAGAGAAGATCTAGTTCTTGAGCCCCACTTAGAATAGATGAGTTTTTTCTGTTGACACTATCAGATTCTTGCCCATTTTCTCCTCTTCTCAAGTCAATTATAGAGAGAGAGAGAGAGAGAGAGAGAGAGATGGGAGGTATTCGAGCAGCTACGGCAAGTACGATGATCTTCAAGTTTAATTTGTTTTTTCTTTTTTCTTTTTTTAACAAGTACGTCAATGGGCATCAAATTCTTTTTTTTTTTTTGGATTCTACTAAATTGGCCGCCAGATTCTTCCTGCGTGGGCTGATTTGATTTAAAATCCAATCACCTCATTGGATAATCTTGCCAGATTTGACCGAGTTCATCATCATTTTTCAATAAATTCTTCGGGTCAGTGTGACTCCTTGACAGTTGAATGGTGATCGGTTCTCAATTGATCTGACGCCAAGAAACGATTCAATCCATTCCATCCCACATCATCATCTCCAAGAATCATATGATCTCATACGCCAAAATCCAACAATCTGGAGCTGAGTGAAGATCATAAACGGAGATGAGAAAAAGAACCTGGGATCTTATCTTGAAGGAAGACCAGTGGTGAGAGGCTGGTCGCCGAGTTTTTCGGATCAATGGTGGAAATCATAGATCCCCACTCTTCGTCTTCTTCTTCTTCGTCTTCCTCGCGGCTGGATCAATGGCGGCCTCGCTGGAGGAAGAGGATGGGAAGATCCCTCGCAGGATGGCCACCACGGCGAACCCCGCGAATGGCGCATACATCTGCAGAAGCTTGGTGGAACCTCTGCCGGAGTTCACAATCTCCGCCATTATCGCCGCCTGGAACAGGAACAGTCAGAAGCTCAAAGAAGTCGCCGGATTCTGGAAGATTGCAGACGCCGTCGAACCCCTAGGGTTTTTTCAAGCCGAGTCCTCACCATGGAGGTGGCGACGGAGACGCCGGCCATCAGGCAGGCTTTGGGGAGCCAGCGGCGGCCGCCGGTGACGATGGCGTAGGCGGCGGCGATGGAGACCGGCCAGACGAAGAGGAGCTCCACCCAGAGGAGACCGAGGAAGAAGGAGGGGCTCTCGGAGATGAGGTAGTCGCCGAACTCTGCGGCGTACCGGCGCCTGAGATCGGACAGCACCTGCGGGACGAGGTGAGGGGGCAGGCAGGACTGCGAGTCCATCAGAGGCGCGCTCACCGAGAGCAGGAGGAAGAAGGGGAGCAGCACCGCCACCTCCACCGTCTTCCATGACAGCGCCGCCATCACGCGTAGAGAGAGAGAGAGAGAGAGAGAGAGCGAGCTAGACACAGAGAGCGAGCAAGAGAGAGAGAGATAGACACAGAGACCGGGCAAGAGAGAGAGAGATAGACACAGAGAGCGGGCAAGAGAGAGAGAGAGATACAGAGCTGGCCCTCCAATAGACCGTTGCCAAAAAGATTCAGAGCTGTCAGAGGATCTTAATGGGCCGTAAGCCCAACCAGGTCGGCCTATTTTAGACTGGCCCAGATGAGAAGTACGGCCTCGGCCCAAAAGGCCGTTTCTTCCCTGTGCTCGAAGGTGAGCCGCCACTCATCTCCACCAAGGGGCACCAGAATTATAGAGACACGTGTCGTCGTCCCAGGAGATCTGGAAGGCCTGGAGGCCGATGGCCGCAGCGGGTTCCTTCCCATGCTGCGCGATCCACTCCAAAACGGCGCTGCCTCCGCCGTCATCTTCGGCAGCGTGGGGGTTCCTGGACCTCCCAAAGGGGTTGACTTTTGGGTCCTCCTTCTCCCTGATGACGGCGGGCATGTACATGGAGTCGCCCACGATTGGGGCACCGATGGCCGCCAACTGGGCTCGGATCTGCATCGTAAGGTTACCAAAATAAAAATAAATAAATAAATACAATATGTCCATTGCTTACGTATGAAGATTTATTTATTTTCCAATTTTAGAAAATACGTCCATTCTCAAAAGGTCAACGAGTAAGCAAAAACCAGAAGCTTCCTCAATAATCTGACTGCACAAGAGCAGTGAAAAAGTCAGCGGCACTTCCAATATTAAACAAAGAAATCAAGACGATAGTAATTATTTATGCGTGGAGATTATCCATCCTATGATTTTCCAGGAATAGTAAACAAGCAGAAACTTCCCAGGATTATATTAATATCAAAATTTTAAAACTGAATAAGATAATAATTTTAAACGCATGAAAATTATATATATAAAAAAGAAAATCTTTAAAGAACGCACAGGACAAGAAAAAAAAAAACCGGGAATTCATTTCCAAACATCCAAAAAGATAATTATCCATCGTATGATTGTCCAGGAATAGAAAAGAAGCAGAAACTTCCCAGGATTATATATAGTGGGAAACAATGAACAAAAAATATTAAAAAATAAATAAGATAATAAATCTAAACGCAAGAACATTGTATATAAAAAAAAAGAATACCTTTTAAGAACCCACAGAACAAGAAAAAAAAATTAGAAATTCATCATCCAAGGATCAAGAAATAATTAAACTAGATCAAAGAAAAGATGTTTGAAAAACCCAAATCGGTAATTTTTGGATAAAAAAAATACCTGGTGAGTTTTTCCTGTTAATAGCTTGATCGTACATTCATAGGCCACATGCTTTGATGGCCATCCGCAGTCTTCAATGGAGTATCTTCTCTCAATCTCTGCATTTGGCCAAGGGATTTCCTCGCACTGTAATACCTCAAGTTGGCATAGATGCCATCTATCAATCAAATCTGAAGGAATGTGGGCATAAAGATTAAGACGAAAACAATTATAATATAATATGAAATAGAAAGAATATGTGTATCTGCGTGTTTAGTCTTAGAGATTTATGAAATATTTGTCACTTCTCTTTTAAAATACATATAAAAGCTGCCATTCTAGGACAACGACAGTTTAAGCACGCTCTATACACCCAGTTATCATGGAATTTTTTTGATATGGCCAGCAATTTTCATCATATGCTGCGGCGAGAGAGAGAGAGAGAGAGAGAGAGAGAGAGAGAGAGAGGGTATTATGCGACTAGAGCAGATATAGCGGGCTATCCCCTGATATGGTTTCAAAACCTTTTAAGAATGAACAGCATTACTTAGAGAAATCTAAATAATGTTCGAATCTCATTCATCCTCACCCTCTGAAACAAGTCTGGGGGCCATGTTTACTGGGCGCATGTAGTGTGAAATTATTCCAACCGGCACAGGTGCCGCAGCAAGAGCAAGATAAAGCTTGTTCACCTTCTTCTCCTGTTCATAAAATCTCACACACTGAGGTGGAATAAAATAATAATTATTCTACTTGAAGAAAAATATCATTCTCTTTTCACAATATCCGTTTATTACAAAATAAAAGAATAATCAATAATTTAAAATCAAGTCAAGAACATACCCTTATTAATCCATGAAAATAAGAGCAAAAATCCTTCGACCTAGAAAGCACAACACTGCAAAACGGTGAATCAACCATTATTTCTCTTACACATCTCCCTGGGCATCTCAGGCTATTTTATTCCAATGAAAATTACCAGCCCTCTGTGCAGTTATCAATCTGATGAGTGGTCAGCAAGGGACTTTCTAGCCCTAAAGCACGAGTTGCAAAGTTTGCACAGCTTTCTACAATGTTGTCGGTAGTCCCACCCACCTACACAGACCATACACGCCTCATAGAGCATGAGACAAAAGAAACTAAGGCAGGAGTAGGTGATCCAAAGACACATTTAAGTATATACCCAAAAAAGCATAAAGAATGAACACTATAGTCAATACCTCAAAAAATTCAAAGAACAAAGTCAGAACATGGAACGTAAAGATAATACCCAACCAGCATGGAGGAGAAGTTGGAAGGGTGGAGAAGAGGATGGAACGTAAAGGGTGGTCAAAGGGTTTGGTGGGTGATACTTGAAACAACACGATGAACATGGAAGGAGGGATAGGGACGTTTTCAACACAGTTTCTTCCGGCTCCAGATCATTCTTTTCTAGGTTTGACTGATGTTTTAAACCAAGAATGAGGCCTGAATTGGGCTTCTCATGAGTCCCAAACCGCCCAATGATCATGCAATCACACCTTCCAGATGATCGTTTTCTTGCGTCTCTTCCATTTTTTTATTCTAAATTTGATTAGCCCCCCTATTTCTGATTTAGGTGAAATTTGTTTATGGATAAATAGCAGGAAGGCTATCAACAGACAATTATTAAACACCAAATAGTTTCCAGTATCGTACCTGAGCAGGAATTTGTGCAAACAAAGTAATGACCAACTATGTGGGGAACAGGAAAAAGATGCACATACTGAAGTAGCTGCTGGTTTGTCGAGGACAACATATGTTTCAGTCACTGCTATGATTCTAGACTTCCAATCGACTTCGTAACACCTGATTATATTCAGAAACTAATGAGCATTGCAGTGTGATAAAATAAAACGTAATCATAACCATGAAATTTCCCTGTCAATCCAGAAGTGGGTTTCCATTGGCTGCAGAAAAATTGCCCAAAGTGATTTATTATTCAGGGCTGACTTCATGCTTCTAATGAGCAAATAATTGAATACCATTTAGAAGAGGTATGAAAAGGAGGGACGATGTGAGAAAATATGATGCACTGAAACACAAAACTGGAATGGGATCTGGGTAAAGACTAGAAGGGTATATGTTATGGAATCTCCTTTTAAAAAAAAGGAAAATTTTAAAAAATCCAACAATCAGATAGCTATAACCACCTTGGAAAGCGCTTTGGGTGCACATGCACGCGTAAATATGTGCCTGTTTCAACGAATTCATCAGAACGCGTTATCCTGAAGGTTTTTTGCGCTTCCCTCACTGTCTTTCCTTTAATTGATGATCTCTTCTGCAGAATTGATGGTGCTGTTACCCTTTTAAAAATCTCAACTTGCTCTTGAGTAGCGCTTGGAGGGGGTGTTGGGCACACCAGGGCGTAATATACAGCCCCGAAATCAATTAGATCAGCAACATAGCTTCAAAAGGGACATTGGATTCAGACAATAGGCACAATGCTCATCAGCATCCATAAGATAGATTGAAACAATCATCAACTCCTGATTCCAAATCCTTTTCCATTACTTACAGGGGAGGAAGATCCAGTTCCTTGCAAATATACTCAAGAACCGGCCCCCCTTCTGAGACAACGAGGTGTTCAACCCTGGGTGGCCTATTCTGCGATGGGCAGGGAAGCAGACGGTTGTATTGATAGTGTCTGAAATCAAAACAATCCAGTGGTAAGAAATTCACGGAAGATCAGGGGGGTTTAATGGAAATGCCAGCCCGAGAAATCTCCGAGGCTTAAATCCAGTTACATATGTAGGAAAGAGAAGAAGATCGAGATCATGAAAAGATAACACAGGAGGCGATTGATTCAATACCAGCTAACCCAATAAGTAATAAGCAGCTGGTAAAGGCATGAGCCGTTGGAAGAAAAGCTACAGAGAGAAAGGAAAACGAGAACAATTTCTTCTACTTGGAAGAAAATAAGATATGAGTTGTTGTACGTCCAGAAATTTTTCTTCCACAGTATCTAATTTTGAATGATGATGGCACATTACAGTCTGAACCCAAACAGGAGATCTCAACTGGAAAAGATAGCTTGTCTTATGATGGTGAAGGAAATTGTTTGGGAATGGCCTTCATCCATGATGTATTGCTCAACCAAGATGTATCTGTCCTGGCGGAAGTCAGTATTTTTTATACTCATAAGTTTTTCTGCCATTGTGAACCGACTGTAGACGGTTTTAATGCCTGTTTTATTTTTCCTAAAATAGGTATTAATCAAATGCTACGACTAGTAACCATAAGAAACATTCATACAACAATGCATCCTTCAAAGTGACATAATTATATGTAAAATACTGATACCCAGAAAATATATTATAGGAAACATCAGAAAATTTAATTTTCTGTTCTACATAATGTTAAGCATTTCATGTTCCTCTTCATACACAGATTTAACCATACCGCGCGTGCATTTCCCACTCCCATCAAATTGTCCAAACTCCAGAGAAGCCGAAGGCGGATTTAAAGTTCCGGGATGCAGGGAATAAATTATGCTACCGACGTAAGAAAACAAATCACACCTCCAGCACACGAGATGTTATTCGAAATTATGAAGTCTTTACCCACTAGCACTAACTCTGTCGTCACTAATGACGTCGCCTGCAGTAGCGGTGAGGCCAAAAGCCACAGCCGTCCTTGGAAACAGGGACGACAAGGTGGCGCCCCTCCGCCGTTTCTGGAGTGGCCGTACCTCGTAGGATAAGGCGCGGAAGAGAGCAGCCGGAGCTACCAGAGGTGAACACCTCCTCCGCGTGTAGACGAGACCGCTCGACACCACAGCCGACAGGGAAGACGAGAAGCGCGCCATGGCCGTCGGCGGCGCCCCTTCACCTTCAGTAGCGAAGTGGCGGCGGGTGAAGACACACTGTCTCTGTCCCTCTTCCCCTCGCTCTCTCTCTCTCTCTCTCTCTCTCTCTCTCTCTCTCTCTCTCTCACTCTCCCTCTCCTTTTCCTCTCTCTCACCTATCTACCTTCCGAAAGAAGAAGAGAAGAGAGTACGTGGCCTCCCCCTCCAAGTGACGGTCAACAGTTTCACAGTCAACGCGTTAGGCAGGCCCGGCATCAGGCCCGGACCATTAGGAAATTATATAAATATCCTTTATTATAATCATAGTATAGAATTTTCTCATCATAATAACTTTTATTTGTCATTTTAATTTTCTTTTTGCATTATTCTCTTGTGGTGGGCCCCACACCGTCGAACTTCACCTAGGCCTGGCCCAAGGCTCGTTTACTGATTTTTTTAAATGGGCCCAGACCAACCCAAATACCAGATAGTAGATCACTAGACAGAGAGAAAGAGAGAGGGAGAGAGACACGAATATCGTCGGACTGTGTGACGAATGCCGCGTCGACGGCGAGTGGAAGAAGTTTGACTGAGGCCGAGTGACTGAGTCGGCCGATCTGACGCCTCGACATGCCATTAAAGCCATGGTTGGCAGAAGATAAAGGATAGCGAGAGAGAGAGAGAGAGAGAGAGAGAGAGAGAGAGAGAGAGAGAGAGAGGTGCAGAAGAGAAGAGAGGAACTCCCTGACGTGAAAATGATAGCTTGCTTACAAAGGTCCTAAGGGTTTCGTTTTACAGATGTCTCGGAGGTCCATTAGGTCGGAGAGAGAGAGAGAGAGAGAGAGAGGCCTCAAGATGAGCAAAACGAGCCGCTAGAGCCTTTCTCACGGGAGCCCAACTCTTTTCCGTGATAGGCGATCCGCGATGATACAGTTTCTCACGCCGGCGGTGGGACAGCTTCTGCACCGGCTGATGGGGGGCGGTTGGAGGGGCCACCGGCGGCATTAAACCCCGAGAGAGAGAGAGAGAGAGGAGGGGCAGGGGGGGCGGCGCCGGCCGGCGATTCTGCCGGAATAAATTCGACTGCACCGGCGATCGGATTGGAGGGGAAGAAGTGCGGGTGCAAGCCAGGATTTCTCTGTAGCAGTGAATAGTTTCAGCGTGTTATTCTCTCTCTCCCTCTCTACCTCTCTACCTCTCTCTCTCTCTCTGTAGACTGTCATCGTGCTGTATATCACACTGAGTAATTGCACCATACCGCTCCTCTCTCTCCTTCTTTCTCTCTCTTCCGACAGAGAGTGCAATGCTTGCTGGATGAAAGCAATCAATACGGGTGGAAAGTGAGTTGGAACTCGGGTCAAAGCAGGCTAAATATAGGTGGTATTTCCCAGTGTCCGTGTGCGGTGGTCGTGTTGATGGGCCGGGGCAGTGAGACCGGGCCCTGGCCCGGCCCGGCATAGGTTGTTTCCAGGTTCGGGCCCAAAATTTAAGACAAAGCCCGGACCATTCACTCCTCTCTGAGCCGGACACCTTTAAACTTCCTGCGGGCCGGGCTTCCGCGGATCCACCCCGAAAGCCCATTCTTTGTGATGCTACCGAGGCCGGCCCGGCCCGCCGGGCTCTTAATGCGCACACTATTTGGTAAACAACAATATGTATTATAATATATAAAAATTTCAGTTTATTCATAAATTTAAATATTAAAATAATAATTCAGTTTTTATGAATATTTTAAAACATCAAGTTAAACTATTATATTTAATTTAGGTAATATAAATTGGGTTAAATGGTTCAGAAATAAAATTAATATATTAAATAATTTTGCGAATAAAAATGGGGAGCGGTACCCCCCCCCCCCCGGCTTGCTCAACCCCCTGCGCCTCGCATTCACTGCCCTGTCCGGACAGATGGCCTCCATTAAATTCCATCCCCCTTCCCTCGTTAAATCTCCGCTCGCCGGAGAGCAGGCAGTGCAGAAGCAGCAGCGGCAGAAGAAGGAGCTCCACCATCGCCGCCACCATGATGGACCTCGCCGATCTCTTCCTTCTGTTCGTGGGTGCTCTCTTAGCGGTGTTCTGGTGGCGCTACTGCGGGAGCAATGCAGGAGGCGGCGGCGGTGGGGAGAAGACGAAGAGCCTGCCGCCAGGGCCGCGGGGGTGGCCGGTGGTAGGGAACCTCTTCCAGGTGGCCCTCCAGCGCCGCCCGTTCATATACGTTGTCCGGGATCTCCGTCCCAAGTACGGCCCCATCTTCAGCATGAAGATGGGCCAGCGAACTCTGATCATCGTCACCTCCTCGGAGCTCATCCACGAGGCCCTGGTTCAGAGGGGCCACCTCTTCGCCAGCCGCCCTGCAGATTCTCCGACGAGGCTCCTCTTCAGCGTCGGCAAGTGCACCGTCAACTCCGCCTTCTACGGCCCCCTGTGGCGCGCCCTCCGCCGGAACTTCGTGTCGGAGATCGTCTCTCCGGCGAAGGTCCGGCAGTTTGGGTGGATCCGCGACTGGGCTATGGAGAACCACCTCGTCCGGCTCCGGCGAGAGCAGCAAGATAAAGGATCCGTCCAGGTGATGGACAACTGCCGCCTCACCATCTGTAGCATCCTCGTCTGCATCTGCTTCGGAGCCAGAGTTGCAGAGTCACTGGTGCAGCAGATCGAAGCCGTTCTTAAAGAGGTGATGATGATGTCGACTCTGAAGCTGCCGGATTTCCTGCCGGCGCTGACGCCGCTCTTCCGCGGGCAGCTCACCGCCGCCCGCAACCTCCGCAAGCGCCAGCTCGCGCTGCTCGCACCGCTGGTGCGCGATCGCCGCGCGTTCTTCGACTGCGGCGGCGATCAGAGCAAATACACCGGTGAAGCGGAGATGGTGAGCCCCATCGGCGGCGCGTACATCGACTCCCTCTTCGTGCTCAACCCCGCCGGAAGAGGGAGGCTCGGAGAGGACGAGCTCGTCACGCTCTGCTCGGAGGTGATGAGCGCCGGCACCGACACCAGCGCCACAGCCCTCGAGTGGGCACTCCTCCACATGGTTCTGGACCAGCGGATCCAAGAAAAGCTCCACGAGGAGATCATCTCCATCGCCGGCCCCGGGAAGAAGATCACAGAAACGGAGGTGGAGAAGATGCCGTATTTAACAGCGGTGGTGAAGGAGACGCTGAGGAGGCATCCACCGAGCCACTTCGTGCTCTCGCACGCCGCCACAGAGGACACGGAGCTGGGGGGTTACAGGGTGCCAGCGGGGGCGAATGTGGAGTTTTATACGGCGTGGTTGACGGAGAATCCGGAGATGTGGGAGGATCCGGGGGAGTACAGGCCGGAGAGGTTCCTGCAGGGAGGAGATGGGTGGGAGACGGACGTGACGGGGATGAGAGGGGTGAGGATGATGCCGTTTGGAGTGGGGAGGAGGATCTGCCCGGCGGCGAGCTTGGGGACGCTGCATGTACAGATGATGCTGGCGAGGATGGTGAGGGAGTTCAGATGGGTGTCCGTTCCAGGGGAAGGGCCGCCAGATCCGGAGGAGACCTTTGCTTTCACCGTCGTCATGAAGGAGCCCCTCAGAGCCGCCATCGTCGAGAGGAAGTATTAGGGTTTCCTCTCTGTCTCTCTCCCTCTCCCCCTCTCTCTCTCTCTCTCTCTCTCTCTCTCTCTCTCTCTCTCTCTCTCTCTCTCTCGCTCTCTCTCTCTCTCTTGTCTGTGTTTTTTGTGTCTAAGATAATGCGAGTGGGAGACAAGGTCCGATGAGTGAGTGCAATGTAAAACATTACTGATGCTGATTAAATTGTGTTGTGTTTATTGAAGGACGACCCGACTCTCTCTCTCTAAACTTCCTCTCTACGTGCATTGCCCAGGAGAAGAGATCAACGAGAAGGCAATTCTGCTAATTCAGGAGGAGGAGAGACTCGGACTAGGCCCAACCTTACCAGCTCTCTTCTCTCTCTCACTTTCTCTCTCTAAGATAACCCAAGGGTGAGACAAGGTCCAATGAATGTGTGCAATGTCAAGCAGTACCGGTTGTGATTAAATGCTCTGTTTATTGAATACCTATCGGACTCTCGCCTTCATGCATGCAAGCTCGGGAAAACCGGGGATAACCTGGTCTTCGGGAGGGCGGCGAGCACCTCATTAATGGCGACCCGCTGTCTTCCCAAGAAGAAGAATGGCCTCGTTCATGGCGGTCTCTCTTGCGAGCCCAGAGGCGAGATTAGGGTTTCTCAGATGGGAATACCCAGAGTCCTGGGATCTGTGACCCATGCAACATTGAATAGCTCTACTCCTATAAGACCTATGATTTCATGCCGTATGGGACTAATTCACCAGAACAAGGATTACTAAGACATTAATGAAGCTCATTAATAACATCAAATCCGTCGTTAAGAACACATGGGTAATGCTGCTTTTAGAGAGTGAGAGGGAGAGAGAGAGAGAGAGGGAGAGGGAGAGGGAGAGGTCGTATGTCAAGGCCCCAGTTTCCCCTCCAAATACCGGCATTAATGAACTCCAAGGAAGCCCAAACCGAGGTTTCAAATGCCATTGGGAATGTGGAATCAATGGGCCTTCAAAGGAGTGGGGTAGGCTTTGTTTTTACTAGAGGTGTAGATCTATCGCCGTCAATGGGGGACGATTTGGTGGGCGTAGACCACCACCAACCCATCAACCCCCCACACTGGCACCATCATTTAATAGTTTCCTTTTTGGGATAATTTTAGTCTTATAGATCAGAGGAGACCCGATTTTTTATTATTATCAGATTATCAAGAATATTAGAGTAATAAACCTAGAAAAAACCCATCTTTCGATCCAAATCTTGAACAAAAAGGGTGGATTTTTTAAGGAACTGGGTGATTATTTCTCGGTCAAATTCTTAGGTTTTCACCTGATCCATTCACGGATCGCCTTGACTGATCGAAGATCTACTCCATATCATGATGTCTCGATTTGTTCATTGGAATCAACATCCGAGGGAGTTCCGTAATGAGGAATCAATGGAGTTCACTCCTTATGATGCGAGGTATGTGGCTAATGACTATTTCAGATCTGGGTTATCCCCAAACTCCCTCTCTCTCTCTCTCTCTCTCTCTCTCTCTCTTAATGAGAAGTGAAGTCGGGAGGGTCCGGGTGGGTATGACCGGGGGTCAGATAAAGAGCCTGTTTTTGGATCTTTCAACGGGGGCCTAGGCCGTTGGCAGTCCTCGTCTTTAACGGGTGGCAACCCCACTCCTTGTCTTTCAACGGGTGGCAACCCCCCTCCTTAGCCTGCTCGTCTTTAACGTATGGGCAGATCCTCGCACTCACTCTACTCTCCAAAGAACCCATATAGTACACTGGTCAAGTACAAGATTCCTCTCTCTCTCTCTCTTTCTCTCTCTCTCTACCTGTTCTCGAAGTGGATTACCCGGGAGAAGAGATCGAGGAGAAGGCAATTCCACATACCCCTTCGAGAAAAACGGCTACTCTCTCTAGCCCACATAAAATTATAGAGTTTCCCTATCAAGAAGCCCGGAAATTTTAAATAATAATCTTACTATTTTAATCAGATGAAAGCAGGTTGACGGAATCATCTTGTGTTCTTCATGGATTTGTGGAAGCATATACTATAAATACCCATCAACAAAAGATTTGATTTTTAGCAGCAAAGATCAGCTTACATGAGGTTGGGAGGGGCTCTTGGGGCGGCTGAACAGGTGCCTGATTGCCCCCTCTTTCTTGTCAACAAAGTCCAGGAAGCTCCAAGCAACAGCCGAGCAGCTCCTGCCGGAGGACCCTTCGGCGCCTGCAGCAGCATCCCGATTCCTCTCGTAGCAGATGAACTGCCAGATTGTTTTTATGGCGAAGATGAGCAAGGCGGAGAGGGTGATCATCCCACAAACCAGGAACAGTCCCCAGAAGCTGTTCAGATGGAGATGATTAGGGTTAGGATCGTCCCCTCTATGGCTAGGGCAACCCTCCACACAGAGCCACTTGTCGTGGATTCTCTGGAGCTCTCCACTCTCTGAGAGCTGTAGGATGGCCGTGGACATGTCGAATGCCAGAGGATTCTCTCTCTGGAATGCCTGCCATGGGCGTAATGTACCAAGTTAGAAACATTCCAAAAGTGGATTCTTTCGGGGGAAAAAAATGCCCAAAAGAAGTTACTGAAAGCAGAAGAAACCCAGATATTTAAATCCAAGATTTAAGGGATTAAATGCACTTTTAGAAGAAAATTTTGACAAGAAACTCTTGAGGTGAAGAAAACCCACGAAACCCCATCCGCCCTTGGTGAACGAGCTGCCGACGATTCCATAACCAGTCGTTCTTGCTAAGAAGTGTTCGACGTAGGGGAGCTCGTCTACAATGGCCGCCACACCTCCGTTCTTCGGTCCAAGGTCCAGTGCAGCTTCATAGGCCTCTTGAGAGCCAAGAGAAACCAGCCTCGACCGGTGGACGTTGAGGTTACTGGTCAGATAGCTGTAGGAGAAGGAGCCCATTTGGTAGCCGATGGGCTGGTTGCTCGCTATCAGGCTATCGATTCCTGTGATAGGAGATGAAAGTTGCTGGACCGTGAGGAAGGAGGTCAAGCTGGCGGTGTAGCTCGAAGTGATCACCATCAGTAGGAAGAACCATATCATCATCACCACGCGCCCTGGGGTGCTCACTGTGTCTTCCTCTGAAATCAGATGAGAAAAAAGCTCTGTTAGATTCTCTACAGAGACGACTCGAGCACACTGATGACCGAACAAGGCAGAACCCAGCACCGTTTTAGTCAAATTTTGCCTAAAACAGCATAGTTTACATAAATCTACGTTTTAATATGAGGAGTGCAAGGCAGATATTGTTCCACTCACGCTGGGAATGAAATAGCGTGGAGAAGCTAAACCTGCAGAAGAAGAACATAGCGGGCATTAGGTGATGCAGATAGAAAACACGGAATGTATGGGGTGAAAGTGCAGAAGACGGATGATTTCATCCAAATGAAAATAAATAATTCGCAGGGAAAACTAAGCAGGCCTCATAAATCTCTACCCAATCTCTCTGCCATTCAATATCTCCACATATGCGCCTGAGATACCATGTTCCTCTAATAGTGCACCCACCACCTGTGATCCATCTGGGAACTACCCCTGGATCCCAGAAAACTAGGGCCTAAGTTCCCCAAAAAAAGATAGTTTTGATCTGTGTCACTAAATAGCTTGTTCCATTGAATTTTGATACTGGGCAAAAGGAACTGGCAAAGAACTAGAACTCTCTGGAATCTACATGAACACCATTTTCATGCCCAGTACATGCCGGAGATAGATACATAGGCGGGGCATTAAATATCCGCTTTATTGCATAAACTGTAATGAATCGATTAATAGGAGCGCCGTAAACAAGAAACCAGAGATGCTTCTTTGATGTTTATTGGAGAAATCAGAGTTGAAACTCTGGAAGTAGACCCAATTCTTTGAAAGAAGAAATCAAAGATCACTGAAATAATCATGAAAACACTATCGTTCTCATGGGAAGTCCAAGCCTAAGCTTGTAGGGATGAAGGAAGAACAACAAAGGTCCTTCCTTTTCACTTGCTGAGTTGCTTGTTGCTTCGGAAATCATAGAGGTTCAGGAGCACTGGTATTCCGGATCACCCTCTCTTTAGCACAAATACTCTACCAGGGCATAACCCTAACAGCTATACGCTTAAACTAAGTAGCTATCAAGTTCAAGCTAGGAAAAGATTAGCGATGATCATTTTCATTTTAGTATTCTTCTGGTAATTATCGGAATATAGAGACAAACTCGCAAATATAGACAGCCACAGTACTCATGATAAAGGAAATAAAGAACCAAATTCTTCAAAGAGGGAGATAGAGAGAACCAGATCAAGATACAGAGGTAGAGCCGTCTAATGCTCCAACGACGGTAATGAAAAGTTATGGTTATCATAGGCAAGAAAAAAAATGCTAGCTTTTTCTTCTTCTATGTTCCTACCATTGATCTTCACTATGACAGATGAAGTCCAAGACTGATGATCTTTCAAAATTCAAAGTTACCTGGGTTGTAATGTCAGCCCTCCCACCACCGAAACTAGGAAAGTGCACCAAGGACAATAATCTCATTGAAGTCATCAGATGTGCCTCCAAATTTGCTTGAAAAAGCAAGTGATTTGGACCATTAGAACTGCAGCACCAAGGACAATAATCTCATTGAGATCATCAGATGTGGCTCCAAATTTTGATTGAGAAAGCAAGTGATTTGGACCATTAGAACTACAAGCTGACCTATATGGTCATTTTGAACCTTCAAGCTTTACCATCTAGCCCTTATCTTAAATGTCCAGTCAGAACCTAACGAGGCTATGCAACTTTTGGTACTGAGTAAGAGTAACCATTTGAGATTTAAGGAAAAAAAAAAGAAGAAGCAGAAGTCAAGTCTCGGAAATCAACTCAAAGAAAGCATCACAGTTCCAGGCTTCAGAAAGCCTTTCCCTTTACGGTCATTAGTTTGCTTCCTCCTCTCTAAGAACTTGAGTTTGCATTAATTTTTCTTCATAGTTCAGAGACTAGATAAAGTAACTGTTCATCTAAGTTCACCATTTTGACGATACAGAAACGAGGAAATGACCTGGTTCGGGGGGGGGGGGGGGGGGGGGGGGGTTATGGCTAAAAGTGATGTAGGAAAGAGGACCAGAGATCAGTTGAGTTTTCCTATGTAGGACATTCCACTTGAAATTTTCTGGCTGCATACAAAGGCGTCTTTAGAGCATCCATTTATTATTGCACGCTCCTACAAGAAAGCTGCCTGAATCTTCTCCGTAAAATAGGTCTCAGATGTCAAACCACCTGGGTACTGGAGGAAATATGGGCATGTTGGCACCAATGATGGCTAGTACCCTTCAAAAAAAAAAAAGACAAATTGACGATCAAGAAGAACTGAGGCAGTTTATCTTTGTGTGGGACCCCTCTGGGGAACAAGTGGATATTCAAGAGGTAAAGTCAGTCAGCAGAGAATATGATTACTAGATTTGTAGAGTAAGAAAATGTGCAGAGTATGCTTTTTTTAACAGGGTAGCATATAGGGCTTGTGTACGGGACTACCCTCAAATATTTCAAATGTCTTTTATAACATTTGGGAGATTGAGACTGTAATGATCCAAATGGAACCAAGGAGACAAGAAATTTGCAATAGATTGACTCATTAATCCACATTAATCAATGAGGATTTAACTAATGACCCAGAAAAGGCATATCTACTTAGGCATTATTGCACAAATCGATCCAGACTGAAGAATTGAAAGCCGTAAATAGAAAAAAAATTGATTCAAGCATAAGGTTCCCTACATAGGTAATATTCGCAGAGTGATTAATATCAACTTATTTCTATGAGATCCCAACTAATACTTTGAGGATCGAACTCTTAGAGACAACCAGCATCATCAAGCAAACAAGTCCCTCGCAATGAGAGGCCACATTTTGGAGGTTGACTGATAAAGAATCACTTTCCACACTACCCTAATCCGTAAATTATAACAGTCAGACTATCATGAACTAAGCAATCTTCCAAAAACTATGTAATAACGCTGTCAACATTTCTGTTGTTTTGACTTATCTAATCTTATGGCAGAACAAGGATACATGCATTTTCCAGGGGACATCTTGCCTTGGCAGAAGTCGATGATCCGGTACCTAATCAATGCATGCCAGGACATAACCAGTCGACAGCTAGGAATAGGCATCATCAAAAGCTAAGGCACCAACTCAGATCCTGTTACAAGAATACTAAGTTTATCAGATGTTTTTGATCCAACTGACAAAATTTTCATTGCTAGGATTACAGTGGCTGTGCTTCCATTAGCATTAGCACGGAGTAAGGAGCTACATATGACTAGAAATAAGTAGCATTTTGCTTGGAGGATGTTATATCAAAAAAGAAAAAAAAAAGAAGGTCACTTCATCATCTTCACAACAACCAGATATCTAATGATGGTAAAAACAACAAGGTAACATGCACCAGAAAATAGAATAAAAAATCAAAGCTACAACATGTAAAAGGATAAGATTCACAGTTCACGCTGATAAATATCAGGGAAACCAATACAATTAAGAAATAGAAAAAAATGATCAACTATTAGCCCCATGAAAAATTTATTGAAAATCCTACTTACAGAAGAGAAGTCATGCATTGTCGCCTTAGTGGTCCTCGAAAGTCGCTGTTTACCCGATGCTCAAGGATCCAAATGACAAATCCAATTATGACAAAGAATGCACCCAGGACACACCACATTTTTGTTGTAAATGGTCTTAGGAAAGTCCAGCTGCTAACTTTGGTATTTTCGACCTTGCAAATGACAACCAGACCAGTGGAAATATAGGGTTGAGTGAAATCCACAAGTCTTGTCCGATTTGTGGTTATGGAAATATCTCCCATGGCCGCATTAATTACCTGGAGAGAAATTGTACAGAATTTTGGTTTCATATATCAACCAAAACAAATTGATAGACAAGTGGGTGCATATCATCTTACATTTTCTACCACCATATTAACCAACTCATCATAACTAGGACTTGATTCACCATCCCCAAACGGCACAAATTGGTATGGAACATCATATGGAACCAATTTCAAGGCAGCTTTAAATACATCGACGCAGTATCCTTCGACTTCAAGAGTTCCTTCTATTTCTTTTGAAAACTCTGTAAAACTAACTCTGCGAGGAAATCCAACTTTGAATGGTCTCTCATGGCTTGCAAGCACATAACCACGTGGTTTCACTGTCTTCCCCCCAGGCCATACAACATTACCAAGTTCCTGGTTTTCAGTGAAGTTACTTGGGGCATTTGAGTATATAATGGTGGGAACCAAAACAGACAAGCCTGAATGAGTTGACCAATAACCTACCGAACGAATAACATAATTGTCAACATTAAGCACCTCATAGACTCCACGGATCAGGTTTCGTTCACTGTCAAACTGGACCAAACCGGAAATGCCTGTAAAATTTAAGAGCAATAACTTTTCAAGTAGCAGTTGCCCATGGTCAAACGTTTTAAGGTTCCCAAGTTGCAGCTTTCCTTTCACATCCTGAAGGTTCTTACTATAGGAGAAAGATATATTATTAGATTCACTGAGAAGCTCATTGATGCCAAGTGCAACTGCCCAAACTGTATCATAAGCAAGAAAGCCATGTGTGTTTAGTCGATATCTCACTCTACCTTTTCTCAGTAATTCATTCCATCTCAACACAAAAGCCTTTTTGGTACTTGATGGCGGGATATATTGTCGAAAAAATATTACTCCCGTCAGATTTACCAAATTATCACCTATTTCCGCAGCAGAATCTAAAGAGGTAGATAGCCAATCTGTAGCAAACCATACAAACTCATCGGTCATCATTTGAAGTTTCTGAGCTACAGAGAAAATCAAAAGCCCAGAATCAGGACTAGCATGGACTACATAGACTCGAGGGCCAACCACTTTGGACATATTCAACAACTCAGAAATAACATTAGAACTAGCTCCAACGGGCAAGGCAACCTTATGAACAACTTTTGACATTTTTTTGGCAAGCGCATCACTTAGAGAGGATACTCCGTTCCATCCATAATCATCACCCACAAACACAGCGATGACCTCCTTCCACCTAAAGTGATCAATCAAATCAGCCATGGCAGCCATCTGGTAAAAATCACTTTGAGTTGTGCGGAGGAAGTATGGAAACTGAAGCGAGGATAATGTGGGATCGGTGGCAGCAAATGATAAAAGCGGTATTCGGAGTCCATTCGCAACAAATGAAATGGAATGAGCTACAGTGGAAGACTGTGGACCAATTATCACAACCGCATCTTTTTCGAGAACCCGAAGAGCTGTAAGAAGAAAAAAAATTGCTATCAGTCGCTACCAAAAAGACATATTCTTGTCATTTCAGTATGCTTATTAGTGGAGAGCATAAACTGTAAATTGTAGAATCATGCAGTGAGTAGTCACGAACATACGGATAACTTAAGTTTTATTCAATCGAAAATAAACAAAGCTAATGTAGTGGTTTTAGAAGAAATTTCAGCTGACTGAATATGGTGTCAGAATTCAGGAGGTGGAAAAAAAAAGGTCAGATCATTCAGTCTCAGCTGTGACTTGGACTCACCTTCGACACATGGAATATATGGACAGAGTCATTTAAGAATAATAGATTCCTCTACAGAAAAGTATTTAACCATAGAGAACTTAGGCCCTTGGCAAATCATAAAATGTATCACAGATTGTAATCTAGAGAAAATTATTTAACATTTAAGTCAGACTAAGTCACGAGTCTATCCTGGTTTAAAGAACTTTGGTCGTCAATCATCTCTAGGTGGTGACATTGCCCAGATCGATGGAACCTTCAGCAAGTTCCTTGTGCATCAAATTTTTTGGAGGCCAAAAAGGTTTTTGATATTGGCCAACTAATTCACACCCGTCACTAGTTTGTTCACTATAATAACAGTTACTGAGAAGTGCTTCCAAGATCCAACTACAGAATATGAAAAGAACAAGGCAAAATACTACAAAAAAATAAAACATAAATCTAGCACCTATCTGCTCTCTCCATCATTAAGTCTTGAACGTTCAGATCATATCTCATAGCATGAACGTTCAGAAGCTGAAATGGCGTACTATCACGGGAAACATTTTGCACTGGATATCAAAATAGAGATATGGGAACATCTTCGTAATCTAAAATCATAAAGGTAGTAAAATTGCAACTTTTCAGCGCTAACTTTCAAGAATGGCTGCCACGGGCATATTGAATTGTCAAAAGCTGTTAAATAATATGCAGGCAAGGGGGTTTGTAAAATAATTCATGAAATAACACTACTTTTATGTTTAAACGCGTATCACAGAGTTTCAAAGAGAAGAACAAAGAAAGAATAAAACATGTATGATCGGACCCAGGTATGCACATGCTCGTGTATACAGGGCAGATGGAAAGAGGGAGATGAAAGGGGAGATGGAGAAGAGAAAGGAAATGAAGTGGAGGCAGAAGATGATGGGGAAGAAGAACAATCAAAAGGTCTTCTATTTCGTTTAAAAATTCCTTCTCACCTGATAGCTGCACAATTGTTAAACAGCCTCACATAGAATTTCAACACCCAAATGTTGTGAACAACAGCAGTCTACTGCTCTGAACTCTAACAATTTCAGTTAGTAAGGCTGCAACAGGAAAAGAAAAGTATTAATTCCTGATCTCTATCCGCAGAGGGGTACGCCCACAAAATTCTTGGTCAGTGATCATCATCCCCATCATAAGTGGAGCATTACCAGATTGCCTTCAGGCTGCTACTCACATGAATCATCAATAAAGCACAATGACTATCTTTTCGGGACAAGAATCATGCTACAGTCCAAACCATCAAAATATCATTGTGTTCACCTTCAGCATTTTTAAGTTCAACTAAATTGCTATCTCAAACTGACAATATTTTTTATGGAGGCAATGTGTTGAAAATGCTTATCCCTACACGAAGTTTTCTGTGAGAAAAAAAATCATGCAATCACCCAAACAATCTAACACCATTTTCGTCACCGTCAGCATATTCAGCTTTAACAAGAACTCTCTTCCTTGAGCTTACATATCTTTTATGGATACTATAAGTTCGACTGATCATGCCTTAATTAGATTTCCAGCAAGACACAATATAATATTTCGTAGAATAATGTAACCGTAGATAAAGCATTTTCCCTGAAAAGAGAAGTCATGATTAAGCTTTACCACAACTGACGGTCTGACAGTTGGCATCAACTAGTGTTATGATATACACAGATAATTTTGACTTGATTGAGAAAGCATAGATTATAATCATATTTTTAATGGATCCTGATTAGAAAAAAAGATATCCACATCAACTCCTGTCTTCACGTTTATTTGAAGCACATCTGGGGGCAGGTATTAGCTCAGAATTACAATAACAAAATTAAAAAACACATAAAAAATCTACAATAGTCCCGCAGGAGATAGGGGTGAAGAAAAAAACACTAAGACCTTTGAGATGTCTTACTATCAGACTCTAATACCTCAGATACCTAATGTTCATAAAAGTATTTTCTGAGGAAGTAAACATAATGATTTTCACTGTCTGGGAACAAGACTCGGGCCAGCCAACTCTAATACCTGTGTTCTTAACTAATTCAACACCTAGCGATCATCTCAGTCTTTTCACGGCCTCATCATTAGTGTTACAGTATGATTCTTCTGCAGATACTCATGTAGGAGTTGATTGTCAACAAAATTGAACATGACGATTTGATATGATATGAAAAACATTCAGGGCCACGACAAATCGTAAGCCTTCCTCCTACGAGTTGAGGATGGATTAATACAAAGAAGAGTCCAAAGAATATGTCCTCCTGTCAAATTTATACAAAGTGGTCAAGGGTACCTGAGCAAAATATATTGCGAAGGTGGTGACCAGTCAAAAATCTTATGGGAGCAGCCGGCCAAAAACAACCTTTCTTTGGTCTTAGTTTAATCTACACAACCAAGGAGCAATCCTTAAAATTTCCTCATGACCATGGAAACAGTCAATGAGAAGGAAAAGAGGAAAATCCCAATTAAGGATAGCTGCTATTTGCTAGAGGAGCTACAAAACGAAAAATGAATCTAGATTCAAAGAAACAACTTATAGGACACATTGATGAAGGTAAAAGAATGTTGAATCAGTACATCTTTCTCCAGATGTGAAACAGCAACCAGGCATAAGACAGTTTTGCAAAGTAATTTATGAAGTTTAATGTCATAGGCGTGATCAGTATGTGAGAATAATCATAAGAGGTAATATGTGGTAACTAAATTAAATTTCCCATAAAAAATAAATTTCAAAAATCTTTCACCAAAATAATGGTAAAAACGCTATCAGTTTCATATCAACCCTTTTCAATAAGGAAGATACCACCCCTTCAAATTTGCATTAACATAAAAAATAAAAAAAATGAGCATAGAACTTAACCAACATACCGGCAATGGAGCCAAGAAAAGAACTGCAATTTGAGTTCTCCAGGATTAATTTCAGTTGGGTACCAACAAGAATACTTGGATTTGCATTGATATCACCCACAGCCACTTCAATGGCGACTTTGGCAACTCCACCAATGACTGAATCTTGCGTAAGCACGACTCCTACATTGACAGCCCTTGGCCTCTCACAGTAGACCAACAGGCTATTCAAGCTCAGCTGGGAGAGGAGTACCAGAAGCAAAACGGAATGCATAATTGCACTTTCAGACAGAGTAAACACGAGGAACTAAGAAACCCATGAGAAGAGAACCAGATGGAGAAGAGAAACAAAAAAACAGAAGCACGATAATATCTGATGACAGCGATGAAGCAATCCTCTTGCACATGAAGCTCACGTATTCCAATTCAAGCTAAGTGATAGTTTCGAACGTAGACCAAAAGACCGGGAATTCTGATTCAAGAATACGGCCAAAGATCTCATCCTTCGAATTCCCACAATATGCTCGCGCTCGTAGAATTGTCCAAGAAGAGGACGATGGGAAGGTTCACGTGCATGGTTGGAACACAAATCACCCGGATTATAGCGTAGCGGGAGATATGCCGGCAGATGATTACCCCGGGTAATATTTTCTACCGACTTTCATTCTCCCAGCATAAAACCACAGCCCTCTCCCCTTCATCATCTGCCAGCCCACATGCTCTCCCCTCCGCCCCCCCAAGCAATGATCCGTTCAGGGACTAGCTGGCCCTCCCAGAGGCTGTAAAATAGCGGGTCAAACAGGATATTTTGTCTCACTTTTCTACTGCTACTTCCGGCCATTTCTTTGACTTCTTCTACCGCAGTCAGAAGTTCAGCCGGCTTCCCGTTGCATCGAGCAGACCATGGATCCAAGATTCACGGAGTTCAGCGCAGTGCATGATCCATCCAAAGTCCTGCGGACTCGAATTAAAAGAAGACTTGCGGCATGATCTCGAAGGAAAGAACAGCTCCACCGGGGATATCGGGAGAGGATTTCATGCCGAGCGGGTAGCCACTTTCTACGGGTGATGCAGCAGGTGACCTCATCCTCGACGACACCGATCGGCGGCCCCATTCTTCGACGCCACGGCAGCCACCGCCGCCTCCTGGCGAGGCCTGAGCCGTTAGGATGAGCAGTGTAGGGCTCGATGGCTTCTAGAAGGTTCCGCAAGATCAGAGTAGCCGTTAGATCGGGACACCGACAACAGTAAGTATGGTTCCACCTTCGTCAGTACCAAATGTGGTCCTGGCCGTAAGGCCGATATTGACTTCTCTTAATGGGCTTGGCTGTGAAGCCCTCTAGATAATTTTGCTGATAAACCCTTAACAAATCGATAAAATACTAAAAAACCATAAATTTTATGATAACTTGCAAAATACTCTTAAATTGGTGGTAAGATGATGATGATCAATGGTTCATATGTGAAGTTATCTTAATAGATTGGACATTAATATAAAATCAAGACGACGAAAGATTTTGACGTGTCAAAAGTGTTAGCTTGATGATGATTTGATTGGGTTGATGCAGCTTGAGTTGCACAGGGTTTGAAATCTCATTCTTAAAATTCACAAAAGATTTGATTTTTGTAAAGATCCTTCACCCCAAGTCCATAGAATAAAGAGATCTCAACCCTTAATCCTACAAGGGCCTAATCTTGAGTCTACAAGGATTATAATAGTTCCCTTGAATCTACAGAGGATGTGATTATGAGTCAGCATAATCAAAGAGATAGATTTGCTAAGTCCACAAGGGAGTTCAAGTCCACTAGCAGATGAAAAATACATCATACAAGAAGCAATTTAAAAAAATTACTGATTGAAACTAAAACAACTCTTCAATTGCCTTTAGATATATGTTGAAGTCTTTTAATCTGGCACCTGGATTTAAATTCTTAAGTTAAATTCAAAAATAGAAAGAAAAGAGAATAAAAAGGAAATAAAAGTAACACATATCTAAAAGTAAAGAGTAATTAAAAAGAAAAGGGAAGATAAAAGTAAGAAGGTGTAAAAATAGAAGGGCAATAAATATAGCAAGAACTAAAAAAAAAAAGAGAGTAAAAATAGAAATATGAAAGGGAAAAATTCAAGTGTGTCTTGTGATGGGCTTTAATTGGTAAGTAGGCTAGCTCTAACATAAGCTAGTATTTTGGTTGCTTGTGCTTCTATTATACTTGATTCATACTTTACATGAGCTGCATCATTTAGGAATAAGCTTGTATTACAATTGATCACGAAAATAAACAACGAGACACTATGATGCTTTTAAATATATGTTTGTGACCACTTGGGTCAAAAAAATTCCGTTTTTGGGCTACATTATAATTTTTGAGATAAAATATGAAAATATTATATATTTTTTTATAATTAGTAAATACTCTTTAATAGGATGTAAGATGATGATTAGTAACTTTGATATGGACGGATGATGTTATCTTAATGGGATGGACTCAATGACAAAAATGAAAGCCCACAAGTTTTTTTCTAAATAAACCCATAAAAAATCCATAAAATATTCAAAAGCCATAATTTTTATGATAAATGCACTTAAATAACTTGTAATATGATGAATGGTGATTTTGATATGTACATTGGCATCTTAACGGACCAGACTAGAAGCACAAAAACTTTAAGCCCTCAAGATCTTTTTTCTAGATAAACCCCTAAACAATTTATAAGATACTAGAAAGCTATAATTTTAATGATAAATACTTGTTAATAGGATGTAAGATGATGATTGGTGGCTTTGATCTCGATGAACGTTGTTATCTTAATGGGCTGGACTTGGATGACAAGAATGAAAGCCCATGAGATCTTTTCTAGATAAACCCCTAAACAATCTATAAAATACTAGAAAACCATATTTTTTATGATAAATGCATTTAAATAGCTGGTAGGATGATGATTGGTGATTTTGATCTGTACGTTGTCGTCTTAATGGACTGGACTAGAAGGACAAAAACTTCGGCCCAGGTATTTTTCTAGATAAACCCTAAACAATCCATAAAGTACTAGAAAACCATAATTTTTATGATAAATGGCTTCTAAGATGATAAACGGTGATTTAGATCTGTACGTTGTCATCTTAATGGAGTAGATTAGAAGGACAAAAACTGAGGCCCAAGAGATCTTTTTTCTAGATAAACCCTAAATAATCAATAAAACTACAAGAAATCCCTATTTTTACATTTAGTAGTAAATACTTTAAAACGGTTGTAAGATGATGATTGGTCGTTAGATCTGGACGTTGTTATCTTGATTGGACTCGTAGGATGGAACATGAAGGCCACGAGATAAATTTCCAGATAAAAACCCTAACTAAACAATAAAATACTAAAAAACCTATTTTTTTCAGTTATTAGCAAATACTCTTAAATGGCTTGTAAGATGATGATTGGTGGTTTCGATTTGGACGGTTATCTTAATGGGGTAGATTCTTAAGACAAAAAAATGAAGCACAAGAGAGATTATTCCAGATAAAACCCTAAATAATTAATCAAGAATGAGAAAACCCTATTTTTCTGGTAACTAGTAAAGACTCTTAAAAATAGATAGATAATATGATAATTGGTGGTTTCCACGGTGCTTGTGCGTTACAAGGTTATCACCACTCGATGAAGAAGCTCTTCAAATGGACGGTGACGGTGTGTGAAACCAGCCGGTGAACATCGAAACGTACGAGAGTAACACGGTCCTTGAGGAGGATGAGAGAGAGTGGGGAGGCGGGGGAGGGAGAAAAGGCTGCTGTGGATAACGGGACTAGCGGCGCTGCGAGGAGGGAGAAAGGAGCTGTCCTGGAGACCCACTGTGGATTGTCGGGCCATGGCGTCTCTCTCCCCTTCTATCCCTTCCTGGTGCGTCTTCCTCCGTTTTTCAGCCCGTCTTCGTCTCCACCCGCCGGCTTTTCCTTCATTCTCTGTCAGTCTTCGTAGAAAACATCGGACTCTTGGGCATTGAGGGTGATTAAATTTTCTGGGCTCCATTGGAGGCGCCTGTTGTTGTTCTTTCCAGGACTCGATTGAGTTCTCTGGCCTGATTAGACCTCGAATTGTTTGAATGTGCGTGGTTCATCTGATTCCGTATGAAAATTGTGTTAACCGGATATAATTCCCGTGTCCTATTGGATCGGGACCGCAGTTTCCCTGGAACATCTTGCATTACATTCCAGTTTGTACCAAATTTTCTGGGCATCGAAGCATAGCCTGCATACTCTCATGATTGCTGTTCTTCCTCTGCATCTGGTGTTGATTGGATGGCTCAAGTAAACAGCAGAAGTTATAGATTAGATTCTAAAGAACTTCAGATTTAAGGCTGAAATATGTGGTGGGCTTGATTTCCTCTCCTTGTTCTTTCTTGCAGCAATTTGAAGTCCGCACTTCTTGGAGAGCGTAGTAGCCTTCGCTGCGCTGCTGTTCCTGTCACCAGGCTTAGTGGGTATGTGACGAAGCCAGTCGAGTGCAAGGAATCTAGGATTGGGAAGAGGCCCATTGAGGTGCCTCCCAATGTCAACATCGTTCTGGAGGGTCAAGACCTGAAGGTGAAGGGACCTCTGGGCGAGCTTTCCAGGACTTACCCCCGTGAAGTGAGGGTGTTGAAGGTGGAATCTGGACATCTGAAGGTCGAGAAGGCTCTTGATACCAGAAGAGCAAATCAGATGCATGGCCTGTTTAGGTAACCAAGAACCCAGGATAATTTTTTTCCGCTTGGGATTGCTTCAATGGCCTTTGATAAAGTTCGATTCAATTTCTTTTTTATTCCCAGTTCTTGTGCGATGTCTGCTTGTGCTCGTACTGATTCTTCACTTTTATTTATTTATTTATTGCAAAGAACCCAATTAGTAATCTAGTTTTAATGTTTAATATTAGCAGTATGAAACCACATTAATCCATTTACCCAAGACAGAAAGCTGCTGAGGATTTACGATTTAGTTTCTGAAGACTTCGCAGATTTTCTGAGAAACTTCTGATGATGGATGATGGCCCATTGCTCTATGCCATTATTACGTCTCTCTAGGTCCTCATTTGATAATTTTTCGACTTTAAGATCATAATTTTGATCATATTCTCTGTCTGTATCCAGAAGGATGATATCCTCTAAACCAGATTTTCCCATGTTTGGCTCCGTCCTTCAATATTCATGTTACCGATAAGTAGAAAACATCAAAGCCTGTACTCCAACCATTTAATTTATATAGACCCAATCAATGAGGTTGCTAAACTTGATTATTAGGCTAGAAATTCGTATTTCCATCTGTTGCCATAAGATTAATAGGAACAGAAAGTGCTGTTATTATCATCTTTTCTTGATAAAATGCTGATTCAGGAGAATGTTCATCTCTTCATCAAGTGATGGGCATCACAGAAACAAAGCAGGATCTGTGATTAAAGTTCCCTTTGACAAAACTTAACATCTTTCCCTTTGATGCAGAACCCTTACTGACAACATGGTTGTGGGCGTCTCCAAGGGGTTCGATAAGAGGCTTCAGATGGTGGGAGTCGGGTACCGAGCCATGCTTGAGGGCCAGGATCTTGTGCTCAACCTGGGATTCTCCCACCCTGTTCGGATGCCGATACCCACCGGGATCCAGATCAAGGTGGAGGACAACACCAGGATCATCGTGAGTGGCTACGACAAGTGCGCCATCGGTGAGTTTGCTGCTTCAATCAGGAAGTGGAGGCCCCCAGAGCCCTACAAGGGCAAGGGAGTCAAGTATGCTGATGAAATAGTGAGGAGAAAGGAGGGTAAGGCTGGCAAGAAGAAGTAGAAGCCCCTATCTTTCTTTGCTTTTCCCTTCCTTCCTTCCACAGGATGATTGTATTGTCCATGTTGTTCTTGCCTCCAAATGCTGGTCTTGTGACTTCTGAGGTCAATGCAAAGGGTTTTGCTGTTTGAAGTTTGACCCAAGTGGGAGTCATTGATTAGAATTTGAAGCTAATTTCTTTGACTAATCATGGCTGTTAAATCTGATGAATGCTTGCCTTTCTTCATCTGAATAGGAGAAATGTAGTTGATGCTTTCTAAGGCTTCACCATAGTTTTGTGGTCTTATTTAAAGATATGTACTAAGATAGTAAAATTATATGCATCATGGATACTTTCTTTTGTCAGTTTATGATCAAGATGTATAAATAGTTATCATGATTGGTGATTTTTCTTCGAATAGTTGGGGTCTTATTCATCTTTTCACTTGCTATTTGAATTTATCTAATTATTTCGTATAGTAAAATGGAGAAACTAGGGTAGAAAAAAATTGGATGGAGTGGGAAGAGCAGATAACCAAAGCAATCGAGATTATGGGATTTAGAATTGAAGAAATTTATAATACTTTAAAACTAGAGTTGAAATTTATTTCCCTTTAAAAAATAAAATAAGTTTTTTTACATGTACCCTAAGTCACCAAAATGTTCATGTTTAGTTAGTCATTTTGTGAACAAATTTTGATAAAATTAACCACTTACTCAATGTGAACAAAACTTTACAAAATACTTACATTTATATTAAATTTTATCAAAATTTTGGAGAGAATCATTTTAACATGTTACACAATCATAATATTATGAGATGAATACATTCTTGTTACTTTAACTCTTGTAAAATAATTACAGACTCATATAATAATTTAATAGTAAAACCACTTGAATGACTTCTAAGATATCTAGAGCTGTGATGATAAATCACACTTATAATATCAGTTATGAGGGATCATTAAGAATCAAGAGGAGTGGTTGAATTGATTTTCTTCTTAGTTTTGAGTTTATTTTCTAATTTTCACTTTGAACTAAACACTCATATTTTTATAATAATTTGGTCCAATTGACTTGCTTCGCTCTCTAAAGATAGAGTCTTTAGATTGTACTAAATCCTTGGTGAAATACATTAAACATAAATACCTTAACAAACTTCATAAACATAGAGGATTTAGCTAGCCTGCATATTAAACATAACACCCTCATAAAGTTTTCATTAAATAAAAAGGCCACAACCAGCCTATAATTTGAAAACAATAGCCTTAACAGGCCTTCATTAAACACAAATATTTTAAGTAAATTATATACTAAACACAACTATCCCAACAAACCTCCACTCAACACAAAGGCCATACAAGTCTATGTTATATATATTGGTTTTATAGAACCTAAGCATAAATTTAGAGCAAATTTGTGCTCTTACTAATTTAGTGCATAGCTTTCTTTGAGTGAATTCCTTTGGTTGAAGATGCATAATCAACTAATGGGCAAAGGGCTCTGAATGATTGGGCGAAAACTAATTTTTCTTCTTGTTTTGGTCCTCAGATCCACTTGAAAGTTCATGTAACCATTTTGGTTGAAATATTTGATTGTGTGGCTTTCACTATCTTCCTTTTCTTACTACATTCTAATTTAGACTTGAATTCATTATAACATTTTGAGTCTTGTATAATTCTTAACAATCTTAAATCTTTGAATCTAAATGCACAATTTCTTTCATATTTTCAATACATTTTCTAAAGAGTAGATGGATGCCTATACTTGTGATGTAAACTTGTATCTAAAAACTTATCCGATTGTTTTGAAGTAGACATGGACCATTTTATTTTACCCTTGAACATATTTATACTTGATTTCATCTATTATGATATATGCTTAGTGGGTAACATAATTTTGACATTCTAATATTAATATGCTACTCTTTATCATCCTCAAAACTCTTAAGGCTCCTAAAGCCAACATATACTAATTACTTGAAGAGGATACTCGTTGAGATAAGTGAAAAGATTGCCCAAAATACCATGTTCAATTCAATTTTAATTAATCTCTTTAGTTACATTAATTCACGTGCTTACTAAAGTGTCATGACATATCAATTTTTGTAACATTAATATAATATATTAGTTATTTGATAGTAATAAAATTATTCATAGTTTATATAAGTCATAAAACTTGCAAGGTTCTACAATGGTGTACAAACGTCTAACACATGTATACAATTGACTAAATCAAAATTTTACAAAAAAAGACAGAAATTTATAGCTATATGCATGAAATTTATGGAGTGAGATGTAGAACTTCTATTATTATTACTTCCAAGTACACTACTCTAAGTATACGAATAATTATTTTATTTATTTCTTGTTACTAACAAATGAATTGATGGTTAAATGCATTTTATTAATACCTCAGATATTTATATTTGCTTAAAGATATAAACTGCCTTCTTTTCTTCTCTTTAAAAAAAGTTTTCATTAATCTTTTATTTTTCTCGATTGATTTATAATGCTTGATTATTAACTTATGCAAGTAGTAGGGGAAAGGCCACCAATCAGAAATTCATAGTTGATGAGAGGATCACAAACAAGTAATATGAATGATGCTGATACAATAATATGAGGTAGAAGAAATGGGTTTTGGGAATTTGAATTTGAACTTGAATTTATTAAGTAGATGAGAATTAAGTGAATCAATAGTTTTTTCAGCATGATTTTAAAATGTGGATCTTGAAAAAATAATTCATGTTCAAAGGACACACTTAGCTAAACTCTTTGGAACACCTTCAAGATTGCCATGTAAGTGATGTGGCCTTAATAGACACTTTCACCTTGACTTGCTAATACATTTTTTTTGTTTCTGTTGATAACTTTGAAGTCTAAGTTAGGAAAAACATATGACAAGATTGAGGTGGCTAACTTAGTATATTACTAGCATATGTAAGCTAGCAAAATGGTGATGATGAGATGAACTTATGGTTCTTTGTTGAGCACCACTAAAGGTCAAACTGAAATTTCCTTCATAAAATAAAGGCTTCAATTTAGAAAAAAAAAAGACACCCTCAAATAATTAGACCCAATTGTGTATATGGGCGTTCATGATAAGCTTTAATTTTGGATAAAAGTCAACATTTTTAAGACTAACCTACTCAACCTAGTGAAATACCTTTCATGGGGTTGCACTAGCAATGACAAAATTGTTATGAGGCAAAGAAGGTGGGCTAATTATTTGTTCATGATCTTAGGTGTATTATTATTATTATTATTATTTAAAAATGAAGCTGATCAGCATTAAAAATTACCATAGTGTGAATGCAAATATGGGAAATTTTGAGGTAATTCACTAAACCCATTACCAACCCTTAAAAATATTAAAAGCTAGCAATGATGAGACAACCATGGTGTGAATGGGAACAAACTTTGGCTTGATCTGGTACATGGGTGATGAATGGACTGAGATTTCTTCATGATCATGGCACCAAAGCATGCACTTAAGTGATTAGTTGACCCATTGGCAATCTTTGACCGAATACCATTATTTTTTTTCATAAAAAATTTTATTAAAATAAAAAATATTTTTTAGACATTTGTATTATGCTATATTGAAGCCTAAATTAACTAAAATTTAGGGTGAAATTTTGATTTTTTTGTAATTAATCAAGTCTATGTTGTGGTAAATAGGTTGTGGTTGGTGCTCAGCGCCGTTTATTTTTCATAAAATATTTATTAAAATAAAAAATATTTTTTAGACATTTGCATTATGCTATATTGAAGCCTAAATTAACTAAAATTTAGGGTAAAGTTGTGATTTTGTTTGTAATTAATCAAGTCTACGTTGTGGTAAATAGGTTGTGGTGGGTGCTCAGCTCCGTTTTGACACGTGGCTGCACGTGATGTCCCCGACCCTTCGCCAGCCTCTGTATATAAGCAGAGCCTTTCAATTCGGGGGTATAAGACCCTTTCTGAGAACACGCGCGCTCGAACCAGGTGGGTCGTCTTCCGTCCCGCTCTTCTTCCCCCCGTCGGTGCCGCTTCTACGAGGCTGGGGTGATCTCTAGTCTGGAATTTCGTCGGCGCGACCTTCGATTGGATCTGTCGACTGGATGCCTCCAGATCCGGTGTTTGTGATCGTTTTCTCCTCTCCCTTGTGAATCTAGGGTTTTCTGATTTGTGTTCGGAAATCGGTCGGATCCGCATGCAGGTGTCGCGAAGAGGAGAATTTGGGCTTGGAGGAAGAGAGAAGGGTGTATGGCGACATTTGAGCTGTATCGGCGGTCCTCGATTGGGATGTGCCTGACGGAGACCCTGGATGAGATGGTCTCGAGCGGCACCCTCAGTCCGGAGCTTGCCATCCAGGTTCTGGTCCAGTTTGACAAGGTGCGTGTCCGTACGATTTTCGGTGACCATTTCTCTCTGTCTTGGGTTGGCTGATTTCTTGAATTGGATTTGTGCTTTGCAGTCTATGACTGAAGCTCTGGAGACGCAGGTGAAGAGCAAGGTCACAATCAAGGTAGCTTTCGCTCTCCGTTCTTTCCATTAATTCGTTGAGACGCATTATCCTCCAGATAAGTTCTCTTGAGTCTCAGTCGTGCCGAAATAATGCTATTCTATCAGACTGTTGCAAGGTTTAACTCCGCAGTTCATAATTTTCGACTTATGTTATTTTTTCGTAGTACTCTAATGATCTTGTTAAAGCTTGCTTGTTTATTCCCTTGGACGTAGTGTTTTCCACTCGGACGTTTTAACCTTTCACAGTACGTTGAGTTGTTACAAAATAATTAGCCATGTTAGATAATGGTGATTCTTTATGCGCTATGGAGATCAGAAGCATCTTCGTTGAGACATCTATGTGGTCTGTCTCTGGTGATTTCATTTGAGGATTTCATCTACATTTTATAATTCAGGAACCTCTAGCGATTATGTACACACAGTGTCATCTTCCGTATGGCTAATATAATTCCTTGTTTATGGGTTCAATGGGATCTGTTGACCAAAGCAAACGTCTGACACAGGTGTCTATAGTTTTTCTGAAAGTTAGCTACTTCAAATAGTCCATCGTAATGGGTATGGCTCAGTATGTTTGATACACGAGATTAATGTTCTCCCGAGGTTTCGTTGGTTTTTTGATATATTCACTTAGAGGACTTTGGGTTGCGTACATACATGCAGTCCACAGACCTACAAACAATTTGAATACGATTATCCCTTTAGGTTGATTTATTTTAGTGGAAAACCCAAAGTGCCAAAAACCCATGTATGGTGAAACTTATCTGCGTGCAGCCAGTGAGTATTCACAGGCATTGATTTACTTAAGCTTTATTTTTACCGTTTGGAGTTTGGAATTCCTTCGTGGAGTTTAAACTGTTAACAAAAAATCAGAATTTATTTTATGAATGTATGGTTCTTATGTATCAGGTCGGAGAAAGTTTGCATCTCATTTGATTACCCTACTTTTCAGTCTTATTCATTTCTGTCCATAGTCACATCTCCGTTTCGCCTAGCTCCATCATCAGAATGCTTGTTACTTTTTTCGTCATGTGATGTTAGTTACAATATGGTGGCAGAGGTTACGATTTTATTTTTTTTTTTGGTAGAGCGCAGTAATTTGATCCTAGATACAATCAATGTTCACATGGAAAAATGGACTTCGATGCAGCCTTTTGGCTATTTCAACACGACTTAGGTCTTGGTTGAGTAGGTAGTAAGGACCGATTCTTAAAGGAAAATAAAACGAATTTGCTGTCCTACTTATGCGTATAAGTATGATGGAATTTGTGAGAAATATTCACAAAAAGCTGATTAAATGCCGTCAATAAAACAGTCGAGATCATGTCTATTCCCCACCGTTTCTAATCTCTTGTGCTGGGCACGATTTGAACCCAAAGAAACGACCTTCATTCACTAATGGCCAAGACTTTCAGTACGGTCATTGTACCCACCATCCTTTTTCTTCTTCGTCTTCTTCATAGAAGAAGCTTTCCCACCCAGCTTTCCCCTTTCAGACAAATTCGGGCAATTCTTGGCCACGATACCAATTCGAGTAATCTTCCTCGTTAGTCGTCCCTCCCAGGTTGGCTCTTAACAGTCAGATGCAGAGATCTTCTCAAAGGAGGCCTGCACATTCCTTAGAATTCCCAACTTCTTCCCCACAAATTTTCGTCTCGTTTCTTCCTGGTCAAGATAATTTTTGGAGGATATCATAACCCTGACATGGAATTCAGCCGCCGACATGTCATCTTCCTGAGATCTCTATCATCCCTCTGGCTTCTCTGATTTTTCCACCGGACGAATAGCGACTAGACTACCATAAATAGATTGATTTGAACATATATTAAATAAATCTTAGAAATTGGTGCCAGATGTTAGCTTCTAACCGGGTGATCTCACGGCAGGGGCACCTCCACACGTACAGGTTCTGCGACAACGTGTGGACCTTCATACTGCAGGACGCCACCTTCAAGAACGAGGGGAACCAGGAGAACGTGGGGAGGGTGAAGATAGTCGCCTGCGACTCCAAGCTCCTTACCCAGTGACCCCCCTCCCTTTCCCGCTCCCGCTCTGTGCTCTCTCCCCCTCTGAAGGGCGCTGGATGTACAGTAAATGAAGGAGGGGGAGGAGGAGGAGGAGGAGGAGGAGGAGGAGGAGGAAGAAAACGAAGAAGAGGACTCTTTTTAGCCCTGCTGTCGCTGCGACGTTGTAGCCTTCTTACCTGTGATGCTGCTTTCCCATTTTACGTCATATTTATTTCCTTAAAAAGACATCTGGCGAGAGGGATCCGGATTCCGATTCGGACCCCACTGTTGGCATTTGGGCGTTGACGCTGGACCGATGCCCCAAGATGGGGCCCGTTCCAGCCAGGGTTTATTTACCCTCTTTTTTGGATTATTTACCTCTAATACCCTCGATTTCATTCAAAGCCCTGCTTTTTGGGCCTGAATCTCTCTGTTTGCCCAAACGACCAGCGAGTAAATTTACCCTCGATGTTGTCATTATTTACGTTTGGTACCCCTGGGGGTCTAGCTATGTAGGGATCTTTTCATTTAAAACCTTGGTTTTTCAGGCCCGTTTCTACACGCCGGCACATATGAATATTTACCCTCGTCATTCGTATTATTTACGTCGTGTAGCCTCGGGGCGTTGGGCTTGATGGGGGCCCGTCCAGTTAAAGTCCAGCTGTTAATTGGGCTTGCATCTATGCCCCGACCTATGGATTTAATTACCCTCGTTATTCTTTTTATTTACGTTGCGTACCCCCGGTGCCCAGATGGGAGGGATGTTCACTACCCGAAGGCACAGGAGTTACGACTAAGCCTGCTAAACCGAGAGAGTCTATATATATGTGAGCGAGGGAGGGGGGGCAGAGGTGGAGGACCGGCATCTCTCTCCAGCGTCGGCAACGGAGCTCTGGAATCTTCGGTTTCCGTTCTCCGGTGGCGGCCGCCGTGTGGGACACGGCGGCGGGGCGGAGCTTGATCTTGGTGCCCTGGCGGAGGAGGGATGTCGTGGGGTCTCGGCTGGAAGCGGCCGTCCGTGATCTTCCGTCTCTCGCTGGACTATGGCGACGGGAGCGGGGAGCAGGTTGGAGGCTCCGATCCTGGCTTCTCTTCGCCTCCAGCTCCCCCTGCGCCGCTGCCTCCTCTGCCGCATCCACCGCCGCCGCCGCCGCCCCCGCCGCGGACGCTCTCTTTTTCCAGAGAGTCTGGATTCCGGATCGATCTGGAGTGGCCAGCCGGAGACGACGAGGACCAGGTCGCTCTCCGGCTTCAGTCGCAGCTCATGGTTGCGCTTCCCCCTCCTCGGGACTCGGTGGTGTTGAGTCTAGCTGGGGAAGGGGAGGGGGAAGAGTGCCGCGTCCGCGTGGACATGAAGGTGACGAAGAGGAGGGAGCTGCTGAGGTCGGTCACTATGTCCAAGGCTGTTGGATCTGGTCAAATCAGCGAGGGGATCGGCATTCTGCCGAGGCTGATAGCGTCGAGTTCGATGCCCTCGGGACCTGGCGAATCCCTCGTCGGGTTTGATGAGCACTGGAAAAGCCTGACGACGTTAAGTCTCTGCGAATGTGGATTATCGGTGAGTGTGATACTATCTATATTTCAAGCATCGATTCATTTTCTTCTTCGCTTGGTCTTTCCTGAACTAGTTTGCTGACTGGGCCTCGTGACCTTGATTTGTCGTTGATTTCCAAAGGAATGCTGCCGTCTGTACATTCCCTTTTTCAATTTATTTTACGGCGAGGTTCTAGAATTACGTTATACACTCACCTTTTGGAAAGGCGGGAGTTGTCTAAATTACCATTTTGTCACAATTTGAACATTCATCTACTGGAATTGGCATTCCACCTGTTTAGTGTGAGGCGTAATATGCAAGCGCATTTAAGAAGTTGATGGATAATTGAGAAGAATAATATTGTTGTATAATTTAATAATGGAAAAAATTGGAAATCTTGAAAGGTAAAAGTCGTACCCACCTAACGTGTCTAAAGATAGGCGAGATTGTGTCTCCACTTTCATGTCTGAATGGTCAATGCCCACAAACATTGTTTCTCACCTAATATTCTCTAGGAAAGCTTAAAATAGGTTAGTCCACCTTTTACCAGGTGAGCACCTTTTAGAAATTCTGGGGAATATCCCACAAAAAATAATTGGATTCGGGGTAAATACTGATCCTAAGAAAACCATCATCACCTATTTCATCGATAAGAGTCAACCCATTTGATTTTGTTTTATGTTCGCCCTGTTTTGTGTAAGATCATCTGGAAAATATGGAGTCCCTTTGCTATTTTGGTCGAAATATATCGTTAATTATTTTAGTGAACTTCTTTGGAGCTTTTTTTTTTCCCCTGAATTTGATGTTTTCCTTGACTGAATTTTTTTCACCTCAACCCACGTATATAATACGGTGAAAATATTATCCTTTTTCTCTGTGGGGTGTGTGTGTGTTGGCGGGGGATGGGGAGAGACTCTCTATCTTTTCGTGTAAGGTAAAGGGACGTTACAGCCTGGAGTGATTGCCTACCTGGAAAGCCCAAATCATGTTAACGAATAACTTTTCTTCTGAGAATGTAATACCAACTGAGTTTGCACTTGTTAATGAATGACAGTATTTTATTTCTCTTACCGTTTCACTTCAATCATGAAAAGTCTCTAGATCTCTTGCGGCAGTTTGGTCCACCTCCTCTATATCACACCGTACATAAACCTCTACTCACCTAGTGTATATGGGAGTTAACTTCTGTCTCAGATAGGCACCTAAATTTTTTTTGACACATCAGGGTTGTATCGATTTTTCAGTATCGATACATCAGAGTTAACTTCTATTTCAATATCGATTTTTCCTTAAATTTATGTTCAACTGAATATTCCCTCCAGTTTTAAATTTTTCTGGAATTTAATTTACGCCTTACTCCTCTGTATTTTTGGAGTTTTGACAGGTTCTTCCCGTAGAATTGACACGATTCCCGCATCTTGAGAGATTATATCTTGATAACAACAAGCTTTCAAGCTTGCCACCTGAGATTGGTCAGATGACAAGCCTGAAAGTGCTCAGGGTCGACCACAATCTGCTTGTTTCAGTTCCTGGTATAGCCAGATTTTTTTTTAATGTTTGATTATCACCTGATCTTCTGTTCTGATGCTTTGGCAGTTCTAACTTCTTTCTTTTCTGTTCTTTTTAATCCTTGAGTAGTAGAGCTGAGACAATGCGTTGATTTGGTGGAGTTATCACTGGAGCATAATAAACTCATACGCCCTCTTCTTGACTTCAGGTCACTCGATTAGCAGTGAACTCTCTCTCTGAATATGCTTCATGCCATTTTGAATTGTTTCCCTTCAACTTAGTCACAAATCTAATGTCTCTTTTCAGTTTAATGGCAGGGCAATGGCTGGGCTCCGTGTCCTGAGACTATTTAGTAACCCTCTTGAGTTTCTCCCTGAAATTTTGCCTCTGCAAAGTCTTCGTCATCTATCTCTTGCGAATATCAGGATCGAAGCTACTGATAATCTAAAATCTGTGAATGTGAGAATAGAGGTAAGAAGGGCTTTGGCTGCATTTCGTGGCTTCTGAGTTCAACCACCTTAGCCGTTCTGTTGTAAATATTTATTTTTCTTTTGTTTGACTGCAGACAGAAAACAGCTCCTATTTTGTTGCTTCTAGACACAAGCTGAGTGCCTTCTGTTCACTTATATTTCGTTTTTCATCATGTCACCATCCTTTGCTAGCATCGGCTCTAGCTAAAATATTGGAAGATCATGGGAACCGCTTAGCCATAAGCAAAGAAGAAAATGCTGTGAAACAACTTATAAGTATGATAAGCAGTGATAATCGTCATGTGGTAAGGGAATTTTCTTTTCTCATCCTTTTTAAGGCTGATCAGTGTGGTTCTCCACCCTGGTGAAGTGGTGAAAGGATGACAAAAACTCGCACAAATTTTACAGGTTGAACAAGCATGCTCTGCATTATCATCACTTGCTGCAGATGTCTCTTTGGCAATGCAGTTAATTAAATCTGACATCATGCAACCGATTGAATCGATTTTGAAGTCTTTTGCCGAAGAAGAAGTGATTTCGGTGCTACAAGTTGTGGTCACTATGGCCTTTGCCTCTGATACTGTAGCTCAAAAGATGTTGAGCAAAGATGTCTTGAAATCTCTAAAAGCATTATGTGGGCACAAGACTGTAGAGGCAAGATGATTTCAGTTCATTTGCATTTGTTATCTTCTTTTGCCGTCTTCTCTACAAATTAATTTCTACAATTCCTCCCTTATTAGGTGCAAAAAATGGCACTCCTTGCTGTTGGTAATTTAGCCTTTTGCTTGGAGAATCGCCGTATTCTTTCTGCATCTGAGAGTTTGCGTGAACTTCTCCTACGCCTGACGGTTGTGCCTGAGCCACGTGTAAACAAAACTGCAGCGCGTGCTTTGGCAATTCTTGGTTTCTCCTCTAATTCTTTTGTTTTTTAAGTAAGGTTGAATGGAATTCCTGCAAAGTTTGATTTTTTTCTTTTTCTGGCAAAACTTAGGAGAAAATGAGAATCTGCGAAGGGCAATAAGAGGAAGACCTGTTGGAAAACATGGATTGCGCATCCTTTCAATGGATGGAGGTGGCATGAAGGGCCTGGCTACTGTGCAGATCCTTAGACAGATAGAGCTTGGTACTGGGAAGAGCATTCATGAAAGTTTTGATCTAATCTGCGGGACCTCCACGGGCGGTATGCTTGCTATTGCTCTTGGAATCAAACGGATGACCCTGGACCGATGCGAGGAAATATATAAGACACTTGGTACGTACCCTTTTATCATCGCGTTTTGTCGTCAATGCTGAACTATCTATGAGTTCATCTCATCCTTCTCAATTCTGTGCTTCACCAGGAAAGGTTGTGTTCACTGAACCCGTCCCAAAGGACAATGAGGCAGCAACATGGAGAGAGAAGCTTGATCAACTGTATAAAAGCTCATCACAGAGTTTTAGAGTCGTCGTTCATGGATCTAAGGTTAGAACATGCACGCATGCTTTGTATCAACTTAACTCGTAGTACTCAACTAAGTATCTTAATACAAGTCTTCTTGCAGCACAGCGCAGATAATTTTGAGAAATTGTTAAAAGAGATATGTGCTGATGAGGATGGTGATGACCTGCTGATAGAATCGGCGGTGAAAGGCATCCCAAAAGTTTTTGTCGTTTCAACGTTGGTCAGCGCTATGCCAGCTCAGCCATTTCTTTTCCGTAATTATCAGGTCTCGATCATTTTCCATCATTGAACATTCTGTTTCGTACAGTATTTTTGCCATGCTACCATTTTCTTGAAACACATGTCAAGGAGTATATGAATAATTTGGGTATTTCCCCAAATAATCCCATTTCAATGAGGAAATTGCCAAATGATCTTGGAAAGAATGTACCAGAAAGATTGGCACTTTTGACCATATTAAAGTTGGAATGTTTTTTTTTTTGCTGAAGTCGGTATCATTTTTTGGTAAGCGGAATCTGCTCTGTGAAGAACGTGGCCTACACTGCTCTCTCTCCTCTAATTCTGGAAGACACCCCACCCCACAAACTGTAACCGGGCTGAGGACATAATGCACCATACCAAAAGTAGAAAGCTAGGATCTGACATGCAGTAAATCTTGATTCATTGTTAGCAGAGGAGGGATGCCATGAACTATCTTTGAATTCAAACTACATTTGAGGCCTTCACCAGCCTTTTTTTTTATCATGTCTGGGTTGATTGACCATTTCCGTGGAATAGAAAGAATCATCATTCTCGTCCATTCTTCCTCCTCTAGCTGAGAATGTTCACAGCTTTGAATTGGCCGAGGGATGACTTCCTCTGGTGGTGTTCGTCGTGAATTCTTCGGTCCTCATTCATATATAATTGTTAATTATAGTCATGATTTATAGATTGCTGCTTCCTCTTTCCTCGATCTGCGGCTGATCGTTTTAGCAATTTCCTGGCTACAGTACCCAGTCGGCACACCAGAGCTGCCTCATGGAATGTATGAGATTGGAACGACCGGCAGTGCGGTCACTGGTGGCGCAGGCAGCCGACGCAGTGCTTTCTTCGGCAGCTGCAAGCACCGCATATGGGAAGCAATCAGAGCATCCTCAGCTGCCCCGTACTATCTTGATGACTTCTCCGACGGTAGAATTCACTCTCTCTCTCTCTCTCTCTCTACGGCACCCTTTTCATAGGCTTGTGATACTCCTCTCTGCTCTGTTCTTTCAGATGTAAGCCGCTGGCAAGATGGCGCGATTGTGGCGAACAATCCCACCATATTTGCGATCAGAGAAGCACAACTCTTATGGCCGGACACGCCGATCAACTGCATCGTCTCCATAGGTTGTGGCTCAGTTCCTGCAAAGGTAAGATTCCCATCAGGACCTCCTCAGAAAAGCCTGACCCACATGATCATATGATAAATCTCTCAGAGTATGCAATTCCTAAATGATCTGATATAAATTCCCTTCCTTTTTCGTCGGCATAGGCAAGGAAGGGCGGCTGGCGCTATCTGGACACCGGGCAGGTGCTGATAGAGAGCGCATGCTCGGTGGATCGAGTGGAAGAAGCCCTCGACACGTTGCTGCCCATGATTCCCGATGTGCATTACTTCCGATTCAATCCAGGTAGAGCCGCCATTCTGTACCTCGATTTCATTGGCGGCTTCGTCATCAGTTGGAAAGAAATGAATGAAGAACTATGCGTGTTCTCTGGTATGATTGTAGTTGACGAGCGGTGCGGGATGGAGCTGGACGAGACCGATCCCGCCATCTGGTTGAAGCTCGAGGCAGCCACCGAGGAGTACATTCAGAGTCACGCGGAGGCTTTCAAGAGCGCCTATGACTGCCTCCTCCCCCCCTACCAGGCCGACGAGCGCCCCTCCGAGAAGCTCAGGTCCCAGCATTTCTCCCGCTCCAAGCCCTCTAACGCAGGTAACCACCATCTTTCTTCTTCTTCTTCTTCCTCCTTCCTCCCTCCTTGATCCTTCTTCTTCACCGCCATCTTTCTTCTTCTTCTTTGGTCACCTCCACGGAAATGACCCCCATCTGGCCGCAGGGCGCGACGACGACGGCGGCCCGTCATTGGGCTGGCGGCGGATGGTCTTGCTCGTGGAATCCCCCGGCGGTCCGGATTCCGGTGGCACCGCCCGGCACGCCCAGTCGCTGGAAACCTTCTGCGCCCGCAACGCCGTCCGCCTCTCCGTCTGGAACCGCTCGCCATGGCTCTCCAAGACGCCGCCGGCGGCGGCCTCCGTCTCGACGCCGTTCCAGTCGCCGCTGCTCACCGGGAGTTTCCCGTCCAGCCCCCTACTGTACAGCCCCGACCTCGGCGTTCAGCGGATCGGCCGAGTGGACTCTGTTCCCCCGCTCAGCCTGGACGGCGGCCCTGGCCCTTCCTCCTCCCTCTCCCCTCCGGGTTCACCCGTCTCGTGGGAGCCCTCCCCCCTCGTGCGGGCCCTCCACGAAAAGCTCCACAGCTTGCCGCAGGTGGGCATCATCCACCTCGCCCTCCACAACGACCCCGCCGGCTCAATCCTCAGGTAAGTGCAGCTTCTTCATCTCCAGTTCATCATGATTGCGAAAAGGGGCTTCATTTTTTGATTGTTTCGTTCGTTTTATGGGGGGGTGGGTGGTGCAGCTGGCAGAACGACGTGTTGGTAGTGGCGGAGCCAGGGGAGATGGCGGAGAGGTTCCTGGAGAGCGCAAAGCAGAGCCTGTGCTCGGCCCTGAGGAGTCGGAGCCGCCGGAGGGGGGGAGGCTACGCCTGGCAGGAGCTCGCGACAGTGGGGGACCTGGTGGCGCGCCACCGGTCGTTCCTGGTCGGGGGAATCCTGCACCGCTACATGGGCCGGCAGACGCAGGTTCTCCCCTCTCTCTCTCTCCCTCTTTTATGGGAGAGTGTCGCTGGGACGTTCTCTGGTTCTGTAATGCCGTCAGCCTTCTTTCTTCACGCAGGTTATGGAAGATGATCAGGAGTTCTCGGCGTATATGTTCCGTAGGACGGTGCCCGCTACCCATCTGTCCTCCGAGGACGTTCGCTGGATGGTAATAATCTCCTTCTGCTTATTTCCTGAACTGGCCATTGCTGTTAACGTCAATTTCACCCATCTGAGTGTAGAGAGAGAGAGAGAGATAGAGAGAGACGTGTTCCTTCATTTTTCACCCCTGCCATCGCGGTTGATCTTGCAGGTTGGCGCTTGGAGGGACCGAATAGTGATATGCACCGGGAAGCACGGCCCCCCTGCGGCGCTGGTGAAGGCCCTCCTCGACTCCGGCGCCAAAGCCGTCGTCTCCCCCTCCTCCGAGCCCCCCCCCATCTCCCACCCCTCCGCCGCCGCTGTCCCCGGCGAAGACCCCGCCACTGCCGCCGCCTCGGAGAACGGCAAGTTCGTCATCGGTGACGACGACGACGACGACGACGACGACGACAGCGGCGCCGGCGGCGGCGACGGTGACGACGGCGACGACTCCCCGCCGGCGAGCCCCATCAGCGACTGGGAGGACAGCGAGGAGGACGCCGCCCGCAGGCCGCCGGAGGAGGAGGAGGAGGAGGAGCTCTCCAAGTTCGTGTGCCTCCTCTACGAGACGCTCTACCGCGACGGCGCCCGTATCGACGTCGCCCTGCAGCACGCCCTCCGCTCTCATCCCAAGCTCAGGTACTCCTGCCACCTCCCCTCCATAATACTATGATCATAAAACCTCGTCTCCACCATCTCCATGCTTCTTTTTTTAATATATATATATATAAATCCATTTTTGGAAATAATATCCTCTGCCATGAAAATCATTATCACCGTTTAGTCCACCAGTTGACCGTTGGAGTATGCCTGCATGTAAATGTCCATCGCCTTCGTGCAAGTAACCAGGGGAGAGAGAGCCCTTATTTCGAAACATGATCTATGTCATCAAAAGTATTATAAGCATTTAATCCACCATTTAATCCACTCGTTGACCGATGGAGTCTGCCTGCATGTAAATGTCCATTGGTTTTCGGACGAGGAACCAGGGGAGAGAGAGAGAGAGAGAGAGAGAGAACCCATTTTTGGAAATCTACCTTGTCATAAAAAAATGTCACAATTCCCCCGATGTACTATATAAGCTTCCGTTTAATCCACCCGTTGACCGATGAAATATGCCCGCTTGTAAATGTCCATTGCCTTCGGACGAGGAACCAGGGGAGAGAGAGAACCATTTTCGGAAATATCTTTCTTGTAATAAAAATTATTATCACCATTTTTAGTACAGCAGTTGACTAATCAAGTGCGCGCACGGGCCACTTTATCTGCACCTGCACGCGCACGCCAAGCTGTACCTAACCAATGGTCATAAAATTACCGCCGTTCCCTGAGGTACTTGCTATAAGCTTCCGTTTAATCTACCCGTTGACCAACGAAATACGCACACGCGCGCAGCCATCTTATCTGTGCCCGCATGCACGTCCATACCGCTCTCTCTCTAGAAATCAATAGGGAAGTGGTGAGAGTGGAGGTGGGATTGAGGGGAAGGAAGCTCAAGCTCTCAGTACTCGTTGAAGTGGATGGCGCCGAGCTTCCAGACGAGGAAGGTGGTGGCGAACATGACAGTGCTGATGAAGACGAAGGAGAAGGCGATGACGAGAAGGTCCGAGTTCCCTGGGAAGTCGAAGATGAACCCGCCCTTCGAGAGCCCCCGCTTGCTGTCGTCCAGAAGGTTCGACGGGGCTTCTGGAAGCCCCGACCTCCTCTTCCCCCCTCCGTCTGTCTCCCTCATCGCCTCCAGCACCCTGCTCCCGAACTCCGCCTTCCGCGGCGGCGGCGCCGCCGGCGTCGTCGTCGGCGGCGCCGCCGATGACTTTGAGTCCACTGCGTACCTCGAGAGGACCCGCGCCGCCCGCAGCTTCTCCCTTGCTGTCAAGACCGGCCGCTTTGCCGCCTCCGGGGGTGGTGGGGGGGAAGAGGCGGCCTCCTCTGCCTCCTCTGCGGTTGGCCCGCCGCTTCCGCTGCCGTTGACCAAAGGAATGAATCTTCTCTCTCTAGGACGCGCCGGTGTCGTGGTGGTGGTGGGTGGGAGTCTCACCTGCATGCAGGTCAGGGAGAGTCATATTTATTCCACGAAGATTTTGGGTTCTTTCGAATTATTCCCCCAAAGCCAGAATTCTGAAAGTCAACTGGGTTGACTTGTTGCGTGTCAGCTGGAGGGGAGAGTCAAAGATGTTTATTCCATGAAGAAGTTCCCTCAAGATATTCCCCCGGTTTTTCCCTGAATTATTTTCCTAAAACCGGAATTCTGAAGTGAAGAACACTACAAGTCAACTGGCTTGACTTACTGTGTCTCAGAATGGAATAAATATATTTATTCCATGAGGGAAGCTTCCCTCGAGATATTCTCCAGGCTTCTCCCGAGTTATTTTCCTATACCGGAAATTCTGAAGCGAAGAATTCTCAAAGTAAACTTGGTTGACTTTCTGCATCTCAAGCTGGAGGGGAACCTATATAACTTGACCAGCCAGAAATTGTGGACATTCCAAATCCACGTAGAAGGTCAAACGCCATGTTAGATCACATCAACCGGTAGGTCAACGGGCACAATTCGAGAGTACGTTAGATCACTCCTCATGAGTGGAATCTCATTCTCTCCAGCCATATGAACTCACCTCAGCGTTGACTATCTCATAATCAGACATGATAGTGTGGCTCAAACAGCAGGGCTGACACATACCCCAGTGGAGGAACATCGGCTTGCCTTGAAGCGCAAGAAGGTTGAGGAACTGATGCTGATATTACCTGGTCTACCACCAGGAGCTTGATCGTTCACTAGTGATGATTTAATGGTGTACTTAGGTATTGGTTCTAAGGAAAAGGGTTGGCCATGGAGTCTCTCGGCAATCTTCCTCCTCTCATGCAGGGGCAAAAGGAAGCCATTTGCTTCCTCCGCCATGGTGTACTTCGGTTTTGTTCATCTTAGGGTTTGACTTTTTTATCTAGTTGAACCCATCTTAGGGTTTGACTTCGGTTTGGCCATGGGGTTAAAACCTGAATTGTTTGGGATCGGGAGCCTGATAATGCACACCGGTTACAGCTTATTCGAGCAATTGCTAGAGGCGAGGCTATGGAATGTACTCTACTCTAATCAGAGGCAAGGAAGAAGGAAACGGCCACTTGCTGACATAATCCTGTCTTACGGTTTGACTTTTCATAGATTATGCACACCGGTTACAGCTTATTGGAGCAATTATTCATAGATTTTGAGGAGGCGAGGCTATGGAATTTACTCTTCTCTAATCAGAGGCACAGAAGAAGGAAATAACCATTTACTAACCTAATCCTCTGTCTTAGGGTTTGACTTTTTTTATCTAGTTGGGCCCATTAACCCTTAATTGGCTGCCATCAATGGGTCGAAAACTGTCTTGTTTGAGATCAGGAGCTTGATCATGCACACCAGTTACAGCTTATTGGTGTTAGGGTTTGACTTTTATCTTGTTGAACCCATCTACCCTAATTTTCTCCGTCTCAGTTCCAGTGACGTAGGGTGTTGTCCATGGAGTCTCTGCAATCTAACTCTACTCTAATCAGAGGCACGGAGGAGGAAAACAGCCAGATGCTGGCATAATCCTCTGTTCTAGGGCTCTTCTTCTCACCTAGTTGAACCCATCAACCCTACTTTTCTCCGTCTCATGGTTAGAAACTACCCCGTTCGGGATCGGGAGTTCGATCATGCGACACGAGTCACAACTTATTGGGGTAATTGATTATAGATTTTGAGGAGGCGAGTCTCTGCAATTTACTCTACTCAATCAGAGGTACGGAATAGGTTAACAAACAGCTGCTAACCTAATCCTCTGTCTTAGGGTTTGACTTCTCGTCTGGTTGAACGAATCTACCCTAATTTTCTCCGTCTCAGGGTCAGCAACTACCTCGTTTGCGATCAGGAGTTTGATCATCCACACCAATTACAGCTTATTAGAGTAACTGTTTATAGATTATGAGGAGGTGAGGGTGCAGTCATAGTGATCTTGAGGAGGAGGAATCATGGAGTGTCTAAACTTTCCCCCGCTCAAACAGCGCAACGAATCAGGAAAAAAACAGCCAGCAGTTAACCTAATATTCCCCGTGTTAGGATTCTGCTTCTCATCAAATCGAGCCGTCGTCCCTCGGTTCGTTCTAAGAACTTCTCCACGAGGTCGGAAACGCACAGGAACTCATCAAATTACTCAAGGAGGCAAGAAAAATACGAGCAACGACGCAATCTGGGATTCACAGAACGGCGGAAGATGCGAAGAGAGGGAGGAGCATTCTGACCAACCTGCGAGGCGCCGTCAAGTCTGCTGTAGATGCCGCCCATCTCGGAGGCAATCCCACTGCTCCATATCTTAAGCAAGCCACCGCCACCGCCACCGCCGCCGCCGCCCCCCGGGCCTGCCTCGGCCCTCACGCCGGAGGAGCCCCGCAGCCCTCCCGGAGTCTTCGCTAGGCCTAGAAACGGCGTCCTCAGCCCCCCTGCTGAGGGCAGGCCAGAAGAAACGGAGCAAGGCGGTAGCGAGAGCCGGCCCCATGGCGGCGCCGCCGTCGCAGCGGCGAAGGAGGAAGACGATGAGAGCTCGGCGTGGATCGAACAGGGAATGGACGCCATTCGAGGAAGAGATGTGGGGAGGAGAAAGATAACGAGGGGGGGAGGGTCGACGGAGAAGAGATGCGCCGGTATTATAGAATGCATTCTCAGAACCCACTCCACACAATCCATTCCACCAATACGTTCCAGTAAAAGTCACCAACTATTATGCATTCCAAGAATCGATTCCTAACCTTGCTTCCAGAAACGCAATGCAAATGGGAATGCAAAATCGATGCTTAAATGATTTTAGACTTTCTCTAGGTCCTACTTAAAATATATAATTATGTAATTAGATTAATCCCCATAATTTGAGGTGTAAGTGGGTTGGGATCAACTAGGAAAGCCCTGATCTGAGCCCGGGGCCCTCCATAAAAAGCCCGGTCACGGCCCGGCCCGAGCCCGGTTCTGCGTACTCACTCCAACCTGGATCCGGGCCAGATTGAGCGGCCCAGCCCTGTTCCCTTGGCGCTTGACTGAGAGACTCGAAAAGCCCACAAATATACAACGCGGGCCGGGCTTTTCGAGCCCGTAGAAACATTGGGATGATACGAAGTTCTAGCTCAGCGTTGACTACGCAACTAATCAATGTTTCTAAGTGGTAATAATATGTGGCTACTATAGCCCCCTTATAGTCTCTATATGTTGACTTTTATCTGAAACTGAGATTTTTCTCACATCTAAAGAAGGAAAAGAAAAAAAGGAGATTTTTTTTGCCGAAAATGGGAAATAATTACATGGAAAAAGACCCGAATTAGAGGAGAATCACAGATTTAATAGAAAGGGGAAATCATAGTAAAGAGAGATAAGGTACAGTCAAAATCCTCAACTGGATGGTCCTGATTGCATTGGACAATCAAAAGCTTCTGTGACACTAACAGCAAGTCAATGGCTTCAACTAGAACCTTAGATTCATAAGCAGAGAAAATGACTACAAAAAAAGTCAACGAAGATCACAAAATAACTTGATGAAAATAAGTGAATGACATAATAATGACTGGGACCTTGATTCATTTGCAATAATCAACATATAAGAGGTCAATGAGCCTTTCTAACTAAGGGATGATCCCAAATCAGAGGACCAATTAGCCCCCAAGAGCATGAATAATGTAATAATAAAAAGGGCAACCATAGGTGAAGAAAAGGTCAACTATATTCAATGTTTCAAGCTACTCCAATGCATGGAGGCAGGGATGGATTCAGGTCAACTTTTGAAGGTCTGCAGCGGCAGCTTCCCATTTAGGCTGAGCAAGCAAAATGAACCTACGATGGGAAGATAAAGAATGAGACTTGCATATTTATAAGGCATGCCCAGAGCTATAAATGGAAAGAAACTCCCAAAGGTTTCTGTGGGAAGTGGACTGCCCCTTGGAAGCCTTCAATCCAAGTGATATATAAAGCATGCCCAAGACCAGAAGGCAGATCTCTAGATTTTTACTATCTAAAATTGGTTAGGAAGGAGAGAAGACTCCTCACCTTGCAACATCGAATGTGACCCAAGAAAGCCAAGCTTGAAGCCATGGAGAAGGAACCATGCACTCTGGGGAACCTACGCACAACCTCTTTGAGCGCTGAGATCTCTCTTCAGTTCCCTTCTTTCTTCAAAAGACAAGGTTGAGTGTGGAGCGATGGCCGGGATCTATGAGTGACGAAGAACTTGATGTGGCGAAGGCAGTGGGAAATGAAGTTAATCTGCATCAATGCATCTGATTCCACTTGATCCACAGGGGAAGAGTTCTCAAGAATTACTTCCACAGCATCCAAATGGCACCGACGAACCCATTTTGGGCCTGAATGGATAGCTATTAGGAGAATGCCTCGTTGTGAGAGGATTTGACAATAAATATATAAACAATGATAGCAGTGTTTCCCATTCTGACCGATACTCATTGGTCCAAAGAACAGATAATTGGATTGGGGGCCACATTTGAATCAGATCAGCTATAAATCCCATCCACCCAAGAATGGGGCCGGATTGGCTGATTGTAGGTTGAATCAGTCCCCCAATCTGAAAAAGTTGCGCAGCAAAAGAAGAATTTTGTACGTCAAAAAAATAGAATATAATAGCGGTTGAACCAAATCACTGCTCATGCCCACATCTAGAAGTTATTTTAAAGAATAAACCAGAAAAAAAGTAATTCTAACCTCGATTTACTTCATCTTAATGTAAGCATCATACAGTTCATCGAGCTGCATTTCAGAATCTTCAGCAAAGGACGCATCTTCCACTGCAGAAATAACTTCGTTATCATCGGATTCAATGACATCAATTTCGTCACCGTTGTCATCACCAAGGATGTCATATCCTTCCTCGTCAAAAAACTGGTTAAACTTTCCAATGTTCTTCCTCCTCCCCCTGTAACCAGTAAGTTGCAGGACCTTTTCCTTCCAACACACCAGTGGGCACTTGTCAATCAACTCAGATCCCTCGTATGCTTCCGTTAAGAAGACATGAACTCTTTTCCCCCTTTCTGAAACATAAAAAATGCCAAAGTGCTTCAGGAGAAGCCTCATCAATTTCTGTGGCATCACAAATTCGCGTCGGAAATGTGTCAAGTGATCAGTAACTAGCCTCTTCTCAATGGTAAAACTCAACAACTCATGCATAACTGCTACTGCCCTCTTATCAAACTCTGGCGACCCCGGTTTCAGTTCCCGAGCATCAGCGTATGGAGAAAAATATGGCCTTTTCTGAAAATGTTCCAGTTTCCCTCCTATTCTGAAGATCTTTTCGTAGTTTGGAGGGAATTTCAATGGAAAAGGAAGATCAAGCAATCCAGGCATGGAAGATTCCTGGTCAGCTTCTCTGGCTCCAGACTTCTTCTCCAACTCTGTAATTGCCCACCCTGGATTCCAGGAGACTAGCTCCAAGTACTCAATGTCGTCCAATTTGATGACCCTGAAGATTTCAGGATAGCTATGGATCCATCTAGTTCTGAAATCATATGGAAGTCCTATATCCCTTCTGAAATGAGCGACCTTGTCCACTGGAAGCCTCTTATCCACTGACATCATCAAAAACCTTGTCACATACTCAGCAGCTCTATCTGAGTGTTCTTCCTGAAGCCTGACCTCTTCTTCCAACAATTCCTCAGCCTGCCTTGTCAGCCCACACCACACTGCGCCCTTCTTATCTCTGTACAACTCGAACAACCTCGGGGATTTCCGAACAAAATCAGCAACTTTGTGTGGTTTAGTTATGTTGAACTGTTGCCTATACTGTTCTAAACTCCTCATTGGTATAACTTGCTCGGGTTCCTTCTTCAGTAACTCCAACAAGAATAACACCTTAGAAGCTACCTTCCACCTCTCTGTGGCCCTTTCTAGGTAAAAGACTCTCTTCTTCTTACTTCTATCCTGCACATTCCTGCTCTTCGTCATCAAACGCACCTGCATGACTCGAGGAAAAGACCATATCCAAGAGGACAGGGCATTTCCTGGCATCAAGGAAATAAATGGCATTCCATCAACTGAAACTATCGAGGGCAGCCTACGAAGCATACTCCTCCAACATGCTATACTGAGAGTACCAGTTATCATCATCTTGCCCAAACCAGTTATCACTATCTTTGCGTCACCATGAATCTCTTACCTTCTCCAGTTTAATGTGCACACTAATATCGAACCAGATGAATATACTGAGAGAGAGAGAGAGAGAGCAGCACGAAGGAATGCTCTCCATTGCACAAATAACAGTGAATGAGAAGGAAGCCTGCCAGCTTTCACATTTTAGCGACAGTCGAGGAGAATGTGATTCCTCGTTCTGCAAAGAAAGCAATGAAACAGAACCAATGACTGACAAGCAATAATCTTGACTCAGGTCAGAGAAAAAAGCTCATATGTGGTGCAACTTCCTAGCCAGGAGCAAGTAGAATTTACTTCCTACATAATACATGAATAAAACTGCCGATTCCTTTCGGAGATTGTCGGAATCGTCCAACCACCCCTTCATCAACGAGCATGGCCGCAAGAAACTAAACTTCGCCGTAGTTCTGCTATATCAGCGATACGGCAAGAGGTATCAAGGGGAGGGAGACACTCAGGAGGAGAAGCCGGAGTTGGTGAAAGTAACAAAGAGCACGAGAATGCTGGGCGCCATTGTTCTCGAGGAGGAGAGAGGTTACGGTTCACCAGAGATGACCTCCCCAGACACGTAGAGACTATCTCCAAAACGTTCGAACTGAATAAGAAATCTGGAATATAGATGCGTGGACATTCAACACAGATACTGTTCAAGTTACGAAAGCATCGACTCGGCGATTAGTTCTGGGAATGGCAGGGTGGAAGGATGTCTCCAAGCTTCTAACATCGCCGAGGCAAAAAACTTACATAAACGGCAGAATCACGAACATTGGCAACCAGATGAATAGCAAGGAGGTGCCGGGCGGTGGCAGAAACAATCATCCCACTGGTTCAAGAAATGATACATGCCTTCCCCGCAACGTCGACTCCATCGGTGGGTGTTGAGATTGCATTGAGGACTGGTAAGAAGGAGATAGGGGGAAGAGGCCTTCTCGCGGACGGAGCTAGAGAGAGAGAGAGGCTCCGCAGGCGCTTCAAGCTCGGCCTTCACTCAACCAGAGCTAACCCTATTGTTGGAGAAGAAGATGGAGGTGGATGCGGAGAATAAAGCCCGTCGTTTTGGGCCGATTTTCAATATTATTGGGCCGATCCACACTTTTTTGGGCTGTGGGCCCCAGAACTGGTGGGTCCCGGTTAGTATTACCTTCATTATATTTAACTAAAAAAATAAATATGAGTATAAATTTAGCCAATTAAAGATATATTATATAATTATATTTAATAAATAAATAAAATAATGAGGATATATGAAGTAGAGATATTTTCCAAACTCGGATAAGGATACCGCGAGTGTCGGCGTCTGTCTGGCTTAGCTTACCGAAGGAATCTAGAGAAAGGAGAGAGAGCGATAGAGGGAGGGAGAGCGAGCGAGAGAGAGGGACCTCAGGAACAGCCACGTGTCGCCAACAAGGGCCCCGATACTACAGCCTTCCTAAGAGATCCGGATTTGTGTAATCCCATTACGCGGAATCGACCTTTAATTGATTCAGTTTTTAAAAATAATTTTATTTATTTATAGATGATTATTTATGACGAGAGAGCTAATTTTTAATTATTTTAATTACCATATGTACTGCACAAAAAGCAGGGTTTTAGGGATGAAAATCATTTTATTCTTTTTTGTTGATAAGTAAAAAATGCTGTCCTACCCATTCCCTTTCTGAAATCCTTTTTGCCGGATTTTGAGAGTTTTCAGGGTACAAAAGCAATCACTTTCGAGGTATAAAATGGTACAAAAGTAATTATAAACTCTTTAAGGATAAACAAAATGATTCCAAAATTGCTTCCAAACAGTGCTGTGGAGGTAAGAAAAAAGGGGGGAGCGGTACCGTGGCTGGGAATCCGAACCTGCGTCTCTCTCTCTCTCTCTCTCTCTATCTCTAAAACCAGATCCTTTGCACAGTTCGAACTGCTGCCTACGTCTCTGTTCTGCCCTGCCATCCAGCAACTGGTGGGTCGACGCAGGCAGAAGAGCTCTCCCTCCGAGAGCTTGTGTGGGGATTGGCCCCGATTCACCCTCTTCCCCATTGTTCTCCGTTCTTCCTCCTCGATTTGCCCCGGTTTCTCCCCCTACAATCTCTCGTTTCTACCCGCATTCTGGATTTCTCTAGGGCTTCCTTCCAGGCCTGTGCCGTCTATGGTGGTGACGCTCACCAAGGCAAGGCCCTTCCCATCTGCGGATCGAATTCCCGATTTCGAACTCTTCCTACGCCGTGAGATCTGATCGATCCGCGGCCCCGTGACTGGCGGGGCGGCGGCGGTGCTTCAGCCATGGCCACCACCGTCTCGCGGAGCAACTCGAGGGCCTCGAGGGCTCCGGCTCAGGCGCATTCAGCGTCCCACTCTCCCAACTCTAATGCCAAGGGTAGCGCCTCGTCATCGTCTACCTCCGCCCTCTCTTCCCACCTCGCCACGGTAGAGCTCAAGCAACGGATCCTTGGCGCCATCTCCAAGCTATCCGATCGCGACACACATCAGATTGCCGTCGAGGACTTGGAGAGGATCATCCGGACGCTGCCTGCGGACGGCGTGCCAATGCTCCTGAACACCTTCCTCCATGACCCGCCATCGATGGAGCCGTCCTCCCGTCAGTCACCGATCACGGCCCGGCGGGAATGTCTCAGGCTGCTCGCGCTTCTCTGCTCCACTCATCCGGAGGCCGCCTCTGCGCACCTTCCCAAGATCATCTCCCACATTGTTCGTCGGATCAAGGACCCTTCTTCTGACACTTCCGTCCGCGATGCTTGTCGTGATACCGTTGGCTCCCTTTCGTCTCTCTACCTTCGTGTCAACGGTGGTTCTACCAGCGAGAACTACGCGTCGGTAGTTTCGTTGTTTGTGAAGCCATTCTTTGAAGCAATGGGAGAGCAGAACAAGATCGTGCAGGCTGGTGCATCTGCATGTCTGGCTAAGTTGGTCGAGTGTGCCGGTGGTGGTGAGGGGTCACAGGAGTCTGCCGCAACTGCTGTTACTTTCCAAAAGTTGTGTCCCAGGATCTCCAAGTTTCTTGGGGGGCAGAGCTTTCTAGCGAAGGGGGCATTACTCTCTGTTGTCTCCAGTCTTTCTCAGGTTTGGGCTGAAGAAATTTTCTGTGCTGTCTGTGGAGACCGCCTATATTATGCTTGTTTCTGTTCTCGCCTCTGCTCCAGAATATGCACATCTTACATTTTCAATAAGAAAACATGTGTTATTTTCATTGTCTCATTTCTGGTAAATAACTTTAGGTTTTCTCTATGTTGAACTCTTTTTCATTCTGAGTACAAGGAAAATATTGCTTGTGGTTGGCAAAATGCACATACTACATAGAGGATCCTTTTAAATTTCTGTAACAATTTATTGCAGGATAGCAGGTACTTCAACGTATAGTCTTTGTGGTACTGTTCAACATATTGCTCTTCTTGAGCTGATGGATTTGAAGAGCATATATTTAAACTTGATATGGATTGACCTTCCAAGAAATCAGATGGGTACCTTAAAGAAGATATCTGATGGAAGCTTTTTTTTTTTCTGCAGGTTGGAGCTATCACACCACAAAGCTTGCCATCACTTCTGCAAAGTGTTCGTGAGTGTCTTGAGAACAGTGATTGGGCAACTCGCAAGGCAGCTGGTGACACACTGTGCGCCTTGGCTTCTCATTCAAGTCATTTGATTGGTGACAATAGTGCTACAATAGTGGCGGCCCTTGAGTCTTGCCGCTTTGATAAGGTGCCATTTTTTGCTCATGATTTGACAACATGAAACTAAGTTTGACTTTAAACCGGGGTTTTAAAAATGTAAGAACTCGTGCTGATTGCATTGTCTAATCAAATAGGATCATAACTTATCTTTCAGAAACTGCTCTTCGGTTTACTTTCACTTCCTGTTGCATTCATCATTCTCTCGTTTGTTGCAAATCATACCACATTAAAATGTCCAACTGATATTCTCCTCTTTTGCATGTGCAATCTTTGCCGTATTTTCATGTTATATGGAATACGAGCATTCATGTAATAGAGAGGAATAATTTCAATTTTGGGAGAATTTGAAAAAATGAACTTTATATTTGTTGTAATTAGATTGTAAAAATTATTGTTTAAATTTGTTGTTAAATTTGAATTTTTTTGTCCTTTACAGGTTAAACCTGTTAGAGATAGTATAGCGGAGGCTTTGCTTGCCTGGAAAAAGGTCACAGGAAAAGGAGAAGATGTGGAGGAGGACAAAGGTTCGATTAATTCTTAACATCCATCTAAAATATCTACTGTTATGCCTGTCATTACTTTTTAATTTTTTTTTTTCCTGTTGGATTTTAGGATTTATGTAAATTTAAAATTTTAATCATGAAACAGAATCCAAAAGTTCGTCACCAATTGATGTTGGAGAAAAACTGGGCCTTAAGAAGTTTTCTGGTAATGAGCAACTAGACGCATCACTGAAAGATTCATCAAGCTGCCCAGCTCCTGCCAGTGACCCTGCACCCGGAACTAAAGGCAGTGGAATGCCAGAGAAAGCGGTAGTTCTTTTGAAGAAAAAGGCACCTTCTTTAACTGATAAAGAACTGAATGCAGAGTTTTTTCAGAAACTTGAGACAAGGATTTCGGATGATTTACCAGTTGAAGTGGTGGTACCGCGCAGGACTCTTCAGTCTTCCCTCTCTCAGGGTGATGAAGGAAAAGAGTTGAATGATGATAACTCTAGAGGAACTGCCGGTCATGATGGAAAGTCTTGCAATGACTCAAATGACATGGTCAGTGCCATAAGTGCAGGTTCCAATGACATGGGTAAAGCAAAAGGGTTGTTCAGTAAAACAGAAGAACCTGATGATTCAGTTAGGGAGAAGTTTACAGAATCAAGGGCATTTAAGTTTAGAGATGCACGAGCGAAGCCTTCAGATCTGGATGAGAGGGCTGTAAACAGTCTGAGAGATCCATCAGCACCTCGTTCAATCTCCCGAATTGATGGGCATTCTGAACCCTTCATGAACAGCAAAGGAAATTGGCTTGGCATCCAGAGGCAGCTGTCCCTGTTAGAGAGACAACAAGCAAGTCTAATGAATATGCTTCAGGTCCGTTTTGATTGAAATATTTAGATTATTTGTTTTTTTCATAATAAACATGTTTCTGTCTGGTATATTGATGTCAGTATGAAGTCTGTAGGGTAGTATATTATTTATTGTGAACTGATATGATCTCTCAAGTGCATTTTGTCATACTCTTTTTAGAGTTTGCTCTGTATCCTAAATTATTGCTATAAATTTCTGCTTTAAAGAAGTTTTCAGGTAGGTTCTAAAGGTGGAGGCTTTATAAAGAGTTATGAGAGGTAAAGAAGAATTCATGGATGTTTAGGAGTGAGTACTATGGGCTGAAATCAATCCTACATTCTTGAAGGGTTGTAAATACCTATCAACATCTATCATTGAAGGGTTGAAGGGTGGGGCAACATGTTGGTTTTCATTGTCTATGCTGCATTTATCAATTTTCTGTGTAGGCATTTTCTTTCTATTCTTCAATACCTATCAACATCTGAAAATATCAGGTTTATATTTTATTTCAGATTGAAAATTTGGATTTAGATAAATGATGGTAATTGTTGTTACGATAAAATATATTTTTCTTCATTCAGGGAGAAATCCTTTATTAAAAATCAGAATAAAGCAAATGAAGGGTTGTAAATGAGAATTGTTTTCAAGATCTTCACTACAACTAGGACGATACTTAAAACCGAAAATATTGCCAACATGAAGATCAGACAATCATGCAGGGGGGGTGTTGCTTTCTCTGTATTATGGATATCATGGAGTGTTGACTTGCTTCGTGATTACTTTCCCATGTTTAGTGGGATTTGCACAGGATGTTTTCTTTGGATTGTGTAGTCTTTGGAGAACGATACCTTGCTCTTATGTTAATCTTCCTACTACAGAATACTTGCTTCAAAAGAACAATTTTCTAAATTATTTTTTCTTAGTGATTAGGTGCAATGGTTGTGCTTGAGCTAGCATGTTTTAGGGTTGTTGTAAATGAGATGGAGCTGGAGTTGAGAAGGCTCAATTTACGCAGAAGTTGGTGTTGTTTTGTAGTGTCAAAGATTAGAAAGTTCAATTATCCTTGATTATGATGTCGAGATGACAAATGTGTCCTAAGGATATTCCTAAACTGTTGTATGAAGGAAAGGAATTAGGATCCACTTTGTGTTGTTTATCTCATGCCATCAAGATTGCGAAACTGTAAGAAATGGGGTCATCCATTAATGAACGAATTATTTCTTTTGCCTTTTCTTCTGGTTAATTCAGATCTTCAAAATGGGGGTTTAACCTGGTTGATGCTAGGCTTGTAGTCCCTACAGCTTTCTGTTGATCCCTGTCGTTGACAAGGGGGATCATCTAGTCCATCTTACACCATTAGAAAATAATAAGAAAATATTTTCTCTGAGAGTCAATGCCTTACAGTCTTCTGGCAAGGCATTTAATCGGCATTATTTTGGTTACGTAGCCATTCAGTGTAATCAGTTCTGTTGTCTGAATTTTTACCTAGTTAATTATTATTCCGTTTCATTTTTCAGATGTCGGTAGGTGTTATGCTATAGCTCCGCTTCATTTGTTCTTGAGTTCTCAATGAGTTCTCTCTCTCTCTCTCTCTCTCTCTCACACACACACACACACACACACTCATCTCATTTGAACGTATTGAAAGCTTAAATCTCACTGTCATGAACAGCCATTGAAAAAGCAATTAGTAGATTGATTTTATTGTGCAGAAGTCTAGCAGCAATCTTTAAGGTAGCCAAATTGATCGTGAGATTGTTCAATTCGATAAAAGAGTTGTGGTGGACTAGGTTCAACTTCATAATTTACTTGTTATTTGAAATGCTGCACTTTGGACTGGGTAAACTTTATTGTCTGATAAACACTTTTAATTTCTCATTCAACTTGGATAATTATGCTACCACTAAGGGACGACGACCTATTCACTGAGATCATCTTTTTTGGGTTCGAACACAGTAGCTGTATATATGCCAAACCAGCAGTGCTGTCTTTGTTTCAGTTTCTCACTAGCTACTACTTTTCTTTAGAATAATGCTTGCTTTTGTTTCATTTTCCTACCATCCATCTCTGTGGTTTGGGGCCAGGAGGAGAATGTCTCACATCAGATGTCTTGAAAATCTCAGGAATTCATGGGGGGATCCCATGACAGCATGGTTACCTTGGAAAACCGGGTGAGAGGCCTTGAAAGAGTTGTCGATGAGATGGCGCGTGATCTGTCACTGCCACCCAACAGGAGAGGCGGCGGCATGATGGGGTTCGACGGATCCGCTGGTAGGTCAGCCAGCAAGTATAATGGCCTCCCTGATTACTCTAATGGGAAATTTGGGCGGGGTGATGGGCGATTCCCTTTTGCAGAGAGATTCCTCCCATCTGATGGCACCTCAGGAGCGCGAGGAAGAGATCCTCCCTGGAGGCAAGATGCGGACACATGGGATCCCTATTCATATGCTGCTCCAAGGAATGGGGTCACCAGCTCTAGGAGGGGCCCGGGTGGTCTCCCCACAGAGGGTAGATCGTCAAGAACAGACCAAGAGGGTGATCAGATCAGCAACAGGAGAGCTTGGGAGAAGGGGCCGGGCCCCTTCAGACTTGGAGAAGGTCCTTCTGCCAGAAGTGTCTGGCAGGCTTCCAAGGATGAGGCTACTCTGGAAGCCATCAGAGTGGCCGGAGAGGATAGCGTTTCCTCACGGGCCACCGCAAAGCACCCACCTATTCCAGAACTAGATGCTGAAGCTGTAGGGGACGACAGCTCGGCCCCCGACAAGGGCGAGCTCTGGGCTTCGTGGAACCGGGCAATGGATTCACTCCATGTAGGTGATGTGGATTCAGCCTATGCTGAGGTCTTGTCGACTGGAGACGATCTGCTGCTCGTGAAGTTGATGGACAGATCTGGGCCGGTTCTTGATCAACTTTCTGATGAGACTGCGGGTGAAGTTCTGCATGCAGCTGGGCAGTTCCTTCAAGAGCAGAGCTTGTTGGATATTGCATTTTCTTGGTTTCAGCAGGTACGCTCGTTGGATAAGTTTTCAATAATTTCTTTTTAACTATGTGAACATAATTTTCAATGTCTTTTTCTTTTTTTTTTTTTTTTTTTGGTGGGTAGCATAGATAATCGAGCATTGAATTCATGACATGAAGCTGCCCCATCACCTTCCTTATATCGCATAATTTTATCAGATGGGTACGGGTAAAAAGAAATAGTGCCCTCTATTTTATCTAAAAATATGGGCCTACTTCTGCATCTTGGGGGTCACATTGTAGGCGAGATCTGGATGCTTCTCTTGCCCAAGAAGGAAGGATACATAAGGTTCCTCATGCTTCTTGCTTTCTGTCTCAGTTGACGGATCTGGTGGGGGAGCAGGGGGCCGATCTGCCGAGCCTGAAGGTGGAGATGAAGAGGGACATCCTGTTGAGTCTCCACGAGGCTTCCTCTTCCATGGAGCCTCCGGAGGACTGGGAGGGACCGACCCCGGAACAGATGATGCTGCAACTGGCGTCTGCGTGGGGTTTCAGCCTGCAACAGCTCATCAAGTAGTCTCCGTTCCGATCCCATCTCATGTGTTCTTCGTGTTCTTCCTGGTTTTGGAAAGGATATATCTGGTCGAGACTCCCCTTCGGAGAGGATTGCTGTCCTGCCCCTTTGGATATATCTGCTCTGTACATGATTTTCATCCGTTCTTGTTGTATTTTAATGTGAGAACTGCATGGGAGCCTTTGTTGGTCTGCACAGAGAGAGAGGGAGAGGGGGGGAGAGAGAGAGGGAGGGAGAGAGAGAGAGAGAGAGAAGAGAGAGAGAGAGAGAGAGAGAGAGAGAGAGAGAGAGAGAGAGAGAGAGAGAGAGAGAGAGAGAGAGAATTGTGGCCTTGTTATGGGTGTAATGTTTGATCAAGGTCCCTGTTTTAGTTATGAGTGCATGAACCAAGTTCTTAATTTCTATAAACGGATAGGTATGTGACTAAGTCCTTAATACACAGAGCATTCTACAGCACACGCCTTTTGGGCCCATTGCATTAGGTATGAATGCATTAGAACATCATTTATATGTTTACAATACCCAAAATGAAAATATTGGAGGCATCTTACACAAATTAAAATATAATGAAACAAGTATTATGCTTAATAATGATTTATTCTTGAAAATTTGTTAGAGATGAAGACTATTAACAAGTTTATTTAATAGCATACTTATATAAGGGTGGAACATTTGTCTGGTAGGAACAACTATAATGACTCATACTAAATTAATGAAGAAACTTGTTCAAACATAAATAAAAATCCACATATTATTAAAATCCCACTTTCCTTTTCCTAATTATGAAAAAATAAGTTAAAATTATCTAAATTTACAAACACAAGAATATATTTGTTTCAGAATTTGCTCAAAACTTTTATAGATTATCTTTAGTGAGTTAATTTCACATAATCATAGTCTTACATAACCGATTTTACTTCCCATCTAGCTACTCTAGGTTGGTGGTAGGTGAGGGAGGGGAAGTTATAGACACTTTTCCATATTTTATGTCTGGAGTACTTCACTTACTTTCCTCTGAAGTCTTAGGCTTTGGTGGTGTTTATCAAGATTTTAAAGTAGCCTTTCATGGGATATTGAGTAGAACAAGTAAACCAACTTATAAAGATGTTTTATGACTTATAAACATGTAAAATCTTTATTAGACCGCTCAAGAAGTTATTATGTTACATACACTATTGCACCATAATCCAATGGTGCACAAATAATTTTGTGAGGGTCTTCACCTAAAAATCCTTTTTCGCCAAATGTTATGTTGATTTTCTATCCATGTGGCGAGGAAGGCCACAAATAAAATCTCCATTTAAAGTGTGAAATAAATGAAGAATAAGAAGAAAATGAGAATGTAGAAGATAATGAAGAACTTAGGTGATCTTGATTCATTTTGAAAGTGCAGAATTACACCAACAAGAGAAGAGCAGGCGCAATGAGATGACATTTTCAAAATGCGGTATACTACCAACAAAAAGGTAAGTGATGATATTTCAATAACATCACATATAGCACAAAAATATAATTTCATCTAGTAAGAGTGAGAATATAGTTTTTTAAGGTATGACATGAAAATTAGGAATGAAAATTGAGGCCAACCTAATCCATACAAAATGGGGTGGACAAGAAAGGTGTTGAACCAAAACTTTTAGAGACCTATTTGGTGAAAGTTTTCATCGACAAATTGTATTTTCAAGAAGATCAATGCAATGTAGATGGTAGAGATGTTTGTTATATTATTTTTAGATGAGCTTGAGAGAGATGTTGATAGTACTCACTAGAGTAAAGACAAATGTTATATCTTCTGGAAAAATAGGTTGAATTTTTTTTGAAATGTTAAGGATGAGGGAAATTTAATTATACTAATTGACTTAAAAGGCTTTCTAGGTACTGTCGAATGATACAAAATATTTATGATAGTCAAAAGGTTAAATAGTATGCACTTCATAATTTTCATAGGTCATATTAGAACATGTTCAATGTATGTTATCTTAATCTTACATTATACAATTTCTGCTTAATAGTCTTCCTCCTATTAGAGAGGTTCAATATCAAATCAACTTCATCCTAAGAACTATCTTACCCAATTTACCACAATATATAATGTTTTCAGAAATATTAAATGTCGTATGAATAGATTGAAGAGTTTGTAATAAAAAGACTAAATAAGAGGAAGTACATCATATAGTTTCTACATTATTAATTTCAAAGAAAAATAGAAGTGGACACGTGTAGAAAATTGGCCAATCAAAAATATTATATTAAAGTATGCATTTTCAATTTCATGACTCAATGATATAAATGAAATATTTTATGATTCAATTTTTTTTTGTCCAAAGTGGATTTAAAAAGTGCCATCAAAGTAAATTTCATGTAGGTGATGGATGGAAAATAGGTTTTAAGACAAAGTTAGTCTTCCATGAATGACTCAAAATACAGTTTGTTTTGTAAATGGGCAGAATTTTTATGAACCATATAAATTGTATATTGGAAAATTTATGGTTGTTTCCTTTGATTATTTACTTATGTTTAGTAATACTAAAGAAAGACACATCATTCATTTAAGAACATTGTAAATAGTTTTCAAACAAATTATTTTATATCAATTTAAAGAAATTTAGTTTCATGACTAATAGATTTGTTTTCCTATATTATGTGATCAATGTATATAGGTTGATGAAGAAAAAGTAAAAACTATTAAATGGTCAGTACCTAGGAATATCAAGTGTAAAGTTTTCATAGACTATCCTTTTTTTCATAATAGATTTATCAAAAAAAATTAGTTCTATTATTACACATTTAATTCAATACATGAAAACTAAGACAACTACAAAGAAACATTTCAAAAAATTATTTTGATTAAGGATAAATTATGCTCTACTCCACTATTAGCACCTCAATTTTTTGAGAAATTATTTTAAGTTGGATGTGATATGAGTAATGACAAGTCTTCATTATCATGAGTTAATAATTAGTAAATAATATAATTTTAGCCTTAACTCATGATAAATAGACTTATCTTTGTGTTAAATTATGAAAAGTAGTTTTTAATTGATTAATGTGAATTTTTGACTAATTATGTGATTTTATATAAATTTATATGATTTTTATAGTCCTACTTTGAGATAAATAAAGAAAAAAATAATATATATATATAAAAAGAGGGGGAACCACTGGCCAGCTGGGCCTGCAAGCGGGTCGGAAGCACAGTCAGGGGAGGGTGTGAGTAGGGGCTTGAGCGACTATGGACTGATGGGGGGACGTATGCGTCACTCCCCTTCCACGTCACTAGTGGTTAGTTGGTTGTGAGGCAAGAAGTGGTCGTACATGCGGGAGAAAGGGACTCATTACTTAGAAAGGTGATATTACTATATATTCACCTAAAACTTCGGCATACAACTGATGTGGGACTAAACCCGTGTCACATCTTCCCTAGAATGGTTTCATTTATTTTAATACCTAAAATATCCTTTAGTTATAATAGCGATATACTTATGATTACATCACTTTATAAAGATATTAGAATACTTATTTAAATCTCTCTCATGTAGGCATGCGGCCAGTGTAGGTTCAAATCTTACTAGAGTCAAAACTCGTATTTTTATCTAATTAAATCGTGACTTTCTTACAAATCACTAGTGAAGGATTAAATTGCTAAAATCACTTGATCATTGACAAAAATCTTGTCGACGTGATTTGCGGAGCATTCTTACTAAAATTGTTGAATGATTCATGATAAAAAGATCACAAATCCGTTGAGTAAAACATCTCTGATTGATCGACGAACAAGCCGTCGTCGGGAAGAGAACGATTTACCAGGAGACGAGTTGCCACCTCCTGAGAGCGTATCAAATGTGATCAAGAGCCTCCTCTTGTTGTGTGAACCTACAGATGAAGCTCCCTAACATGCACCCCACCTCTATTCAGCTCCTCTCTATTGGGTGATAGCCACTGGAAAGCCACAAAGTTGCCATTTTTTCGCTTCGTCAGGTGATAGTTGTCGGAGATGTTTTGACGATCTATTTCATCAATCTTTAGACTTCGCAAAAAGATCTAGAGATTGCCCATGTCGTCATTGTCCAAAGAGAATCTTTAAGGCTGTGGACACTACACGACAATTCTCCCAAACACTTAGAATTTTGGTGCATTGTTGACACATTATCGTCACAACATCGGAACTCTATTTTGCTGCTTTCAGCTTAATTTTTGCTTCATTTAGTGATAATTTGTGTGATTTAAATTTACCAAACTATTCTTTATTCAATTATGATTCTTTTACCTTTTAGAGATCTTAATTTGTTCAACTAAATCATCTATAATCACTTACGTAAGAATTGACACCACCAACAACTCCTTACATCCACCGAATGAGTTAATAGTGATGAGCTAACATCACCAACACTTTTCTCTATTTTATCTACTTTCATTTAACAAATGACTGAAAAACTATTATTTTTTCAATTTTTCCTGGTGGTGCTATTCTTTGAGATATAAATTTGGAATTGCCTTTTACTCTGTCATATAGATTTTAACTTTTTGGTGAATTGCCACTTCATGCTAGATGTCTAGTGATTTTCTATATGATAATTATTTTACTTTTAGCATGTTTGATTGAAGAGATTTTTTTTTAAATATTAAAATGGGATTAATAATTTTATCGATTGTGCAATAGTTTTCTTTGGCTAGGCACTTTACCTTGCAGAATTAGAAGAAGAGAATGAGCAAAGCGAGAGAGAAAGAGCAAGGACAAAGATAGGAATGAGAAAGAGAGAGAGTGTTAGTGAGAGAGCACTTTATCAACATGAGGCAACAAAGCTTAGAAACATAAAAATAGGATCAAAATTAGACATGAGGTTATTTTCCAAAGAGAAAGATAGAAAAAGAGAGAGAGAGAGTGGGAGAGGGAGAGAGAGGGAGCTATAGATCACTAGAAGAAGAAACCCTCTTTGCCAATGCCATAGAAAGGCTTGCAATTTTGGGTAACAAAGGTTGACTTCTTCTCCATGTTGGAAATT